ACTCTGTTATTCCGTTATTCAAATGCTTTGGAGACCATCTCCCATCTTCCCCAGCCAGCATAGAAGTTGCTGCTTCAATTAACTCTCTATAAATGTAACAGAGACGGGGGGGGGAGGAATAATCAAACTAAGGAGTTTGACCTCTTTATAAAAATAAATGCCACTTCAAAGAAAGAGGATGATCTGAAGGGAAACGTTTTTCCCTGTTTCTGATTAAAGGTAATTGCTTCATTTAACAGTTTTAGAACAGAAAGAAGTGAAACTTAATTTAAGCTGGTGGAGACTGAAATCCCTTCAAACTGCTTTTGGATTATTGGAAAGAGGAAACTGAATATTTTCTGTAGCATTTTGAGTACAGGCTGTCCAATTCCTGATGCTTTTGCTTTCCAAACTCTGTTTTTTTTTTTTTCAACTATAATAACTTGTGCAGCAGGGAAAGGCGAAAGAAAGTTTGGGAGTAAAACCACTTCCGGGAAGATGCAGCGCATTGCAATCTGATGTTCAGAAATGGCCAAGAAAGTGGAGAGGAAAGGAAAAGAGATTTCTTTTCTTTTCTTTCTTTATTTCTTTCTTTCTTTTCTTTCTCTCTCTCTTTCTATTTCTCTATTCCTTCCCTCCTTTTTCTATTTTTCTCTTTTCTCTTCCTTTCTATCTATCTTCTCTCTGTTTTTCTCTATCTCTCTTTTTTCTATATCTTTCTCTATCTCTTTCTTTCTCTTTTTTCTCCCTCTCTGTTTTCTCTTTCTCTTTTTCCTTTCCTTCCTCCCTCCGTCTGTTTCTTTCTGGAGTCCTATTTGGCACAGTGAAAATCAATGAGCACATCAGCAATGTCCCAAGTTAAAATCATCCAAAACTTCCATTTCCGACCCACCCGTGAATGGGTCCCACATAATTTCTTTGTATCATTTTTTTTTTAAAGGGGGAGAAAACAGGATCAGCCCGTAACCTGGAGGATCTGGGCAGAAAACACCCACAAGTTTATAAGCTCCACTTGAAATCAGAAGAGGGAGAAAGGGATGGTAGGAGATCAAACACATTATTAGTTCTCTGCAATTAAGTCCCAGAGCAACCCATGCAAATTTTCCCCAGTCTGGGAAATCCCCCGATTCTATTCCGGCTGTCAAAATACAGATCAATAGATGTTAACAAGGCTTTGAAACATGACAAGTGCTAGGAGTGGTGGGGTTTTTTTTTTGTTGTTTTTTTTGCAGGCGTTCAAAGACCCTTCATAATTCATGGTGATTCCGCCATGCCTTCTCTCTCCCTCTGGTCTTTTTGGAACAGGAGGGGGCTGTGTGTGACGCACATATCCACAAAGAGAGAGAGGGGAGCTTAAATTATAAATGAGGGTGAAGTTTCGGGAACCCTTGGCAGAGTGTTTGAACAGGCGAATGAGCAGACTCAAATGTGTGAGGAGCAGAAGATGCATTTTGAATTGTGGGTTTTTCATTTGTAGATGGAAAAGGGTAGGTAAAATGCAAGCTTCTAGGATCTCAGAGTACAGAATGACAGAGTTGGAAGGGACCTTGGGGGTCATCTAGTCCAACCCCCTGCTCAAGCAGGAGACTATCCCATTCCAGACAAGTGGCTGTCCAGTCTCTTCTTGAAAATCTCCAGTGATGGAGCACCCACTGGGGCCGTTCCTTCTCCATCATAATTTGCCTCCCAGTGTGATAGGCAAGCAACTGGTCCAAAGGAATGGAAGGAGGGGCTGAACGCTATCTCCAACTTCAAAGCTCACTCAAAAACAACTGAGAAAAACATTCCACCCTGCAAATGTGTTGGCAACCAAAGGATCCTTTGAAAGAGGAGGGGGGAAATTAAGAAAACTTTTGGCATCAATTTTTGACTGGGGTTGAATAAGGCAACTTTGCTCTTTTGTGGTATGGCTTGGTTCATCCCTTCAAGGTGTCTTCCAGTGCATCAACCATGCGCAGTCTAGAAGTTCCTTCTGGCTGCTGGAACAGCTGGAAGATGCCTTGAGGCGATGACCAGCAAAACAAGGTGACGGCTTTGTTTTCAGAAGCAACAAAAACCACACATCTTTCCACGCGACACCTTTTTGCCTCGCATGCAACCTCATCAAAGATTCAACATTTTGAATCTTTTCAAATCTTTTCAAAAGTGTGTTTTCTTGCACTTAGGGAATGTTTGTATGTTAAATAAGATGTGGGTCTTGCAAAAAAAAAAAAAGGAACAAAGTTATTTTTTTCTGAACATTTGAGCACCCTCTCACCTGCTCTGGCAAGACTTTTGTAGTTCTCAACTTACAACTATTCATTTAGTCTCCATTCGAAGTTACAACAGTACTGAAAAAACTGACTTATGACCAGTTTCACATATACAACCGTTTTGCTTAGCAACAGAAATTTTGGGCTCAACTGAGGTCATAACTAGAGGACTATCTGTATGATGAAATCTATCACACAGGGAGGAATGGTGTCCATGAATTAAAAAGACTCTGACATTTGCATTAATGCCTAAAGAGGAACAAGATTTGATTTTTTTAAGGAGAAACAATAGACAATATTTACTGAATGAAGACTACAACTTGTTCACAAAGATTCTAGCTGATCGACTGAAAATGATTTTGTAGGAATTTGTTCATGAGGATCGATGTAGTTTTCCCCCTAAAAGATGGTTAAAGGGTAATGTTAGACATATGTTAGATTATTTGAACCGACGTCATTGATTTTCTTAGAAGTGGAGAAGACCGTTGACAATTTAAATTGGGATTTCACGTCCACGGCTTTGGAAGATATGAATTTTGGAGAGAGAGAGACCTTTATAAAATGGATAAGATCAATTTAGACTTGACAGAAAGCGCACACAAAAAAAGCCCACATCATTAATGGAGATTTAACCACCAACCCTTGTAAGATTCAGAAAGAAACAAGACAGGGATGTTCTCATTTCTTGTTTATTTTAGTTCTTGAAATACTAAATGGACATATGAGACAAGATGAGAAGATTGTGCAAGTAAAGATTTTTTTAAAAAGAACCCTATGTTTTGCAGATGATTTGTTGATTCTGGAAGATCCTTTAAAGGGAATTGAAACATTAATGGGAAAACTCAAACAATTTGGTCTGCTAGCAGGTTTTAAAATTAACAAACAGAAGAGGAAGATGTTAACAGAAAAACATGAAATTAGATGCTCGAACAGAACTGATGGATAAAATGGGTCTTGAAGTTCAGAAGGAAATAAAATATTTAGGTATCACTAGGAATTGGGATTAGTGTGTTAATATTTCAGTCCTTCGGATCAATTCATCCAACATCTTGAAGCAAGGTGCAAAATGCTGTTAATTATATTTGTTAGCTTGCTGATTAGCCTTCTATCCTGCCTTTCTTTTGGGAGATGAAGGTGCGATTGATAATATTCAATCCTCTTGTTGTTGTTTTTCCATAACAACAACCTGGTAGAGTAGATTGAAACAGCTAATCATTCCTGTTAGATGTGCTGTTTGGCAAAAATAGTTTGTTTCTGACTGAACGACACCCCCCTCAAAAAAACAAGACTTGTGAGAGGTGAGTCGGAAGACTACCTGTAAATTCAGATGGCCAATTTTAATTTGGCTGCCAAAATACAGGTGGCCATTTGGTGGCAGTAGTGAGACAAAGAATACTACAAAGCTTTGGTGCCACCTAAAGGTTCCCTAGATTTTCACCATCTGGTTCTGGCACAGTGCGAAAGAAAGACAGGAACAGCAACAAAAAAAGAGTTCAACAAATAAACTCACAAATGTTATTTTTCCACTTTGTGTAAACTCTCCTGGGAATTTATTCTAGTCCCTCAGCTTTTCCTTGTAGGAAACAAACTCAGTTTACAAAGGGGGAAAAAAAGACTTTGCTCGGAGCTACAGACATATTCTCTTCCTGCTATCTACAATAGGGAGTGATTCTTGCAAGTTTTTAAAGACAGCCCTTGCACCACCCAAACAAGAGTTGGAAATGTCAAGGATTATTTTGATTCTGACATCAGAAAAGTGCCTCCCTGGGACTAACTACTGTGCATTACTCTGGAGTATTTTATTATTGTTGTTGTTATAAAAGTATGTGTGTACCTCTGCAGATTTGCCCAATATTAATGGGTAAGAAACCAGTTTAGTCTAATGGTTAAGGCACTGGGCTAGAAAACATGAGACGGTGAGTTCAAGTCCTACCTTAGGCAGCATGAAATCTGGCTGGGTGACTTTGGGAGACTCACCAGAAGATGGTAAGTTCTAATCCTGCTTTAGGCATGAAAGGTGTCTGGACTTTGAGCTGGTCTGTCTCAGCCCACCTTACAGGATTGTTATTGTGAAAAATTAGGAGAAGGAAGGTGGGGTGGATATGTTTGTCACCTTGGGTTATTTGTAAAAATAAAGGCAGGAATAGGAATAGGAATAGGAATAGGAATAGGAATAGAATAGAATAGAATAGAATAGAATAGAATAGAATAGAATAGAATAGAATAGAATAGAATAGAATAGAATAGAATAGAATAGAATAGAATGTTAGATGCAAGATTAGACCACATGGAAAAATTCTGGAGCATTCCTTCCCCTTCACAAGAATCCTGTGAAGAAGTTTGGGCTGGGAGAACCCCCTCAACTTGACAATTTGCAGCTGTGCAATTCCAGGAAACACTAAACTTGATATTTGCACCCAGAATCAATCCTCAGCCACCCCAATCCCACAAATGCACATTTGGTCTTTTTCTCTTGCTGTTGCATATAAAACTATCCCTCGGGCGCCAACTTTCCCAAGTCTTCTGGCGGGCTTAATTTGTGCATCCCTCTTGCCTGTGTTCCCCCATTCCCCCTCCCCCCATCTGTGCAAAGAAGGTGGAAAAAGTGTGTGTCTTTCTGCTTTTCCACCCAGCTAGAACAAATCCTTCTTTTTGAAGGAGCTTATTTGTTCCCAAGAAAGAGAGATTCTGATCAAACAAGGCCATTCCCGATTCCATCCACAAGATGGAGGTGAATGGGAGAGAGAGAGAAGGATCCCGCCACTGGGAAATTGTTTTTCCCCATCCTCTGTGAAGGAGGAGGAGGAGAGAGCTTCAGAGGCTGGGACTGTGCAAACAAGACATCACAAAGATTCTTCCCAGACCCATCATGACACAGCGGCTGCTTTGTTCTCTGGCTTTTGTCGTCTTCTTTCGCCCGACCACAGGAGCCATGGACGCCTGCTACAACGCCCAAGGCCGTGCCCAGCGTTGCATGCCCATTTTTGAGAATGCAGCGTTTGGGCGGCAGGCGCCAGCCTCCAACACGTGTGGCTGGCCCCCCGAAACCTACTGCTTGCAGATGGGCACGCGTGAATCCAGCACTCTGTGCCACCGCTGTGACGCGGCGGATCCTTTGCTCCACCACAATGCCTCCTACCTGACCGACTTCCACAGCCAGGAAGAGCCCACTTGGTGGCAAAGTCAGTCCATGGCATTTGGGGTTCAGCACCCCACCTCTGTCAACATCACTCTGCACTTGGGTGAGTCGGGGAAGGGGGGGGTTCATCTTCTCCGAGCGCACAGCTGCGCACAGCTGCAAAAGGGTTTGTTTCTTTTTGATCTGTGACTTCCTTTGCAAGGAAGATCAGAAGGAACCAGATGGCAGGTTTCAAATGATTGTGTTTTATTAAAAGCATTGGGTTTCTCCGATTGGCAGGGGATGAAGGGAGCCGGTGCTTTTTAATAAAATGGTGAAAAGGTGCTTTCAGATTCCTTCTGCTTTCTGGCTCCTCCAAAGCACTGTTTTTTCAACTTGGCAACTTTAAGATGGGTGGGCTTTAAGTCCCAGGATTCCCCAGCCAGCATCTTTAAGATGGGTGGATTTCAACTCCCAGAATTCCTGTGCTAGCACACATTAAGGTGGGTGAACTTCAACTCTCAGAATTCCCCAGCCAGCATGCTTTCAATGAATGGACAGTGGTGATGTTTCTTAACTGGGTAAAAAACGGCCTGAAAGATGAATGGATGATAATGAATGAGTGATGAACACTGATGATGTTATCTAGTTGGGTCGTGAAACGTCTCCAAGCCAACAACCATGCTCAGAGCGGTAAATAACAAGCCACACGCAGCAGCCCTCTGGTGCTTCGGAAAATAGATGGACCCCCTCTTTTCTGGAACACTTCCTTAAATATTAGAAGTCTGCTATCATGTCACCCCTAGTCCTTCCTTTTGTTAGACTAGACATACCTAGTTCCCACAACCGTTCACCATACTGTTTATCCTCCAGATTCCTAATTATCTTTGTTACTCTTCTCTGCACTCTTTCTAGGAGATCAGCAGCAACTCTCTCTCTCTCTCTCCCTCTCACTCCCTCTCTCTCTCTCTCTCTCTCTCTCTGAAAAGAAAGTCTCTCTGTTGTTTTCTCAGCCTCCTGTGATTTTGCCAACATCTGTTCCAAATTGAGAGAACTTCCTGCTTGGGATGAAAAACCAGAGGGAGGTTGCTGAGTTTGGGGTCCAGACTCTTACACTTCTACGCTCTTGGCCTTTTCTTGGATCTCCTGGGAGGACGCTAAGTCTCTTAGCGGTGACCTGGTGGGACCTTGAAGATTTTCTGGAACAGCCAAAATGAAAACCGTCAGGCTGAAGCAACGTGGGAGTCGCGAAGGCTGCTGCTTGTTCTCTGGCAGCTTGACCAAGGCGAGGAGAGAGGGGTGGCTTCCTACAAGCTGAGCCAAAAGGTCCTTAAAGGTTTCTTCACGTGTTTTAGTGGCTCCTATTGCTGGCTCCATCGCCGAGTCCCTTCCTGAAGGGGAACTAAGTTTTAGAAAGATGCTTCTGTAGATCTGTGGTTCATTAAGGAGTAAAAATAGTTGGAGATTCCTCAGATCCTCATTTCAGAAGCTCACTGCAGGAGATCAGTCTGGGGATTCAGACAAGATCCATTTGCTCACCTTGACAACCCACTGCTTAGGTCTGTACCAGAATAGGTGGAGGGAGGGAAGGGAGGAAGGAAGGAAGGAAGGAAGGAAGGAAGGAAGGAAGGAAGGAAGGAAGGAAGGAAGGAAGGAAGGAAGGAAGGAAGGAAGGAGGGGGAGTATAAGGGAATTAATGCAACCCCCAGCTACTTTTTTTTCCTGGATTTGGGCTTCTAACTTCTCTTCTTCTCCTTCTCCTTCATTTTCATATTCTTCTCCTTCTCCTCCTCCTTTTCTCCTTCTCCTTTCTTCTCTTCTCCTCCTTCTCCTTTTCATATTCTTCTCCTCCTCTCCTCTTCCTTCTCCTCCTCCTTTTCTCCTTCTCCTCCTCTTCTCCTTTCTCTTCCTTTTCATCTCTTCCTCCTCCTCTCCAAAAATATTTGCAAACCACTGTCTTTTCTCTTCATCCCCTCTTCCCTGCATCCCACTATAATGGTTGAAAAAATAGCTGTTGGGTGTCTTCTTGGTGGAAACAAGAAACATCTTCCTTCTCTTCTCCTGATCCATGGCAGATGTTGACATTTCTCCTTGACGGAGTTGTTGAATAACTCCATACACTTAACCCTGCAGCCCTTTTGCGTCAGCCCAGCTCCTCCTCCACAGACAATATTCATATGGGTGTAATTAAAGTTTGTTTTAATTTTGCTTGAGTGGGTGTCCCAGAATAACTGCCATTTTTCCATAATAGTTTAGACTCCTTAGCGCCTTGCCTATTCGTTAATTGTTCTGCTTTGGACATCATGTGTGATGTTGTGCCTTGAACCATCAGCTCTTCATGGAAAAAGTCTTTCCTAAAAAATAATAAATTGCTTTGAGACTAGTTTTTTAAAAAAGCAAACCAAACCCCAGATTAAATGCTCTCTTTCCAGAAAAAGAACTGATCTGCTTCTGATTAATGTTATTGAAGCAAACATGGCTGGGCATAACACTGCAGCAAATAATGGTTTCTTTTAACCATGGTTTGTTGAATTAGCCTCCATGGCTTTCATGTAGTCCATTAAGCCATGAACAGTGGCTTGCTAATCACAATAGCTGCATTTGCAGAACACGCTAAAATTAACTTAAAAGCACTAGGAACATGAGATGACCTAAAGTAACTTGTGAACATAATTCTAAAGAAAGCAGATTAGAAAAATCTTGTTGTGTCTTGTGTTCGGCTGTCCAATATTGTTAACACTGGTTTACTTCATATGAACCCAGTTAACCTGTTTGTTGGTTTAATTTGTTTTCCTGTTGATAGAATATATTAAATCCTAAATCAACCAGACATTAAATTTACAAAACACACTTAGTCATGAAATTGCTTAACACTAGCACTAGATATTTTTCAGTTCAATACCTCTAGTTTTGCAGACATGAAAATAAAATTTAGCTGATCTGATTTGTTTATAGAACTTACAACATAGAATAATTGAGTTGGAAGGGGCCTTGGAGGTCTTCTAGTCCAACCCCCTCTCAATTAGGAGACCCTATGCCATTCTGGACAAATGGCTGTCCAGTCTCTTCTTGAAAACTTCCAGTGATGGAGGACCCACAAATTTTGGAAGCAAGTCGTTCCACTGATTAATTGTTCTCATTGTCGGGAAATTCCTCCTTAGTTCTAGGTTGCTTCTCTCCTTGATTAGTTTCCCTCCATTGCTTCTTGTTCTGCCTTCAGGTGCTTTGAACCCCCCTCTTTTCTGTGACAACCCCTCAAATACTAGAAGACTGCTATCATGTCCACCCTAGTCCTTCTCTTCACTGGACATGCCCAATTCCTGCAACCATTCATTTGATGCTTTAGCCTCCAGCCCCCTAATCATCTTTGTTGCTCTGCTCTGCACTCTTTCTAGAGCCTTGACATTCTCAACTTCTTCTTCTCCCCCCCCCCCTTTGCAGGCTGCCCAAACACACACATACACACTTTGCCCTTTGACAACCAAGTCAGCTCCTGGATCCATCAAAATCACACATATATGGGCAGGATCCAAATGAGAATTCTAACTCTCTCTCTCCAATTGTCTCTCTCTTTCTCTTTTTCATATTCTCTCTCTCTCTCTCTCTCTCTCTCTCACACACACACACACACACACACACACACACCAGTACCAACAGCCACTTTTCGTGCAAAATGGCCTTAGGAAGCTTTAATCTGTTCTGGGTTTCCTTTTCTTGCCACTCTTCTCTAGCAAGCCATGGCTGCGACTGGTTGCAACAACAGATCCTTTCTTTGGACAGGATTCCTTTGTTTGTTGATCCGGAGAAGAAGAAGCCAGGGCAAAGAAATAAACATTACAGTTCAGATGGAAAAGATAGCGGTGGGAAAACTAGATCTGCAGCTTGTTTTTATAGCAAGGTCTTGAGCCCAGCTCACTGAGAAACGGTCCAAGCAAGGCATGGAGGAGCTGCCTGTAAAAATGGAAGGAGGAAGTTGCAGTAAAATTTGCCGGAGGCTTTGCTGATCACATCTCCCAGTTCTCTGACATCTGAACTCCTGATTTCCCAGAATTCTTTGGCAAAGCCTTGCTAGGCATTCTGGGACCTGACATTCCAGCACCTCATAAAGGTGTCAAATTGAAAACAAAGCTGTTTGTTGCTTCTGCTGCTGCTGTAAACATTGCTGAGTGCTGTTTCTCTAACGGAAGGAAGTGATGGTTTGCAACAGTTCCCAAATTAAAAATCCATCAGCAAAACATTTATACAGAATTGCCACCACTTTGAGAAAACATCTCAGAGGACAGAATCAAACATTAGCATAACAAATCCCCCGCGCATCTGCAATACTATCAATATTTATGAGTCTCCCCTCCTGGGGACGGTGCTTACTTCTGAGTAGACATCTGTGGAGTGCACTCAACAGAGGAAAACACTGAATAAAGAAAGCAAAGGCGGAGTAATTTAATAGGGGTGGAAAACTCAGAGGAGAGGAACTCTTCCTAATACAGGTATCCTGTGTAACAAAGAGAAGGACCAGGGGTGACATGATAGCAGTCTTCCAATATCTGAGGGGCTGCCACAAAGAAGAGGGGGGTCAACCTATCCTACAAAGCACCTGGAGGCAGGACAAGAAATAACGGATGGAAACTTATCAAAGAGAGATCCAACCTAGAATTAAATAGAAATATCAATCGGTGGAACGGCTTGCCACCTGAAGTTGTGGGCACTCCTCCATCACTGGAGGTTTTTAAGAAGAGATTGGACAGCCATTTGGTATAGGGTCTCCTGCTTGAGCAGAGGGTTGGACAAGAAGACCTCCAAGGTCCCTTCCAACTCCTATTATTCAATGTCCTATAACAACCTTGAAGGGAGGAAGTTGAAAAGACATTCATCCTATCCTGAATAGTTTCCTTCCTGGAATTTAATTTAATTTTTTTTCCCTCTCCTCTTTAGGGAAGTCTTATGAAATCACCTACGTGAGGTTGAAATTCCACACCAGCCGTCCAGAGAGCTTTGCCATTTACAAAAGGAGTCAGGCTGATGGACCCTGGATCCCATATCAGTTCTACAGTGCCTCTTGCAAGAAGACCTATGGAAAGCCAGAACGGCAGTTTTTGAGATCTGGAGAACATGAGCAAGTGGCCTTGTGCACGGATGAATTCAGTGACATCTCCCCTCTGAGTGGTGGGAACGTGGCTTTCTCCACATTAGAAGGCCGGCCCAGTGCCTACAGTTTTGACCAAAGTCCTCTCCTCCAGGTATTAAAAAATCAGACAGGTAGAAGAATCCTAATGCAATTCTCCCTGCCTTTTGCTTACATAAATAAATGTAACCTCCCCAGATTAAAACAGTTGGTTGAAGCAGTCAACCAAATACTCCCTCGAAAGGTTGAACAGTTTCCAAAGCTAAACAGCAATAAAATTAGCAATTGAGTAGTGGCAGGATCAAAGCAGTGTTCAAATTGAAGACGATCCAACACGAATGCATTGACATGTTTTTGTCATATTAGAAAATCTGGAAAAATTAAAATGGTCTTGCCCGGGGTCCTAAAGGCAATATAGATAGTGGAACCTGCGTGAAACTTCTCATTCCAAATTCAGAGGGCTAAAAGAACCTGGTGAGGTTCTTGGTGTATAGGAAGGAACAGGATGAGGAGTAAGTCTCCTTTTTTAACTTTAGAGCCAGTTCTCCAGATCTTCACAGCTCCCGTAGTTCCCCAACCTCCATTAAGCCCCAAAGGAAGAAGTAAGATGTAAGGCGGCTGTCTCTAGAGGCCTCCAAAACTCTTCTTCCCAAGTTGGTTTGGGAAAGACCCCAAAAGACACGAAGAATTCATAATTCAAACATGGCTATCTCCAGTTTAAAGGATCTTGGATAGCAGACTTGGAAAAGGTTCTTCTTGATGTTCCTCAACTCTTTTGCAAATGTCCATGCCAGACCAGTGTGTTGCCTCCAATATTTTTATTATTCTGCAGGAATGGGTGACCTGTACTGATTTGTTGATTTCTTTGGATCGCCTTAACACCTTCGGGGATGACATCTTCAAAGACCCTAAAGTGCTTCAATCTTACTACTACGCCATTTCAGACTTCTCGGTCGGGGGGAGGTAAGGTGAAACTTTATAAGAGGAAGTCTCTGAGTAATTTTGGGGGTGGCATGAGACAACGTTTATCAATAGAAGGAAATATTTATAACTCGGGGTGGGTTGAACTGTGGGGTCCTTGGTGCTCTCTGAACTTGGTGGTTTTCTTGCAGGTGTTTCATGACCCAACAAGGCAACGTCATCAATGTTAGAAGGGAGTGGGGACTTTGTCTCTGCTTACGGTCAGAAGCTCTGAGCTTAGTGGAAAAAAGCCACTGAAAAAGTGACCGTTTTTCACACTTATGATGGCTCAGCATCCCTATGGTCACAATCTAGAATTACTATCTTTTTCTTTTAATGTTAGGTGGATCGTCTTTTGATAAACTGGTTTTCTTGGAAAGGCTTCTGTGGTGAGGTCACATGGCAGGGAGGGAATTCTCTACCTTATCTTTTTCTCATTTACATTGAGGAAGTTTCTTTCTTGTTGTTAGCCTCCCGTCTCCTGTATTAAATCTGCCGTGGCGTTTTTGTCTTCCACTTCAAACCTGAAATTCAGTAGATTCTACGCTGGTTTTAAGAAAAAATAAATAACGCCCCTCTGCCCACAGATTACATCTCTCTCATTTGAGATATTGAAATTTCATGCGGCACGCCTGTCGAAGTAATCCACCAGGGCCTGGTTAAATCATATTTAAGCAGAAACGTTCAGTAAAACATGTCTGCAAAGATGCCCATAAGCTGACAGTGAGGCAGACATTCTATCCCTAGGCTTGATTCGGGAGTAAAGCATTAAAATGTGATTAAAGTGTTATAACGCACAATTAAATCTACCTGAAATAACGTTAAAAAAATCAGCCAGACGAAGAAAGATTAGTCAGAAGAGACATCCAGCCATTTAAAATGTAGATATTCCTCAAGTTACAACTATTTGTTTGGTGACTGAAGTTACAAAAAGAGACTTATGGCCATTTTTCACACCTAACGACCGGGTGCAGGTGATCAGGTGATCAAAATCCAGAGCAACTGGCATGTCTTTGTGACAGTTGCAGCGTCCTGGCTTTGTGTGAACTTTCCCAGCTGGCCTCCGACAAGTCAAGTAAATGGGGAAGCATGCTTTCCTTAACGGCTCCAGCGATTCTCTTAACAACTGTGGCAAGAAAAGGTCGTAAAGCAGAGCAAAGCTGGCTGAACAACTGTCTTGCTTAGCAAGGGCTCAATTGTAGATGAAAGTCACGGAATCTCTGGAGCAGAAATTGCAATTATTTCTTTTTTTCCCCCAAGTTCATTATTTTCCCACTAAACCGCGGTCACAGCCCATCCCTCATCCAAGTTGAACGAATTGCGGCATCTATGAGCCCCGTCACTTTTCCCATTCATAAAATTGATTAAACGGTGGCCATTTTTCATTAAAAAGGCTCCTTTCCTTTCCCTGCCAGAGCCTCGTTGAATATATTTCGTGTTTGCTCCGCTTGGGAAGAGAGGACATATATTTTCTTTGGGCTCTTAGGTGGCCTTGATGCTTCGGCACGCTGTGGGGTTTTTAAATGAGGTGTGTTACCCCTTGCAAATTAAATATGATGGACACTTTCCCTTGGGTTAGAGAGAAGAAAAGGTGATATCCCCCAGCAGTCTGCTCAGAATGTCTTTCTTTCTTTCTTTCTTTCTTTCTTTCTTTCTTTCTTTCTTTCTTTCTTTCTTTCTTTCTTTCTCTTTCTTTCCTTCCTTCTTTCTTTCTTTCTTTCTTTCTGTCAGAGCAAGAACATCCAATGTTAGCTTTCCGATGTTAGTTTCATCTGTTGGAACCATGACACTTTCTTTCTTTCTTTCTCTCTCTCTCTCTCTCTCTCTTTCTTTCTTTCTTCTTTCTTTCTTTCTTTCTCCTTTCTTTTTTTCTTTCTCTCTCTCTCTCTCTCTCTCTCTCTCTCTCTCTCTCTCTCTCTCTCTCTTTCTTTCTTTCTTTTTTAAGTTTCTTCCTTGCTAATTTTCACTGCCCGGAGTCCTGAATAGTGTCCTGCAGGAAATAGATGTCTCATAAAATCCTAACCAGGACCACCCTGCTTTTATTACTCAATCATCTCAGAAAGCTGGAATTTTTTAATCAGCTAAAAAAGGCTATTGACCCCTAGCCCAAAGTACGGGTCAGAGTGATGCTCTGCAAGGATACCACACAACTTGATTTGCCTCCAACTTTGCTGAGTGTGTGTTCCTCCTGACCAAGGGAGGACATTTGGAAAGAGGAAGCAAATGGGGGCATGGTAGACACTGGGTGTGTGACCATTTCACCCACAATTTCTGAAGGTAATTAAACCCAGGGCCGTATTAAATTACACCCAGTGATATAAGAAGGAAATTACAAACCAGCTGGAGGAGAACAATAATTAAAGTATTAGAGTAAATTGGTGGAGTAGGCTAAGTTGGGTTAGTGCTGGAGCAGAATGCTAGAATAGATCAGAGTAGGCTGGAATAGGGATAGCTTGGTGTGCGTTGGAACAAGAGTAGGTTGTCATAGAAAGAAATGTTGGGAATAGAGTTGGAGTAGAACTGTTGGAGTAGGGGCTGAAATAGGTTGGAGTAGGAATTGGAGTTGGAAAAGGTTAGAGTAATGATGGAGTAGCACTGCTAGAGTAAGTTGGAGTAATGCTAGAGAAGAAATAGGATGGAGTAGTGTTTCAGTAAGTAGGAGCATTCAAGAAGAGTAACCCATTGGACGAGGATGGCAAGACCTAATCCATGGGTGGGGTCCAGCCATTGTGACTGTAGCTTCCTTCTCTATGAAGAAGTGGGGCCACCCTTCTCCAACAGCTGCCTCTTGTGCCTTTGCAGATGCAAGTGTAATGGGCATGCCAGCGAATGCATCCCTAATGAAGAGGACCGGCTGGTTTGTCTCTGTCAACACAATACCACCGGGGTGGACTGCGAGATGTGCCAGCCGTTCTATCAAGACCGCCCCTGGGCAAGGGGAACAGCGGAGTCACCCAACGAATGCCTTCGTAAGTTCCCTCTGGCTGGTTTTCTTTTGGGGGGGGGGGTGTTATCCGTTCAACTCTTACGAGCAGCTCATTCCCACCAGCTTGTATCAGCTGACACACAAAACATAGCAAAATTGTGTATCGCTATTGAGTCACAACGGGGCTTGAGTGGCAAAGATTCTGCAGGCAGAAAATACATCAAGGCAGCCTAATTTCGTTTCTTAACATTTGCATAGCTTTTAAAAACTCTTTAAAGCTTTCCCGGTATCTATACACTACTGAGGCTCTTCTGTCTGTAATCTTCAGTTAGCTGAAACAGTACACCAGACAACAATTTTTGTACCCAGGTACCTCAAATCACCAACTTAAAGAGAGAGAAAAACCTTTAAAAAATCCAAGACCCATTGCTCCTGTGGGAATTGAACTTTCCAGGATGTTCAGATCAGTCTTATTCACAACATTGTACCCATGGCAGCATCCTCACAGTTATGTGATTGTGATTTCCAACATTTCCTGCTAGCTTCCTACATGAAATGTCAATGGGGAAGCCAGCAGGAAATCAAAAGTCATTCCCTCATCTATTGCTTTTTTGCTGACCTGTGGTGATCATCTCTTTAGGCAGAGAAATATTGACACAGGATGACCCCAATGCTCATAGATTCTCTAATAATATCTGCAAATACAGTGGTACCTTGGTACTCATCATTAATTCATTCTGGGAGACACAACGAGTACCAAAAATAATGAGCACCAAACAAATTTCTCCCATAGTGTAGTGAGTCACAAGGCAGCCAACACTGACAAGTTCTAGCTTGTGCATTGAGTAACAAATGAACAATGAGTATCAGGACAAAATTTTCATATCAAAATGCATTGAGACCCAAATTCAATGAGTTTCAAAACAGCTGAATACCAAGAGGATTCAATCTAAAGTTAGGCAACAAGGCTTAGCTTCAGGAGAGTGAAAACTATCCATGATGCTTTTCTCCTGTCTTTATCCAGCATGCAACTGTAGCGGTAGATCAGAGGAATGCTATTATGACTGGGAACTGTACCGGCGCACCGGGCATGGTGGTCATTGCGTGAACTGCCGGGACAACACGGGTGGACCTCACTGTGAATACTGTCGGCCCAATTTTTATCGTTGGGATGATCAGATGGCATGCCAACCCTGCAACTGCAACCAAGCAGGTAGGGTGGTGGGAAGATGGGACAATAATTTGTATTACTGGGAAGGGTGAAGCAGGCAAGGGAAATATAACATCATTAATCTTCCACAAGAATTCCATTCCATAGGAATGGAAAACAAATTATTTTTATTTGCATGTCATAGAATCCTAAGCTTGGAAGGGATCATGAGGGTCTTCCAATTCTGAGCAGAACACAGAGTAATGCTATCCAGACATTGCTTGAAATCCTCTAGTGATGGAGCCTCCATACTTCAAGAGGCAGGCAAATCCCTTTGACTTTTTTTCTCCTTGTCCTCCTTTTCTTTATTTAATGGGTTTCCAGATTTAATCAAGGCCGGATGAACATGGAAGCCTAAGATTGGATAATCTTGTTATTGCTACTGTCTTCTGATTATTGCTTCTGTCTTCTTATTCCCTCTGTCTTCTTCTTATTCCTTCTGTCTTCTCCTTATTGCTTCTGTCTTCTTCTTATTCCTTCCATTATCTTCTTATTCCTTCTGTCTTCCTAGGTTCTTTGAATCCTCAGTGCGATGCTGCAGGGAAGTGTGAGTGCAAAGCGACAGTGACAGGCTGGAAGTGCGAGCGATGCCAAGAAGGATTTCATTCCCTGAGTGAAGGAGGGTGCAGGTAAGAACCAAGGAAGTCAGAATGGAAAAGTCATCTGCTCTGTTGTGTAATGTGTAGATGCTGATATGAAATGTCCACCTTTGTTTTTGCAGACTTTGTGCTTGTAACTTTGCTGGAAGTTTGGGGATGTGTGACCCCAATTCAGGGCACTGTAAGTGCAAGACTAAAGTGGAAGGCTATCTGTGCAACAAGTAAGTGAAATGTTTGTAAGCTGAAACCTCTTCTCTTCTTCTTTTTCATCTGCCTCTCTTTTCCTTTTCATAAGTAACTTGACAGAATCTGCTGCTTTCTTTGTGTGGTTTCCACTGATGCTATTGAGGACAACAATTTTTAAATTTGTAAGTAAATAGATGAAGAGGCAGCCGTAACTGAAACAGCCCTCATTGCATTGCCAAATTTTGATGGAAAAGGGTGAAATGTGGGGAGCGCAATTTAGAGTTTAAAAAACTTGACACTTGGAAGGGACCAAACCAATTGGCCTCAAACTATTATCCATCCATCCCTGGTTAGAACAACATGTTCTAACTGTGTGGAGCTGTCCAAGGTCCTGAAACACAGCACCATTTCTCCAGCTTAAACCATTCTCTGATCCTTCTTGAGGTTCTTCTTTAATCTGTAGAGGTTCTTGTTAAAATTTGGGGGCCAGGATTTTCCCCCATCAAAAGCTCCCCACGCACACACTGTAGAATGAAGGAGGGTTAGAGAGTGAGCATAGCCCCTCTCTACTGTCAGTAAAAGTTGTATGTCGGGAGAATGATTGCACAGATTTGTGAGACCCTTCACAAGTCGTGATAAGGACTCAGTGCAGGGAAGGGAAGAGAGAAGACGAGATGTGGATCACCATCATGGACTCCCATCAGAGAGGCCATCAATAGAGGGGGTCAAAGTAGAAGAAATAGAAAATTGGGTTGAATAGCTAAGAAAATTGTTGGACAGTATTCACCATTTAATAGTTGAACTAACTGTTGACATCCAGATTACTTCTGGAACATCATGAACTATTTAATGTTCCACATAGTTCCTCTTAGAAAATTTACGTCACTCTCTCTCACACACAAATAGTTGGAATATCTGGTCATGGAAAAACAAAAACCTCTGGATTTCTTTAACATTTCATCCTTAGAACAGAACAGAATATTGTTTTCCATTTTGTTTTTATGGGCAAGTCGGTTCTCTTCTCAACAAGCAAAGTTTCATCTATTTACCTCATTTATTTGGGGGGGGGGGAATTGTCTTTTGCACCAGCAGGAGGTATTTTGATTCTAGAGACTGAAGCTTTACTTAGCAAATAGTTCCCTGTTTATTTATTTTTTATTTAAAGGAATCTAATTAAAATGCAATTGGAAGAGAAACCCAAGGAACTAAATCATAATAAATAAAATAAAACCAGGTGGGTGGTAGAGCATCTGGCAGGCCTCAGAAGAGGAACACCAAGCAAAATTGAACATCCGGTGTTTAAAGATTGTTGTTATTGTTAAAAAGTCTTCTTCTTTTAACTAGCTTGGGGCAGGCGACTTTTCATTTTACAAAGGGATGGGGCTGTTTTCCATAAATGTGATCCTCTTCCCTAAAGAAGCCTCATTCATGGTTTTGTTCACACAGATGTCAGCCTGGCAGTTTTAACCTACAACCTCACAACCCAGAGGGATGTACAAGTTGTTTCTGCTATGGACATTCAACCGTCTGCACAACAGCTCCAGGATACGAACCCCGTGACATTGTCTCTGACTTCAGACAAGGTGGGCTGCAAGGTTTTGGATTTCATTTTCTGGTCTGTCTTGAAGGACTGACATTTATCTACTCTGTCTGTCTGTCATCTATCAAGGAACAGGAGGAAAAACTGGTATCAGATCAGCAATTAGATAAAAGAAATCTGAGTTTGAGACACAACTGTCGCAGATGTTCTCTGTGGAGAATTTTGGGGCACACCACACCATCCCTGGGAATTGGGACACCCTTTCATTCAGCTGAAGGTCCCCAAAAGATCTCAACTATTAAATCCGTACGCTGCTGTGAAAAACATTTGGGCCAATTACTCTTTGCAGAATTCTTAAAACGTCTGGATCATTCATGTCCTAGCTTAGTATAAGTGGGGCCATGTAGCTTTGCCTTTAAAAACAAACAGACAACCCCTGTGTGTGTGGGGGGGGGGGTGTACAGATGGAGTGTGAAACACCATCCTATTAAAATCCATCCTGATTATATTTAAAATGGAATGTGAATTGCCACATTAATTTTAATGCGTTCTTGGGTTTGTAGCAGAATTAACCTTTGTCTCTGCTTAGCATGGGAAATTCAACTTATTTTTGCTTGGCCACTTAAGGGCAACGTTTTTAAAGCGCGGGATAATTGTATTTTTTTTTAAAATAAAAGTGTTGCAGTCTTTCAATGACATGTAATTAAAGATGCAATCTTTTCTGCTCTCCATGAGTAAGGATGCTAAGGATCGGTTTAGACCAGATGAATGTGGTCATGCTGGCTGCTGTTTTTTTCCCATTTTTTAATCCAGGACTTGATAGCTGGAAAGCAGAACACTCAGATGGGCAAGATGTTTTTCTACGCTGGGATGGAGACGTTATCTTCGTAGACCAAAATGAACAGGAGGTTACTGGATTTAAGGCACCAGGTAGGACAGCTCCTTGCTAAACTAGGCACGGTTGGATCTGATTAATAGTTGGATAGGGCACCACTAGGAGATGCAGAATGCAGAATAACAGAGTGGGAAGGGCCCTTCCAGATCTTCTAGTTGAACCCCTTGCTCAAGCAGAAGTTCCTATAATATTCCGGAGAAATGGCTGTCCAATCTCTTCTCGACAAACTCATTCACAAGATGGATCAAAGCTCACTTAACAATTTAGCAACTGAAATTTTGAGGACTACCCGTAATTCCTTGCATTATATAATTCTTTCCTCTCTGTTCTTGCCTCTCCACTGCTTAGAGAAATTTCTAGGCGATCAGCGTTTTAGCTATGGCCGACTGCTCTCAGTGGTCCTTCACTTCGAAGACAACACAACGGATGCTTCTTCTCCTTCTGTCCAGTTAATTTTGGAAGGGAATGGCGTCTCTTTGTCAGCAAGACACAAGAACCTGGAAGAAAGAAGGAATGACATCCCGTGCGAAGAACGGATTGTGTCCTTCAGGTATCAGTCTGCTTTTCTCTCAGCTTGATCGGGGTCCTTGATCAGGATAAATCGGGGTCTTGCTTATGAGCACCCTGGAGGCATCTAGTCAACCCCTCTGAGCACCAAAACGCTGGACTGTGAAGGACCTCACCTTAACAGGCCTGTAAATGTGTAACACACCACAGACATCTTCATAAAAGCATCCCACTTGATTTTTTTTAACAAAGCAATAATCATGCTGAGCACTGCAATACCCTTTGATGCTGTTCAATTAACTCTAAACCGCTGTTGGCAAACAGCAGGATGAGCTGATCAATGCTACATTCCTTTCTTTGTGGAAAGTTATAAATATCCAGAGAACAGCAAGGGTCAGGATTTCTGCAGAAGGAAATTAAAGGTTTTTATTTAAAAAAAGAAACCTTGATTGAGTAAGGACCTGTTAATCCCTCAGGTGACTTTTCTGCAAGTTTTGTCTGATTACAATCCAGGGTTGCTTGGTTGCAGGTTGCATGAGGCGGAAGAGGCCATGAGTTTGGGTCTGTCGCCTTTCCAGTTTCAACGTATGCTTTCCAATCTGACGATGCTTCGGATCCAAGTTAAAAGTAAACCCAGATCAGGTGAGCTGAACAACAGAAGAAAGTAAACCACGATGTGGTCACCTTGATCACGAGCTACCAGAAATTCAAATCCAGGTTGTAAATATCTTTTAGGATCCATTGCAACTTTGAACAGTTGCTAAGAGACTACCTTTGGACTGAAGGCAGCTGAATTTTTATTCTCACTGTATAACTTGGGTTTCTTCTTCTACAGGCAGAATTGCGCTAAAGGAGGTTCGACTCGCCTCTGCTCATCAGGGTTTCTCCAAGTGGGCTCCGTGGGTTGAAGAATGCCTCTGTCCCCAGGGGTACCAAGGCCGATTTTGCGAGTTTTGTGCTCCAGGTTACCAACGGGAGATTGCTTGGGGTGGGCCCTTCGCAAGTTGCGTGCCTTGTAGCTGCAACCAACACGGGAGCTGTGATGCTAATTCAGGTGAGAGTAAAGTTTTGCTTAAGATTCCTTTCTGGGTTTCTTTCTCTGCCTATTATGCAGCTCTGGGCTATGTTGTCTCTTATCTGACAGTTCTCTAAAGCTGCCTTAACAGACTCTTGCCGATCTGAAGGTACAAATCTCCCACCGTCTCTTTTACATCCTGAGAAACTAGGGAGGGTCCCTTCTGAGATGTTTCCTACGTCCCTTTCCTTCTCTCAGCTCATCTCTCTCTTGTCTGACCCTCGCCTAGTCTGCAGCAATTCCTCCTACCTCCCAGGGTCAATAAATCCGTAAGTGAGGCAGATTTATCAAGACTACAGGTGTATCGCTCCCTACAAGGATCTGAACTACTGACGATCAAAGCAAATTGGCAGCAAATAAGAGTCAACAGAGTTCAAGGAGGGCTGGATTCACGTCTCTTGTGGGCACGAAGGGACTCAAGATTGATGACACGTTTGACCCCTCCCTCAGGTCATCTCCTACAATTATACTTCCTAAGAGCTTTTCTTTCTGAGAAATCTTTCTAAGATGTCTGTGTCTCTGCCCTTCCCTCCTCTCCTTCCTCCTTCCATAGGTATCTGCCAATGTCTGCACAACACCGAAGGGCCAGGTTGTGAGCGATGCGCTGTGGGCTTCTACGGCAACCCTTTTCTTGGGCAACCGGATGACTGCCAAGCCTGCCCGTGTCCGGGGCAAGGGCCTTGCACAACCATGGTAGACAACGGAGAAGTGGTCTGCACACACTGTCCCCTGGGACAGAGAGGTGGGTGACCCCACAGCAGGGGGGGTCTATTCTGATTATTATTATTATTATTATTACTCTGTTGCTTTGCATGTGCACTGAGAATTTCTGCACCGGAGGCCAATTCCTTGTGGGTCTAATCACCCTTGGCCAAATAAAGTATTCTAATTCATCATCATTATCATCATCATCATCAATTCTCTTTGCCTTTTTCAGGGCGCCTCTGTGAATTATGCGATGATGGTTTCTTTGGGGATCCCCTGGGACGAAATGGATCGGAGCGCCCTTGCAGCAGCTGCGATTGCAGTGGCAACATGGACCCCAATGCAGTGGGCAACTGTGACACTCTCACTGGCCGTTGTCTACGTTGCTTGTACAACACTTCAGGGGAGCATTGCGAGAGGTGCCAAGAGGGCTTCTACGGAAACCCTCTGGATGCCAGCCCAGCCACCAAGTGTGCCCGTGAGTCTTCCAGCAGAACCAAAGAACCGCCCCAAAGGTTACTAAGATATGACAGGAGGTGCACAGTGTGAGCGATCCAATCAAGACCACCTTTGATCTCTTGAATGTAGCAGAATGACAGAGTTGGAAGAGCCCTGGGGGTCTTCTAGTCCAGCCCCCTACTCAAGCAGGAGACTCCATACAATTCCAGACAAACCCAATCTTTTTTTTTTTTTTAAATCTCCAGTGTTGGAACACCCACAACTTCTGGAGGGAAGCCGTTCCACTGATTAAAACTCACTTAACAACTGCCTGGCTTAGCAATGTGAATTTTGGGCTCAGTTGTGGACGTAAGTCGAGGACTGCCTGTATAACAAGACAAGAAGCAACGGATGGAAACTCATCAAGGAGAGAAGCAACCTAGAAGTAAGGAGAAACTTCCTGACAGTGAGGACAATTAATCAGAGGAATGACTTGCCTCCAGAGGTTTTGGCTGCTCCAACACTGGAAGTTTTCAAGAAGAGATTGGACAAATATTTGGGTCTCCTGCCTGAGCAGGGGGTTGGACTAGAAGACCTCCAGGGTCCCTTCCAGCTCTATTCTGACTGAACTCTGCAGGGTTTTTTTAGCCATTTGATTGCATTTCAGCCTCAGGCTGCTTCTCCTTCTCTTTCACACTCCTTCTCTCTCTCTTTTTCTTCCTAGCCTGCAACTGTCACCCTGATGGCTCTGCCCATGGACCAGAAGCTTGTGACCCAGTTTCGGGTCAGTGTCACTGCCTCCCCAATGTAGCCGGACGAGAGTGCACCCAGTGCCTGGAAGGCTATTTTGACCTACAGCCAGGGGTGGGGTGCAGAAGGTAATGGACGTGGCATTGAGGGAAGGGGAGAAGGGGGGTTACATAACCCAGCTTCCTTCAAATGGGTGGTTTTTTGATGTATTGGGATTACGGATTACCACGTGCTGTTTGAGCCTCTGGAGTGTTCAACCTTGGCAACTTTAAGATGGATGGACTTCAACTTCTGGGAGTTGAAGTTCAAACATGTTGGACTTCAGAGTTGGTCCAAGCATGTTGGCTGTAGAATTCTGGGTGTGGAAGTCCACCCATGCTGAATGGAGAATTCTGGGAGTTGAAGTCCTTGCATGCTAGATGGGGAATTCTGAGTGTCGAATACAAACATGCTGGCTGGGGAAATCTGGTGTTGAAGTCCACACCTCTTAAACTTGGCCAGGTTAAAGAACACTGCTCCAGATGACACTCGGCTGCTGGTGACCTTCCCATCCAAGGAGAATCACGTTGCATTAAAAAGAACATGTCCTCTTCTCTCTCTTCCCCCCAAGCTGTCAGTGCCACCTGATGGGAGCCCAGAGCAACATCTGTCATCCCATCACAGGGCAATGTGTCTGCCATCCCGGCGTGGCGGGGCTATCATGCAATCGGTGCCAGGCTGGATTCTTTGGATTCTCTTCCCAAGGCTGCCAAGGTAGGCACCTCTACCCTTCACAAAGGGCTTCATTGACCCATCGTGGGAGAGGTGGAGGGGAGGGTTAGGGAGCTCTGAACCCCAAATAAACTTCAAAAAATGAGGCTCTTCTTTCCAAGATCATTTGAACTAGGGGTGACATGATAGCAGTGTTCCAATATTTGAGGGGCTGCCAGAAAGAATAAGGGGGGGGGTCAATCTATTCTCCAAAGCACTCGAAGCAGGACAAAAAGTAACAGATGGAAACTAATCGAGGAGAGAAGCAACCTGGAACTAAGGAGGAATTTCTTGACGGTGAGAACAATTAATCAGTGGAATGACTTGCCTCCAGAAGTTGTGGGTGTTCCATCACTGGGGGTTTTTAAGAAGTTATTGGACAATTATTTGTCTGAAATGATATAGGGTTTCCTGTTTGAATAGGGGTTGAGCTAGAAGACCTCCAAGGTTCCTGCTAATTCTTTTATTTCTGCTTTATTTTGTACCCACTGAAGGTAACCATTTGGGCAAGTTGCTGGCATCGTGATGGCCCCACCTCCAAATACACTTACTATTTTTCATTCTCTTCCAGCCTGCAACTGTTCCCAGATTGGCTCGGTCTCCCTCCAGTGCCACGACAACAGCACTTGTGTGTGTAAAAAGGGCTTTGTGGGTAGCAAGTGCGACCACTGTGATGTGAACTACTTCTTTGACCTGGAAAGTAAACAGTGCCAAGAATGTCCTCTCTGCTACAGCCTTGTGAAAGAGGAGGTAAGATCCATTGGCCAAAGTTTTTCTGCTTTGATCTGCCTTTCAGGCAGATTAATTGAACGTTCTCACTCAATCTGCCTTTTGTTTCATTGCAAGATTAACTTTCCTAATCAGCCTTCCAGTCCCCTCAACAGAAAGTCTATCAGCCTTAAATATACACCCGTTTGCATGGCTTCTTCTCCATTCTTCTTCTTCTTGTGCTCCATCACTGGAGTTTTTTAAGAAGAGACTGGACAGCCATTTGTCTGGAATGGCATAGGGTCTCCTGCTTGAGCAGGGGGCTGGACTAGAAGACCTCCAAGGCCCCTTCCTATTCTGTTGTTATGTTTAGAGAGACGTGAGATCTTTCTCCAAGACAGACTCATGTGGACTTCTTTCCTGTGCAGACAGACAGACTGAAGGACAAGCTGACTGAAATGGAAGCCTGGTTCCAGAAGCCCAGCTGTGACCAATCAAAAGCCAAATATTATCATGCGGTGCTTGACGAGAGCCCACGTGGAGACAACCTTGAGCATCCCTACCTGTGGGAAGGTAAAAATAACGGGAGGAGGATCATCTGAGGACAAACGTGGATCAGGAGAGTCCACCCAAATGATGGTGTCTTGGTTTACAGGTGCTCAAGCCGTTTTCTTGGAGAAGATGACGGATCTGAAGGACTTGGTGGAAGACGCCCTCCATCGGCTGAGCAACACCAGCAGAACCATCGCTTGTGATGGTCATCGGGCTACCAAAATGTGTGGGCTCCTTTCTGATGTATCTTCCACCCTGTGGTCCACCCATGAGGAGATCCAGATGGCCACTGAAATCCTTGAGAGCATGGTACCCAATATCTGTCCATCTCTCCTTCTTTCATAAGTCTTTCTATTTCTCTATTTATCTATCTATCCATCCATCTATCCATCTGGCATATCTCTATCTCTCTATTTCTCTGTCTCTATTTATCCATCCCTCCTCTGCAAGGGGCTTTCCAATGCCAATTGCAAAATGTTTGTTTGTTATTTGTAATTGACTTGCAGAGCCAATTGTCAATCATTTGCATGTGTTTACTCCTGTGAAATTGGCTCCTGCTGCTTGCTGTAAATTACGGGTCCACACTTGTTTATTTATGCGCCGTTGCCACCCAGTGCCAAATGAAGGCGATTAACATGTAAGTTGCTCATTTGTCTTCTGATGGCGGTTGCAAACGAGCAAAACCGACTTATTTTTCTGTAGTTGGCTTACCACGCCAATTACACGTTATTTTTAATTTTTTTTTTATGGACAATCCCTTGAATCAACGGCTGTTCACGTCCTTATTTTTGGCCAGAATAAAGAAGCGGTTTATTAAGTTTTATTTCGGGGGAGCTTCATGTATCTTCAAGTCCTAATTTATAATCAACAAGCCCTGGTTAGTTTTTCTACGGGATCAAAGTTTGCCAACTGGCGCCACCTCGTGGGGAAAAATTGCTGGCCAATACAGGTAGCCCTTGACTTACAACCTTTCGTTTAGTGACTGAAGTTACAACAGCACTGAAAAAAGAGACTTACAACTGATCCTCAGAGTTATGACCATTGTAGCATGCTCACAGTTATGTGATCAAAATCTGGGCAGTTGGCAACCAACGGACATTTAGGATGGGTGCAAGATCTTTGGGTCATTTGCAAGCTTCCCAGTCAACTTCCAAGACAATGAAGGAATTCAGTTAACAACCACTTATTTCACTTAACAGTGGCAGAAAACCTAAAAGGGTCTCTTATCCACCCCATCAAATGTATGACAAATAAAATCTTATAATAGCAAAAAAAAAAAAAGAGAGAGAGAGAGAGAGAGAGGTTTTTTGGCAGAGAAAGGGGCTCACAAAATCCCTCAAATAACCATTATATTAAACAGAACTTAGCATACTTTTAAAAACAAGTAGATTTAAAAAAAAATACTTAGCCTCTTACTGCTGCAGCTTAGAGTTTCGAAGCTTACTTATTTGATAATAAATAAGCAATGAATAAACCATCATAGATCAGAGAGTTTGTAGGATAAGTATGCTTTAGGCTTTCCTGGCTGAAATTTGAACTAAAATCCCGTAGAAAATGCACAAATGTTGACCCATTGCTCCCTCCCTGGTCTCTGTTTGAGGATTTTCCTAACCTTTTCAGAGGGCGAAAGGTTTATTTCCACTATCCTCAATTTTCCCAAGCTTCAGTCGGAAACAATAGAACACTTTTTTCTTCTTCTTCTTCTTCTTTTTTTCTCCCCCTGCTAGGAACTTTCTTCTGAGATTCTTTATCTGTCTACAAACTGGAGCCACCACGCGATCAGATCTGGCAAATTGGCCCGCAGGTAAGTTTAGAGGCTAAACCCATCCTTGTTCAGGCTGTTTAGTGACCGTTCACACTTGCCCTTTCAAGACGGGGGGGGGGCAGCCAGGGAGGCTGCAAAGAGATGGGGATGGACAATCCTCTCTCCAGCTTTTTCCAGACTCCTCACCTTCTCACCTTCCCATTCAATCCTGGGGGCTGTTCTTCCTGTGGGGGGTGGCTTTTCCAAATGGGAAAGGGGGGGCAGCCACGCTGGCCATAGAAGAGAGAAAGAGAGGAGAGAAGACCCTCCTCTCTCCAGACCTTCAGCCTAGGACAGAGGTCCCCAACCTTTTGGGCACCAGGGATCACCGGTTCCGTGGAGAGAGGTTTCCCCGCAGACCGGAGGGTGCGTGGTTTTGTGTGCTGCCTGCAACCCACAGATGGGGCTTTGCTTGTTTGTGTGGACCAGTTGCTGGCATGCAACTGGACTGAGGGTTGGGGACCCCTGGCCTAGGAGATGTGCATCACCAAAGTCACCAGGTGGGTGTTTCCTCTCTGCAGCCATGTCGAAATGGCATCCTTGGTGGAAGACCTGGCCCAACGAGCCATCATGGCATCCAATTCGAGTTACCGGCTTCTGAAAAACGTTGCGAACGCTAGCAGGTTGCAGGACTTCAGGCGAGAGATGGAAGAGAGGTGAGCTGGCACAGGCCAGGATGGCAACATGCTTGAGGCTGTGCCCCATGGGTCTTCTGTGTTGGTAGTCCAAGAGTCTAGAACGACCCCAACTTTTGGCTTCAGCTGGCCGATGTCTCCAGAGAAATTCCTTGGAGGTTTTTTTTTGGGAAAGTCCTAAACAGGATAACGAACATTAGATGAGGGTGACGTTGCCGCCCCTGAAACAAACCATCATATATTTCTCAAGCCCACTGTTTGAATGAATTGGCAGATTGCCAATAATTTGAGAATGTTTGCCTTGCAGTGGTGAGAAAATTGAAAGGACCCAGAAAGACCTTGTTTTGCAAATGCAAGATGCTGAGATCCTGGTTTCGGGGCATCAGAGCAACGCAACCCTGGTGCAGACGGATACTTTGCCATTGGTAAGCATGAATAACAGGATGGTTTTCTACATTTGTTCATGAAATCAATTTTCTCTCATGTTTTGTATATTTCTTATCCAGTTGATGCTTTTTCTAGTTTGATTCCGGGTCTTCTAAATCCGTGTTTCTCATCTTCAGCAACTTTAAGATGTCTGGATTTCAGTTCCCAGAATTTCCCAGAATGTTGGTGGTAGAAGCTATTCTGGGGGGCTCAGATGGTGTTCCCCCCCCCTCAAAAATACCCTAGCAACCTACAAATGTCATAATTCTAGTAATAAAGTAATATTTCCGATTCTGAGTAGTTTTTATTTTGATTGGGTAAATCCCCAGCTTCTGATCTTGCAGCGTCCTCTGGTGGAGAAAGCTGGAAATCTGGTTCAAAAAGCAGAGGGAATTCAACAACTGGTGGAAACGAAACATGGGTTGGCAATCAACAAATCCTTAGCTATACAAACTGGGTTAAAGGAAGAGCTACAAAGGACTCGGCCCTTGGAAGAGGTGAGTGCTTTGCGACTTGATCTGCCCTTATTTGGTAGCAAAATTTGGCACAACAAACTCGGATGCAAAGAAACAATCAACTGAAGGAGTATCTGACACCAAAAAGCAGGCATTCCTGATTTGATCTTGGCTATATTTTCATGTCCCATCTCAAATATTTCAAGAAGCGTGGTAAGTGCCACAAACTGCTTTCTTTCTAATTTGCGTAGTCCTGACAGTTGGGGAAGTGGAATGTCTATTTTTCATACTGAGGACTAGCTACTTGATTCTTGTATTAGCTGAGGCATTTGGAGAATGCCTAGAGATGGTTTTGTGCTTTCAGGCATTGACAGAGCAGCTCTGAGCTGGTCATCTGTAGGAAATGTTTGCAGTTACGACTTTTTTTAAGCCCAATTTTGCTTTTCTCTTTTTCACAGCTATGGCAGAGAACAAACAATGCACGAACAGCGGCCGAGTCCTCCCTGGACAACGGAGAGGCAGTGATTTCCGAAGCGAAGGCTTTGGTGACCACACTGGACGGTAAACCGAGACTAATCTGTATGATTCACTTTACAACTGCGGTAAATTTGTTTAACAACCATGGCGAAACAGGTCGTAGAAGGGGTGTGAAACAAATGCCTTGCTCAGCCACGGAAATTCCAGTCCCAACTGTGGTCTCAATCTTTCCTTGTGTGGGACTTATTTTATCCAGTTTGAAACAGGATGACCAGTTTCTCCTTTCGCCAACAGGAATAAAGACCCTGGTTGTGGATCCTAAAGGCCGGGCCGCGGTCAAGAGGAAGAGGGTTGCAGTGCAGGGCAGGGGGATTGCAGAGACCCACAGGAAGATCAAACAGGCCCAGAGAGTTCTGGGTAATTCTGGACCCGTTTCTGCCAAGGCCTCTGAAGTTGCCAGGGATGGGGAATCAGTCTCCAAGAAGAACGCTAAGGTGGGAGCGTGTTGTGCTTTCTAGACTCCCAATCTTAGCAACCTTAAGAGATGTGGACTTCAACTCCCAGAATTCCTCAATCAGCATCCTTTAAAATATCCAGACTTCAACACACAGAATTCCGCAGCCAGCATGCTTTAAGATGTCTGGACTTCTGACAGTTGAATTCCCCAACCAGCATCTTTGAAAATATCTGAATTTTGTCTCCCAGAATTCCTTGACCAGCAGGCATTAAAATATCTGGACTTCAATTTCCAAAATTCCTCAATCAGCATCCTTTAAAAATATTTGGACTTCAACTCCCAGAATTGAAGTATGTTGCATTCTGGCTCAGGAATTCTTCTAATCCAACACCACACATCTTAAAATTCCTGAGGTTTGAGGATGATTTAGACCTTGAATTATCCTAAGAAACAGCATACACACAAACAAATGTTGTATCGGTTGGGGTTTTTTTTCTCCGGTGGTCCATCTTTTATTTCTTTGTTTCATAAAAATCTTTTCATTTAAGGAAAAAAGCTAAGCAGAATTAGACTTTGTAAGTTCTTGGATGGGAGACCACTAAGAAATCCCGGCTAGAAAGGGGGAATGGAAAAACAGCTAAGAAAAGGGCTATTCTGGGATCAAGGAAAATAACGTGGCTGTCTCTCTGAAACCCCCCCAAAGTGGCACTCATTTTCCTCTCGTTTTTAACTTTTCTGCTCTGTAGGCAGCCGAAGACGTGCTGAGACAGGCCAAGCAAGAGAGGAAACAGGCTGGGAAAATTTCTGCCAAAGTTGCTCTTACTACGGCAGAGATCTCCAGACAGGAAGACAAGGCCAAAGAACTTGGGGTCCACCTTGGAACACCTGAGGAGGTCAGTCCCTTTTTCTAAGACGCATCAGGACAGGGATGTCCCCAAAATGTTTTTTCAAAAGGCCCCTGGACTTTGTTTTCCCTTGAAGAGGTTTCTCTTCTCATCCAGCAAGCTTCTTCAGTTCTGACTGAAGTTCAGTTCAAACTCAAGTTCAATCAGAACTGAAGAAGCTTCTTGGATGAGAAGAGAAACGTCTTCAAGGAAAAACAAAGTCCAGGGGCCTTTTGAAAAAGCACTTTTGGGACAAACCTGACCTGGATGGCTGAGAATCTCCCTAGACATCAGCAGAGAGACCACAGGGGGAAGGCTAACGCGAGACTTGTCTTGTTGGAAGGTCGTAGTGGAGATGACCGGGCTCGGCCAGGATCTCCGACAGGCCCAACGCTCCTTGGAAGTGGACATTAAAGCCCTCAAGCATCTGCTCTCCAAGCTAGGTGAGTCCTCAATCCAAGGCCACGTTGAACTAACCACAATTGGCCCAGACCAAGCTTGCTTGTTGTGGAATTAGTTTTTACCTGGCAAGGAACACACCTGTTCCCTGGTTGAGCTTTCAGGATTTCCAGTCATCTCCACTAGGGGGCAGACGCTTCTTTCCGTGAAGATTTTTAAAATAAATAAATCGCTTTTGGGTTGAGCTTCCTTGGAACAATCCGCGATGCTTCCTTAACAGTGGTTTCCCAGTGCCAAGAGTTTGTAACCCAGCCTGCTTTAATTAATAAATTGAAAAAGATTACCTCATGTGCCCATTTTTCTTCTTTCTATCTGCAGTTGGTCCTTTGCAATAGCCTCTCTGCAGGCAGAAATCAAACAGGTCACCCTGATTTTTTCTGGCAAGGCTTGAGACAAGTGTTCAGTCCCAAAAGGGGCAACTGAGCCCCCCCAAATACATAATCTTTGTGTACAATGCATGAAAGGAAAAATAATAAGAGTAACAAGATAACATCCGTAATATTCCTAATTCACAGGGGCATAAGGGGTGGGTGGGACGAGTCCAGCACAATCTGAATTGTTATGCTAGCCAAACTCAATCAGAATAGTTCCAGTGTTCCTGTGGAGTTGATTTCCCAGTCTGGTCTACCTAGCAGGGCTGATGTTGGAGCTGTGATGGAGCTAATGGAGGTTAGTGTCAATGCCCTGTTCTGCTTCCCCAGGAAACCTGGATCACTCTGTGGCTGTGCTCCATGCCAGCCAGGTCCAGCTGGCAAACTTGAGGCTGCGCCTGGCAGGACCCGGTACCCTGAATCAGACGCTGGGCATCTTGGAGCAGGAGGCGGAGCAGCAGCGGGCATCACTGGAAGCCTTCGAACGAGACCTGGAGGAGATCCAGAGCGACAAGCAGAACCTAGAAGCCATTCTTCAGAGCCTGCCCAGTGGCTGTTAGAGCTGAAAGGAGGCTGGTGATGCCTGAAAAATTGTGTAGATTGAAGACTGGCTCCGAGGGGATCAATACAGACCCTTTTTTTTTTTTTTTAATGTTCACAGAATGCAACTGGCAAAGGAGGCAGACTGAGCCATCTTTGTCAGGGGCAGAGAATAGCTTGGGGCACCCTCTGTCGTTCTGGGCTGCCGAATCCACCGTGAGAATCAAACCCTGAAATGGAGATCTCCCAAATTTGCTGCCATCATGAGGACCAGAAACCTGAAACAGCCATTTACTGAGCATTCCAGCTTTTCAATCCAAGGGGTTTTGGACTCTGGTGGTAAAAAAAAAAAAAAAAAGATTCTGAGATATTGGCAGAGATTTGAACCCTAATGCAGAAAAATGAAAATCGGGAGTAAATCGGGTGCAGAGATATAGCATTTGCTTGTGATGGATTCCAGTTCTTCTGGCTCAGAAGTCTGAGAAATATTTAAAGAGAAATTCTCATTTTCTTGTTTAAGGCAAGCTTAAAAAACAAACACACCAACAACAAACGCAAGCAATGTCTCTTAGACCAGAGCCGCAGTGATGAAATTGACCAGACTCAAAACTCTGAAATTGACCGTATGAAATTGACTAGACCCACATTGATGAAACTGACAAGAACACAGCTTGTGAAATATCAGATCCAGACTCTGATAATTACCCATCCCGTGTCCTGAAAATACGCCATGGGCAACGAAGACCCAAACCTGCCATGCTTTATGATGCAAACTGCAGCGCTTCTCTCCCGGTTGAACATTGGCCCGGCAAATCTTTCTCGCATTCAGCAATCTGGAATTCATTAGCTTGCTGGCACGGAAAGTTCGGCTTAAGAGAGAAACTCTGCAGTTAACGTTCATCCATATAATCGGGAAAGCTTTATCTGAGTTTCTAAGAATACAGGATTTGTACTGTACGGATATGTCTTTTAATCTATCTCTTTTCTTAACCCCAGCTCCTCAATTCTGCTTTAAAATTGCAATGAGATCTTATAGCTGCGGGTGTGACTGTTTACAAACACCTTATTTATTTTTTCCCAGCCTGGGCGGGACTCTGGAATTTTATTTGTAAGGATCAGCAAATGGAAGGCTAACTCCATATTATGCCCATCTACCCCCTAGAGGGATTATTATCCTCTTTACATCCTAATTCCCCGCATGCATAAATCGATCGATTTACATTTTAAATATTTAAATGACGCCTTTGATGCTGCTCCCGAAAGAACTAGACAAAAATTGCTCAGGAAGAATACCAAGTGGTTCAAATTAACAGCCACACGGTTTCCTTAAGATTAATTTTAGGCTGGGTTAATAACACTATATTTAGCTGTGAGCCATAGGGGTTGGTAATCCCTAAACTATGATTTATAAGTTCCGATGGGTGTGCTAACATGACCAAACAGGAAAATTTATTTCTTCAGTTGTTAAATGAATCACTTCAGTTGTTAAGTTAGTAAGCCGGTTGTTAAGTGAATCTGGCTTCCCTCATTGACTTCGCTTGTCAGAATGTTGCAGAAGGGGATCACGTGACCCCCAAAGGGACACTGCAACCGTCCTAAGTACATGCCAGTTGCCAAGCCTCTAAATTTGAATCACATGACCCCGGGAATGCTGCAACGGTCGTAAGTGTGAAAAATGGCCATCAGTCCCTTTTTTCAGTGCCCTTGTAAATTCAAGCAGTCACTAAATGAACTGTAGTAACTTGAGGACTGCCTGTACCCAGCTTCTTGATTTCTTTGAAAAGCAGCCATCAACTCTTTGGACAGCTGCAACAAAGCAAAGCTTTAATAGGCTGACCCTCTGAAAGGGGTGAAAGGAGAGGAAAGGGGACTTGGGAGAGGAAAAACCCGATTCGGCTCCTGGATCTGCAGGGGACCTACGTGATGGGCAGGGTGGAGGAGACACGGGTGTCTGCTCTCTCCGTCCTTGACAAAGCTGACAAAGGTCTCCAGGAATGCAGCTGATAATAAGTGCTGCGTTGGGCCGTTGAGATGGTGATTCAGAATCTTGGCTTAACCAAGTTGGGTGGGGGTCAGGAAGGGCCTTGGCCAACGCCTCCATCTTGGGTTGCATTTCTGAACAAACAAAAAATTATTCCCAGGAAATTCGAAAGCAGAATAGAGCAGGGATGAACTTCTCCTTCTCTTTCTTTCTTTCTTTCTTTCTTTCTTTCTTTCTTTCTTTCTTTCTTTCTTTCTTTCTCCCTTCTTTTCTCTCTCTCTCTTTCCTTCCTTTCTTCTTTCTTGCTTCCTTTTTATCTTTCTTTTGTCTATCTTTCCTTCTGTCCTTTCTTTTCTCTTTTCCTCTCTCATTTTTCTTTATCTATTTCTCTCATTTTCTCATTTTTCTTCTTCCTTTCTTCCATCTCTCATATCTTTTTTCCTCCCTCCCTTCTCTCAGGTCTTTCCTTCCCTCCCTTTCCCCCATCATCTTCCTTTCTTCCCATACATCCCTCCCTCCCCTTCCTTTCTATATTCCTTCCCTTTCTTTTTTCCTTCCTCCCTTCCTTCTTTCTCTCAACACTCCTTCCTTCCTTTTCCCCTCCCTCCCTCCCTCCCTACCTCTTTCCATCCATCCATTCTTCCTTTCTTGTGTCTGCCTTCAGACCTCAGTCTACACCTAATCAACACAGCAGGGCACTTTCTCATCAAGTGTTGTGTGACCTAACTCCTCTCTTAGGAAGTTGTGTGAACCAGTCATCACACAAGACCTGAAAAAAAAAAGGGGGGGGGCTTCCTCAACTGCTTAGGCTTAGCCTGAGCCTATTGTGTGAACACACAACCAACACACCTCCCCCCCCCAAAACCCAGCCTGTACATTGTAGAACTTCCAAAAAGCATGTTTTTATTTCAGCCGAGTTAGGAAACAGGCAGCCCGGGGCAAGGGAAGTTAACAGCATAACAGAGTTGGAAGGGATCTTGGAGGTCATCTAGTCCAACTCCCTGCTCAAGCAGGACACCCTCTCGCATTCCAGACAACTGGTTGTCCGATCTCTGCTTACAAACCTCCAGTGATGGAGCACGCACAACTTTTGCAGGCAAGCCCTTCCACTGATTAATTGTTCTCACTGTCATGAAATTTCTCCTTAGTTCCAGGTTTCAGCTTAGTTCTGAGTTTCTTTGGGGGAACCCAGGTCTTGCGTTGTGTGAAAGCAAGTTCCTGGGGACTGTAACTCTTGAAGCGCCTCCGTCAGTGCCCGCAGCAAGGCATTCCTGGCATAACCCAGGAAAGGGTTAACTTGCCAGCCTGCTTTCCAACGGCAGAGGGGGAGGGAGGCCCCAGCGTGGGGTGCTGAGCGCTTGCAAAGCCTTCCTCCCCCAATCCCAGCAAGGAACCGCCACTCACTCAACCCGACTTGTGAATGGCTTCATTGAAGAGAAATGGGCTGGGTTTAAGTGCACAAAAGTCCGAATCCCTCTTGGCTTGGCAGTGGCGAGACGGGAGACACAACGTGCGGGCTAGGAGAGAGAGAGAGAGCTTCCAGCCAATCCCCCACCCCCACCCTCCACGACCGGCCACCAGTATCCCACCATGTCTGTGATGCTCAACGATGCCCCCCAAGGTATGTGGGGTGAGGGGAAGGGTCCCTGCATGGGTCTGTGTGTGTGCAAGTGTGCAAGCGGTGGTGTTGGAGAACTTCAAAAGTGCACCAGTTGCTTTGCGGACACACACAGTTGCTTGTGGTGAATGCAGAGGGGGTCTTTTTAGGGGGCACACTTTCAATCTCCCCCCCCCCCACACACACACTCCTTTAAAGAATGACCAGGTTTGCTACTTCCTTCTCCTTCTGTTTTTCCTTTGAGGCTGTGACTTTGAGATGGGAAATCCTCTCAAGAAAAATATTTTTTTTTCTTGATGGGATGTCATATTGGGTTGAAAGAGAGCAAAAAAGGCACTCAGTGGATAAGGGAAAATATCTGATCCGCTGCACTCGTCAATGAATGCTATCCAATTTAGTCGACAGGCAAAATATTTCCATTTTTTTCTCCTTCCCTCCGTGATTTCTCTCGACTTTTCTGCAGGAAGAAAAGCACTCCGTCTACTGAAAGCTGAACAAGAAGGCAGGTTAGAAGAAATCAACAAAGTAAGTTCCACAGTTGCTTCTCTCTGACTTTTTCCTCTCTTTCTCTTTTGTCACCTCGAGCCCACATTCACACAACCTGAATTAACCGGGTCAGCAACAAACCTTGCAAATCTAAGTGCACAATGTATGGCACTTTCTTGATTTGGGTTCACCTCGGTCTGCGTCCCTACAGCTGGCAAAACTGAGGCTTAACCCAGTAAAGGGAACCAAACAGTTAGTGTCCAGGATAGGAAAAGAACTGGGTTAGTTGGATCACCTGTACATTGATGCAGTTGAATTTAATCAGATTTTTGCTTAATTGAGAGGCCAACCTTTGGTGATCAGACGGACGAAGGGTCCGTTTTGATTTCTCCCTGCTGATAATTCACAGAAAATAAGGATACAACTCATTTTCCTAAGCAGAAACAATGGATGGAAACTAATCAAGGAGAGAAGCAACCTAGAACTAAGGAGAAACTTCATAACAGTGAGAATAATTAACCAGTGGAATGGCTTGCTTCCAGAAGTTGTGGGTGTTTCATCACTGGAAGTTTTTAAAAAGAAACTGGACCAACATTTGTCTGAAATGATGTAGGATCTCCTGCTTGAGCAGGGGGTTGGACTAGAAGATCTCCAAGATCCCCTCCAGCTCTATTTTATTCCAGATCTTTCAAGGACTTCCAGAGATCTTGTTGCCTATTCACCCTATCCTTATCTTCCCCTTTTCCAGCACTCATCTTTGCCAACAATCGTATTTTCTAGTTAATTTATCATCCACTCACTTTCCGGTGCCCAAAGTCTGCTCAGGGATCCAGGAAACACACAGTTTTCTGTTCAATCTTTCTTTTCTTCTTCTTCTTCTTCTTTTTTTAACCCTGTGCTTTCCTGGCCTTCTCCAAAGGATTAACTAAATCAGGGCATTTGGTGAGTTGCCAAGAAGAGAAGGGGGGGCAACCTCAAACTGACAGGAGGGAGGTTCAAAAGTTAAGTTGGAAAGTAGGATTTCCCAGAAGGAACAGTGAAAGCTTGGAACCAACTTGCAGCTGAGTAAATGAGTTTAAACATGCTTGGGATAAACACACATCCATCATCCAATAAATTTTTTTAAAATTGAATTGAAAACAAGTAAAATACTGTATAAATGTAATAACTAAAAAGTAATAAATAAACAGATGAAAAAAGCACATAACCTCCAAGGGCAGATCTGATGGACCACTAGGTCTTTTTCTGTCACCTATTTTTGTAACGTGGCATCAAGACAGTGCTGAATAAATGATATTTTAATAGCTGGTTCAGGTGCAAAAAAACAACCTCTCTCTCTCTCTCTCTCTCTCTCTCTCTCTCTCTCTCTCTCTCTCTCTCTCACTCACTCACTCTTTTGCCCCAACTGTTGAAGCTTTATTTTGCACTTGCAGTATATAAAGCTCTCCGTTGTCTCGTGAAAACTTTTGGATGTGGGTTTGGGAGCAAAGGCCTGAAGAAACGTGGAGGCTGGCAATCAGACTTTGCAGCATGCAAGAAACCAGCCAGATCTGCACTTTCTGATCCCTTCCTACATTTCAAAATGGATCACCCAGAGTAAAAAGCTCTGATTGTCCCCTGGCAGCTTCGGTTTTTCGGGAGAGAATGTGCTGGCTCTTAAAAAGAAACGTGCGTGGCTCTTGTTGATGCAATCTAAGTGGATTTCAAAACAGCCCTCTGGCTTGAACAGCTGGATTATGCAAGCCACGCCTTTTCCTGTTTGGCATCAGCCTGCAAAAGAAGAAAAACCTGCTTGAAAAGTTTCAGGTAGTAACTTCCAGGAGTTCCTAGCCTTCCTGCTCAAAGGGTGCATTTTTTAATCTTAAAAAAAAATCCCTTTGGGGTAGGAGTTATGAAAATATGTCTCTCTCTAGATTCTCAAAAGGAAAAAAGCGCCCAAATTTTATTCATGTGACTGTGGCCGTAAGGGAGAAAACTGGTCGTAAATCTCTTTTTTCAATGCTGCTGTAACGTGTCTTCTTAGAAACCTCCAGGGATGGAGCACCACAACTTCTGGAGGCAAGCTGTTCCACTGGTTAATGGTTCCCACTGTCAGGAAGTTTCTCATTAATTCTAGGTTGCTTCTCTCTTTCATTAGTTTCTACCCATTGGTTCTTGTCCTGCCCTCAGGCGTTTTAGAGAATAAGTGGGGGAAGAGGATTGTGAGGACCTTGGTTGTTGTTGTTGTTTTTTGCAGACGTCATCACTGTACTGATGATGTTACCTCGTTTGGTAATGAAACCTCTGCAAGAAAACAACCAAGCTCAGAGAGCACCAAGGACGCCTGGTATGAGGTCTCCTGTTTGGGGCTGAGGGTTGGGCTAGAAGACCTCCAAGGTCCCTTCCAGCACCATACTTCTATAAATAGAGGACTATCTGCTTTCCATTTGTCTGAATTGACTTTTCTTCGTATGCCTCCCACAGAGTCTAGTTCAGCTTTGCTCAAAGGATTGTTCTTTATCTCTGCTCAAGGCTCAGCCTTAGCCTCTCTAATCTCCACTTCAAGATAACTTTGTGGAAAATTGAGCCTCGACCTTAATTCAGGGACTGTTTTCTCTGCTTTTAGTGCTGTGTTTTCTTTTTGGCAGTTTCTTTCCTTTTTAACAGAAGGTCCAGTTTTTGCAATTTTTTTTTTTTTCCTGCAACACCCAACAAAGCTATTTTCATTGTTCGGTGTGAAGTGATTAAATTTGGCTTCCCCACTAAAATTGCAAAGGGATTCTGATAGCCTGCTGTACTATATACGGGTAATCCTCAGCTTAAAATCACAAGTGAGCCCAAAATTATTGTAAACATGATGTTTCTACCTAGTCTACTTGAAAAGCAAGCCACTGGGATATTTGACTGTTGCTTAAATCTCGTGATAGCCTCTTTTTTAAATCCTTTTTTCTCTCTGTTTCAGGAATTTCTCTGCGACCCAAAGTTTAGCAATGAAGAGGACCTGGAAGAAAAGCTTGTGGTTTTTAAAGGTACTAGTCCACACTGAGTGAACCAGCTGCAGAAAAGCATTTTCTTTTGGGTTAAGGCCAGAAGCTCTGCAATAGTCCAGAGAAAGAAACAATGCAATGTGATAATCCCCAATGTTATTACTTTGGATAGATCCATGCCTCTTAAAGCATGCTGGCTGGAGAATTCTGGGAGTTGAAATCCATGCATTTTAAAGCATTCAGACTGAGGAATTCTGGGAATTGAAGTCCATGCATCTTAAAGTATGCTGGCCGGGAACTCTGGCAGTTGAATTGCCATATCTGTGAAATACACTGGACCAGACTTCAGTTATCTGGAGAATAAGAGTCCATCTAAACCAAGGAGATAGGAAATCTTTTTGTGGTCTTCTGGTGTGGATAGAGACCGGTTTTTCATCTCCCTTTTTAGGGAGATTGGTGAGAATCGATTCTCAGTCAAAATTATGTCTGAAAATTACTTCCGTTCACCCTCCTCTTTTTCTTCCCCTCTTCTTTTTAAGTGAAACTGAGGACGTCTTAAAAGTCCTATTGTGCTCTCCTCCAGCTTGAAGTTCCCCAGATGTTTGAGGCCACCACCTCCTCCTCCCTGGCTCCAAACCCAGCACATCTGGAAGGGATTTTGCATCCCACCAGTGGCCAGGCCTCGTGGCCAAATCCGGTCTGAGGAACTGGCAATGGTGGCTAGTCTTTTTCAGCTGGGAAGCAAGATTATCTGTCAAGAATGTTTCTTTGGCTACAAGATCAGGGCGTGGATGAGGGATGGGAATATTATTGTTGCCAGTGCAACAGATGTGATAGAAACCTCTGATTTTTAAACATGTTTGGGCTCCTTCAAGATCTCATAGACTACGCCCGTATATTAGATGGTTTTCACCCCCCCCCCAAAAAAAGATGTTTAGCAACTTTTCGAAGTTATGACGGTGCTGAAAAATGTGACTTACAGTCTTCACACACTTCATCTGTCCTCGTGCAAAGGAAAACCACTTTTATCCAATTTGGGGTATCTTAGTGGTTAGGGAAACCCTAATTTAGGGCGTTGTGGAACCGATCTGCTGAGACTGCAGGAAGTCCAAGACTGCAAAGGGTTTTCCCAAATCTTCTGGGCACAAAATGGATTGGAGAAGCCAGGGTAGTTTTCTCCTCTTAAAGTATTTTGTCTTTTGTTTTTCCAAGAGTTGGCTGGGAGCAAATTCTGGGAAGTGTTGAGCAGCAACACCACCCAAGAATTTGAACCTTCAACTCATTTGTGTTAAGCCAGGAAGAGCAACAAGGCAAGGATTAACATAACCAAGCATTCAGCAGGTTGTTGGGAAATGCTTAAATGATCCAGTTTAAGCCTGTTTTATGGATGGATCAGGCACATTTTTATGATATGCCCACAGGTCAAAGGAAGGCATGTTATTGTACAGCGTAAAAGTGTGATAAACAATAAGGGAATGGGGTTTTAGATTTTGTAATTTGCCTTCCTTCCTTCCTTCCTTCCTTCCTTCCTTCCTTCCTTCCTTCTCTCCATCCAATTTTTCCTTCTTCCTCTTTCTTTGTTCCCTCCTTCCCTCACTCTTCATTTATTTATTTCATTTCTCCCTCCTCCTTCCTCTTTTTTCTCCATCCTTTTTATTTCTCCTTTCTCCTTTCTCTATCCTTTTTTCCTTCTCCTTCCTTCCTCCTTCCTCTTTTTTTCCGTTCTCTTCTTTCTCTCTCTCCCTGCCCTTCCTTCTTCTTCCATTATTCTTGTAAGATCAAGCACCCAGCCTGATCTCCCAGGAAGAAACAGCTGCATTTGAAGCCTACGTTTCTCTGAAAACAGAACTTGGAAACCAGCAGAAAACAAGCATCAAAGTAAAGCTGCATGGAATAAAATAAAATAGCCGGCAGGAACAGGAAGCAAGTCCAGGGCATTTTCCAGCCTCTTGGCATGGGGCTAGTCCTTCAGATCTTTCAAAACAGGGAAGTACGTGTTGCAAAACAAAAAGGAGCCTGAAAAAAAAAAAACAAAATGAAAACTGGAATATTTTCCCTGCTGACTAAATTGGATAGCGTTTATTCACAAGCGAACTTCAGATATTTTTCCTAATCTAATGGAGGCCTTTTTTTTTTTTTTGCTCTGTTTCAACTCCAAAGATTACGAGAAAAAGAAAAAAAGAGAGACAAAACTCTTTCTTGCAGAGGATTATCTCAACGTCACAGTCGCAAAGGAAAAACGGAGGAGGAGGGCGAAGAAAAGAACAAGTCCAGCCATCCTTTTCAACAAGCCAATTATAATAACAGCTCTCAGGAAGAAGCAATTGGGTGCAATTGCACAGATGACAGCAAACTGGATGAAGGGGGCCAACTTAATTTGCCCCCAGCCATAGCAAAGGTTTTGTAGGGGAGAAAAACAAGGGATCCACATTATTTCTGACCGCCAGTCCAAGAGCAGAGGTGGGCAAGAGGGACGATAGGACTGTGGGGAAAAGAATCTTATAATCCATAATGTACCTTCTGTGGGCTCTTGAGCAGCTTCCTCAGTTCCTCAAGCGATCGCATCAAAGGCAGCAGAAGCAACCTGCTTGCAGAGTCCTTGCAATGTTTTGTGCTTGCTGCAAAGATCGCATGGGGGGGGGGAATGCAGCATCCAGCCCCTCCTTTCACTTTCATATGTGCACTCTCTGAACTCAACATTTCTATCATTAAGTAAGAGGGGCGGGAGGAAAGGTTGGACTAGAAGACCTTGAAGGTCCCTTCTAACTCTGTTATTCTACCTTGGTGTGTTCCAGAGGATGAGCTAACCTCCGCTTCTCTTTTCTAGAAAAATACATGGAGTTCGACCTGAATAATCAAGGCGAGATCGGTAGGATGTTCCTGTGGTCAAATGACCCCTTGAAAAGAGGAAAAGGGGGGGAGGAGAATGAAGGGGGAGCTACTTAGGGTGTGTGAAAGGACCTGTACACAGGTGGGAGGTACACCTGCCTGGTCTCTGGTTTTTAGTGGGCTTCCCCCTCTGCAGGCGTTAAGTCTCCGGTCTCCGGCTGTTGTTCCCTGCAGATCTCATGTCGGTGAAAAGGATGATGGAAAAACTGGGGACGCCCAAGACCCACTTGGAGCTGAAGAAGATGATCTCCGAAGTCACCGGGGGGATCAGCGAAACCATCTCGTATCACAATTTCATCACCATGATGCTCGGCAAGCGGTCGGCCGTCTTCAAGCTGTGAGTATCCGAAAGAGGAGCAAAGGTGCCTTGGAAACATGGCTGCAGGAACCCTCGGCAAAACTCTTAAGCCGTTGTCCAAATTCATCAGTTCTCACCCCAGCCTTTTGGTCAGCCAATTCAAACATTGACCCACAACCTTTATCAATTATCCAAAATGGGTAACAAATGGATTAAATCTTAAAAATATTGTATAACAATGCTGGTGGCTACCTTGCCCTCAAATCCTTCCATGTCTTCCTTCCTTCCTTTCCTTCCTTCCTTCCTTCCTTCCTTCCTTCCTTCCTTCCTTCCTTCCTTCCACTTCAATCGTGTCACTAACTTAACAACTGCAGTGATTCAAATTAAGAACCATGACAAAAAGATTCATAAAATGGGGCATATTTCAGTTAGCCATTGCCTTGCTAACCTTCTCAAGTCCTTGTTTATCTATTTAAATTTGTTAGCCACAAAACGTCAGAGAGCTGAAGTTGACACCCCATCAATGGAGAAAGGAGCTCCTTTTCCCCCACCCCAGCTAAGACTAAAAGCTATTTTGCTAAAGATGCGTTGCTTTAAAAAGCTAAAATGCAAGATGAACAAGAATCGCAGGAACAAACTACGCATTGTCTTTCGGCCCCTGTCTCGGTTTTCATTTCTGTTCCAAATGTTGAATTCTGGACAGGGAACAATAACTCCGAACTCTGTGCGGGCACAAGAGAGTTGGCTCCTATTACCAACGCTTTCCCCTCCTGTCCCCTCCTCTTTGCCCTCCGGCTTGTATCCTTCCTCCACGGCTGACCAGGCCATTCGCTCCAAGATTCGCAGGAGGGAAACCATCGGTTGTGATGTTAGAAGAACCTTTAACTGGTATAGGTTAGAGTCAGCCAACTAGGGAAGTGAGGTGGAGCAGTCTAGCCATTCTCAGCAGAGAAAGTTGGAGAGGTTGGGAATCTACAAGACATCGCAGGTGAGTAACTCTTTTACTTTGTTATTCAAGCCCCAGAATTCCCCAGCCAGACATACTTTAAGAGGGGTGGATTTCAACTCCCAGAATTCCCCACCAGCCATACTTTAAGAGGGGTGGATTTCAACTCCCAGAATTCCCCAGCCAGCGTGCTTCTTTAAGCTGGTGGACTTCAATATTCCCCAACATGCCGGCTGGGTGATTCTGGGAGTTGAAGTCCATTCATCTTGAGGTTGAGAATCACTGCTCTAGGAACAAAGCAAGGTCCCATTAATTCCCCTCTCCTTTTCTGTTCTTTTCTTTCAGAGTCATGATGTTTGAAGGCAAAAGTCAGGAAACCGCCCCCAAATTTTCGGGTCCCCCTCCAGAGAGAGATCTCTCAAGTCTTCCTTAAAGGGATAAGAAAATACGGAACATTTTCACCTCTGACCATGACCACAAGATCTCTGCTCCATTGCTTTTAAACCGGCCCGTTTTAAAGACTCCATCCAAAAGAACTGCAAGCAAAAATCCACAGGATGTCAAAATGTCACAGAATAATTTTTATTCTCAATTCTAGCAAGCCCCGTCATTCTCCAGAATGGGAGCAAAATCCAGGTTTCAAGGGGCGTTTTTCAACAGATCGGTGCTCTCCAAAGCCCTCCGTTTTCTCTCAAACCTGAAACAATTCAGAAGTTCTTCGCCATCACTTCAAAGCAAAAAGGGAAAATCAGAGACGTTTTAGCCTGGATTCAGAATCAGTCCTAAGCCGGATGGGGCGGACTTGAGTGACATCGTGGCTAGTTTTGGAGTTGGGGGTCTACAAATGAAAAAAAAAATCGGTTTTGCAGAACAACCACAAAAGTTCTAAATGTCTTCTCGAAGTAGCTTTCCTGATTTCTGAAGATCTTTTCCTTCTGTCATTCTTTAAAATGCAAACGTTTTCACAATGCCTGGTTCTCTAATCTTGGTTTCTTGTTCAAGCCAATTCGACACCTTTCCTTGATCAGATCAGTGTGACTTCCCCTTCTCAATACAGGCAGTTCTTGACTTACAATCATTAATTTAGTGACCTTCAAAGTTACAATGGCACTGAAACAAACCAGTCTTCGCACTTAGGACTGTCGTAGCAACCCTCCGGTTGTGTGATCAAAATCCACGTGCTTGGCACGTATTTATGATGGTTGCAGTGTCCCATGATCTCTTTGTGACCTTCCCAACTAGCCCCCAACAAGCCAAGTCAATGGGGGAAGCTGGATTCATTTAATGACCGTGCAACTCAACCACTGCAGTGATTCACTGAAGAACCATGGCGAAAAAGTCATAAAACTGGGTATGACTTACTTAACAACGGTCTTGCTTAGCAATGAAAATTCTAGTCTTAATATTGTGGTCATAAGTCAAGGACTACCCTATGTGAGTTTTGGAATAAGAAACATTGGGCTGTGGAGTTGGATTTAGTCATCTTAAGGTGCTCTCCTTCTTTTAGCGATTGAGTTGACCCATTGAGGTCAAGTCTCTGTTGAGTGACTGGATTCTCATCAAGTTTCTTTCGTTTTCTTGGTATCAATACAAAGCAATTTGCCATTTACTTCTATTGTCTTTTTTTCAACTTCCCAGTCCAACCATTTAGTCTTGGGGGGGGGGGGTCCTCCTCGTCATCCATTCAAACACTAACCAGCTTCAACCCTGCTTAGTTTTCCAAGGTCCACCAGAGATGGCTAGAGGCGCCCCCTGCTGACTTTCAACCCAAATGAATCAATACAATTAGACTCACAGCGTCCACTAAATAAATGAGATTCTGGCTTCTGAGGTGTATATCATGGACACCAGTGAAAAATATCTTGTTTGTAAGAGGATTCATGCAACATGCTAAACTTAGGATCATGGCTGTATTCACACATGATTACAGGCATGGCGCCCTCTCCCAATGCACCATAGACCAGTAAGTGCATTTCAGCTTAATGTGTTGTGTAAACTCTGGGGAGGTGCATTATTTCGGCTATGGAAATCCAGCTTTGTTGTGCACAGACCTTCCTGATTATGTTGTCAGGGGTTCTATCTTACCGTCTTTGCTTTGATGTCCTTCATTTAATACTATCTGGGTTCACATGTTGCACAAAGCCACAAAACTATTATTTGGGTTTAGCTTCCTGTTTAGTGTTAACCCACAAGGTTGCAAACCCAAGGCTTAGAAGTCAGTGTGCCAGGTCAATCTACCCAATGGTGGTTTATTCAACCAACTTTAATTAATCAAGTCTTCGCTTAGCAACATGGGCAAAACCAAGCTACATGGACTGTGGGGAACACTTGTCGTCTGGGATGTCTTCAATGCTGGCTGTTGAGGGGTGTCCAGAAGGTGTGAATGAAAAAAAAAATAACTGAACCTCAAGCTACCACATCTAGTAACATAAATCCTACAATGTAAATGGATTTGGAACTCAAGAGTTTCCATTGACCTGCTCATACAAGGAGAAACTGCATCCAGTTCTGATCACAACAGTGGAAAAAAAGATGTTGAGACTCCAGAAAGAATGCAGAGAAAAGTGGAGGTTTTCAAGAAAAGACTGGGCAGCCATTTGTCTGAAATGGTATAAGGTTTCCTGCCTGAGTTGGAGGTTAGACTAGAAGACCTCCACGGTCCCTTCCAAATCTATTATTCTATGTTCTATGAAACTCCAGGGACATCTGAATCTGGACCAAGGATTCTAGAACTTGGGAGAAGGGCTAGGAACTATCAACTGATCGTCTTATTTTATAGGAACATCTATATTGTCTGAATTGGTATAAGGTTTCCTGCTTGAGCAGGGAGTTGGATTAGATGACCTCCAAAGGTCCCTTCCAGCCCTGTTATTCCACGTTCTGGGGAATAATAGGCTTGGAAGGTCTTCTATGTTCTAAGTGCCATGTTCATCCAAGCTAATGTTGCCCTGGTTTTCAGAGGTATGATAGCTCATTAACCTCAAGCAGCAGGAGAGTTCTCTGAAGCCTTTGATATTTATTGAACATTCATAGTGGTCCTTTCCTGAATCCCTAGCCCTGCTTTTTTTCTATTTCATCTTCATATGAAGGGTTGGTGACTTGGTTTGGGACCCTATTTCCTAAGCTTGTAAATCCATGATTTTCCGTAATAAAACAGTAGCAGTGCAATCATGCAGTTGGTTTCTCTTATTTCTTGACCTGGCATCAAGCGAAGGCATTGCAAATCCTGCAATTATCCCTCTTGAGATCAACAATCAGTAATGGGATGGTTGTGTGCCAATATTCTAACCCTGTTAATTAAATCCAGCAGTTAACCTAGTAGTTCTTCCCGGTCATCTGTCGTGCCCAGGTGGATTACAGCTAGTCCTCGACTTATCTTTCAAAGTTTGTGCTAGTTTATCAGAATATAAAATAATGGAAAACGAAAGGAGGGGAAAATCTTTATAGATGATATCTAAAAGGATTCACAATCTCGGAAGTCGGAGGACTTGTATGACTCTATTCTTCCTACATCTATGTCCTCGTACTTTTGTTTTCACCTCCTTAGCACTAGCCATAGAGTTGACCAAGCGGAAGAGCGCCGATACCGGAAAGACGTCACTTTTTTCTTTTCGTTCCTTCACGGAGGAACGGAGCGTCCGGGAGTCCCAGCCGGCGGCATCTCCTATTTTCCACCCCTCGGCCTTCCCTCCCTCCTCTCACCACTCCCCTTGCCTTAGGCGTCAACCCGCAAGCCGCGCCTAGAGCGTCGCCGGAAGCGGAAGCGCCGCGCGTCCGTTATTTTCTCCTTCCCCTCCGTTGGAAAAGCGGGGATGTAAAGAGGTGGCGGCGCGTGTCCAGGCTGCCAGCGGCCGGGCGGCGGCGGCGAGATGGGCGACGACATGGACGTCATCCCCGAGCGGGAGATGAAGGTGAGGCCGGGCTTGGTCGGGGCTGAGGGGAGCAGAAAGAGCCGGGGATTTATTAGGGTTTTTAGTGCCCCCCCCCAATTTCCCTCCCTCGGGTTCATTATGACGTTTGGCGGCTCCTTTAATAAGTCTGACTCTCCTCCCGCCATTATTCCTTTACAACCTTCTTTCCTCCTGCACAACAGCCCTGCCAGGTAGGCCAGACAGTAAAGCTCCCAAGATGTTATTGTATTGAATTGAATTGAATTACACTATGCTACACTATACTATTGTATTTATTGTATTATATTATTTTACGCTATACTATACTTTTTCTAGTTTTATTTTACTTTACTTCACTGTATTTAATTTCCATTTTCATTTATTATTCGGTAAATTTCTATGCTACCCCTCTCGCTACCCAAAGCGACTTTAGTTGCTTTCCAAGTTGGATCCACTGTGGGGGCTTTGGACAGCTCCTCCCCCCCACCATTAAAAATAAAACAAAAAGAATTATCCCAATTTGGGTAACCTAAAAGTTTTCCAAGCCTACAAGTTGGATTACTGCCCCCCCCCATCCCACCCTCAAAAGAATTATCCTGTCTTTGGTTATCTAAAGCAGTTACTTTTTTAACAGTTGGGAAATAGAATATAGAACCATCAGGCTGGTAGGGATTCTATTCTCATTCAACTCAGCTACTGCAGTTGGAAGGGACCTTGGAGGTCTTTTAGTCCAACCCCCTGCTCAAGCAGGAGATCCTATACCGTTCCAGACAAATGGTCGTCCAATCTCGTCTTAAAAATCTCCAGTGTTGGAGCACCCACAAGTTTTGGAGGCAAGTTGTTCCCCTGGTTAATTGTTCTCACTGTTAGGAAGCTTCTCAGTTCTAAGTTGCTTCTCTCCTTGGTTGGTTTCCATCCATTGTTTCTTATCTTGCCTTCAGGTGCTTTGGAGAAGGGGTTGTGCAACCCCTCAAATATTGGAAGACTACTATCATGTCACTCCTAGTCCTTCTCTTTGTTAGACTAGACATAATGCGTTAAAAGTTTTGGGTTTTTTTTTCTTAAGGGCTCTCATGAATATTTGTCTTTCTAGTAAGGCTTCTAATACCGTGCTTTTCCGGCAGGATTTTCAATTCCGGGCCCTGAAGAAAATCCGGATCTTTGAAGCCCCCGAGGATCTGCCCAAGGAGCGTGGCAACCTGCTGGTTGTGTCCAACAAATATGGGCTGACGTTCACCGGTTGTGCAGCTGGACTGCAGGTCTTTCACACGAAAAGCCTGCTTATGCAGATTCAGGCTGGGGATTCTCCTAATAAAATAGGTGAGATTTATATATGATTTTCCCTCGTGTTAACGCTTTAGCTGGTTGGCTGTTTGTTTGATGGAATAGGTGCCATTAAATCAGTGTCAGCTCTTAGTGACCGTAGAGATTGATTATCTCCATGAAGATCTGTCCCCAGCCTGATCCTTCAGGTCTTCAAAAGATGCCTCCATCAGCATATAACTGAATCACTCCACCTTGCTGCTGGACAGAGTGCCTGCAAAATGTCCAGCCCCTGGGCTGATGGCGCCTCCAGAAGTTGTAGGTGCTCCAACACTGGAGATTTTAAAGAAGAAATTGGATAGTCATTTGTCTGGGCTGATAGAGGGTGGAAATTTATCAAAGAGCAGTAGCTGTTTTTTCAACTTTTCCTTTCCTTTTATTTCCACAGTGGAGAATATCCACGGCCTTTTTGTTCCTACAAAGTTTTGGGTGCATCACTTGGCACTCAGCTGTGATAACCTCACGCTGTCAGTCTGCATGGCCTCCAGCGAAGTTGGCTCTTTCGTTGGCTTTTTCGACGTCCGTACCTTTGTGAATCAGGTGAGCTGCCGTCTTTAAACCCAGTTATCATTTGGTGCGTTATCCCAAAGGTGCTTTTATTCTGAAACCAGCTGGATTCTCTGATTCCTGTGTGTAGGTTTGAGCAGTAAAATTTCCGAACTGCCACTTAAATGTATGCTTTGATCTTTTGTGCCTGACGTTAATCTAGCCAACTTCTCATCTCTTCATCCTTCTCTTTACCCTGTAATTTTGCCAACAGGCTAAACAGCAAAAACGGCCATTTGCTTATCAAAAGATGCCAGGCGCGCTGGTCAACGACCTCAAGTGGAATCCAGTAAATGCTTCCATGTTAGCTGTCTGTCTGTCAGATGGGAGTGTCTCCGTCCTGCAAGTGACGGAGACCGTAAAGGTGTACGCCACACTTCCTGCTTCAGTGGCTGTTACATCCGGTGGGTCGCATGGTCTCATCCCCTCACCCAAGCTCATTTTAGTTATCTGGTTTTTTATTCATATATTTGTACTTATTTATTTATATCTCACCCTGTTATTTTTTATAAATAACTCCAGGCAGTGCACGTACCTAATCGTCCTCCTCCCCCCTCCTATTATCCCTACAACTACTCGGTGGGGTGGGGTGGGCTGAGAGAGGGACTGGCCCAAAGTCAGCCAGCCAGCTTTCATGGCTAAGGTGGGACTAGAACTCACCATCTCCTAGTGATTGTCCCAAAGTCATCCAGTCGGCTTTCATGCCTAAAAGGTAGGATTTCCCCCCATTTTTTTAGCCTGGTACCTTAACCACTAGATCAAACTGGGGAGGCCTCAGCGAAGAACCAACTCATGACCCTGGTTTACAATACCAGTATTCTGACGACTAAGCTAGATGGGACTACAGCTTCTATCTTCTCAGCCTGATTACCTGGCTTCATGAACCATATCTGAAGTGTCCTTGATTGGCACAAGGCTGGGACAAAAATTGCCCTGATTCCTCTCAACAATGGGTTGTTCTGTTAAGATTTGAGAGGCTGGTGGGTGGAGTAATTAATGTGTCAGTTTTTTAAAGCTTTTTTTTTAAAGAAAGTTGTTTTTTCCCCAGTGTGTTGGAGTCCTAAAGGGAAACAGCTGGCAGTAGGCAAGCAGAATGGCACAGTGGTCCAGTATCTGCCAGTAAGTCTTAATTTTGGATTAATTCACAGAATGATTAGCTCTGGATAAGTTGGAACTTAACTTCTTAAGTGCTGCATCAACAGACAAAAATATGGTCGAACTGTGTTGTTTCTTCTGTTTTTCAGAACCTGCAGGAAAAGAAAACAATTCCTTGCCCTCCGTTCTATGTGGCAGATAATCCTGTCAAGGGTACGAATTTAGTAATATTTCAGTAGGAGTCTGGTGGGCCTTTTTTTCTAATTTTAACGCAAGTTTCTAATAGCTAAATTAGGCCAGGTAAACCTGACATGGAATAGAAAGTACAGTGCTTGGTTTGGAGAAATAATAATTTTTAGAGGAGGTTTAAAAACACAAAGGTAAAATCTAGGAACGATTTCCCCCTCCATCCAGACAAATCCAAACAATTTCACTAATTTTTTACAAGCCGCCATCCTACTGGTCATCTATCTTTTCCTGAAAAGCATCTTCCCCAAAAGGGACAATGTAGAATTAGATGGATCAATAAAAAGTCCACCTTGTGGCCAGGCATCTCACTGAAAAGGAGACAAATGACTCTTGTATAATAATCTTTTTTATTGTTCTTTTCCAGTCCTGGATGTGTTGTGGATCGGCACTTATGTCTTCACCATCATTTACGCCGCTGCCGACGGGAGCTTAGAAACCGCCCCTGAAGTGGTTATGGCTCTACTGCCAGTAGGTATCCACCAGGGATACAGTTGTGCCGGATCTTGCTTTAAAAAAAGAAGAAGAAGAAGATGAGAAACTAAGTTGTTGTCCTTCTCCCTCTTCAGAAAAAAGAAGAGAAGAGACCTGAAATATTTGTAAACTTTATGGAGCCTTGTTACGGGAGTTGCGCTGAAAGATTACATCACTACTTCCTTAACTATGTTGAAGACTGGTAAGCATCAATAGGAGGGAATATATGTAGCCCAGGGTTGAACTGTGGGGTCCTTGGCATTCTCTGAGCTGAGTTTTGTTAGCCAACTAGACAACATCAGTGCTACTGTGACTTGCTCCCTGCTTATGTACAGTAGCTTGATTGTTTTTTTGCAGACATTTCGTGACCCAACTAGGTAACGTTATCAATGCTGGAAGGAAGTGGGGTTTGCTTTCTGTTTTTTTCCTAAAGACATTCACTTGTATCCACCATTCCAAATGAATCTTCCACCACAGTGTCAGGTGTTTCTTTCCTGTTTGTGGGCTGATCAGATCTCTGGCTTGCTCAAGGATATGCATAAGTTGTTCTTTTTACAGGAAAACCTGAGCGGGAACTTAATTTCCTTGAATTTTCACATTTATGTGGGTTTTTTTTTATCCCCAGGGATCTGGTTTTATTAGCTTCTGCCGCTTCCACAGAAGTCAGCATCCTTGCAAGACAAGGGGATCAGGTAATTCTCTTCCCACGTTATTCTAGAAGCTCAGACAGAGCAGAGCTTTTTATAAGAAGAGAGAGAAAAAATCACATTCTGGATTCTTACGATAGAAAAAAGCAGGAGAAAAATACAGCTATATCTGTCCAGCCTGTCCTAAGTTCACTTTTTTTTTCAGTGCCGCTGTAACTCAGAATGTCACTAAGTGAACTATTGTAGGTCAAGGGGTGCCTGTAGTCACGGGTTTGTGTGCTTGAGGGCTTGGCGTCTGTTGCAAGGCACATTTTGAAAACCGGATCAACTTCCATTGCAGACCAACTGGGAACTATGGGTGTTGGAAGACTCCAGCCGCGCAGAGCTTCCCGTGACGGAGAAAAGCGATGACTCCTTACCAGTCGGGGTAGCCATTGACTATAGCAACAACATGCCCATCACTATCAGTAAGTATGAGGACGATTGGTTTGATCTGAGAAAGGCCAAAGGGCTCGTAAAGACACCATCTACTCTACTGACGCCGTTTGTTTTATTTTATTAAATTTGTGGGCCTTCCACTGCTTTACTAAGCAGCTCTGAGTGGCTTGCGAGACTATAAATAACAGAATAAAACAATAGTGGTAGCACTTAGACTTATATACCACTTCACAGTGCTTTCGATCTAGCCCTCTTATATAGCAAACCCGGGCTGATTTCCTTGTTTAAGCCCTCACCCCGCCCAGGACGATTGCTCTCCAACAATCTAAATTAAAAACAAGGAAGAAGATTGTTCCCAAAAAGAGGGGAAAGTCCAGAATAGTAGTCACTGACCAGAATTCTGTGAATTGAGGCAGTCTGATTTTGTGCGACAAAGCCAGCGTTAGTCTCTTAGCAGTCAGATGGATTTCCTCCGTGACTGTTAAGTTAATGAAATGATTCAAATAGCTCATATTTCTTTTCTCCTGTGTAGAGGGACAGTTTAACAAGGTTAGAGTTAGAGTGAGGAAACAAGATGGTGTCCAGTTTTGCGGACACAGAAAGCAAAATTTAGCTGAACTGATTAGTTTAGGAACGGCTAGCACATCTCTGTGTTACTTACAGCTCCTGGATTCTTAAGGGAGCGTTTTTGTTTGGTGTGAACCTGTGGTATTTCGGTATGATTATTCCCAGGCGAAGATAAAACCTTGGATCCGGCTCCGGTGCTGATGTTGTTATCCACAGACGGGGTATTATGCCCCTTTTACATGGTCAATCAAAACCCGGGCGCCCAATCTCTTCTAGTGAGTCCAGAATCTCTCTCTACAGAAGGGGAGAGAGCAACAAAAACAGCAGGTAGGCATTGACACCTGGCCAGGAGGTTTCCTTGTGTTTGTGAGTTTGGGACTACCTAAGAGGTAACCGAGGTGGAGGCCCAAAACGTTGTAAAGTCAGGGATGGTCACTTGAATCATTTAGCGCCAGATAATGGTCATAAGCTGAGAACTACCTGTATTATTCTTCTTTTTAATGGTCAACCTCTCCCTTCCAGGCACCACCGCTCCTTCAGCTGCTGCTAAGAGCGACGTTCCCCCAGGCCCTCCAGCCCCGGGCCCATTCTTAGCCCCAAGCAGTGGGGCCACCCCCTTCTCTTTTACACCCCCTCCTCTCAAAGCCCCGGGGCCAGCTTCGGACTCTTCCCTGCCTTATCCGCTCCCATCCGAGGCATCGACAATGGCTCCTGGGTCAAGCACAAGCAAGATGGCAGAATTCTCTTCTCCCACCACCCCAAAAGCACCACAGCCCCCCATCTCCTCGTCTGGCATCCTCCCGGTCTCCACTCCACCTTTCGCCTTCGGGTCAATGAGCTTCAAGAACCGCTTCGACGGGCCGGTTCCTTCCATCACGACAAAGCCCAGCTTTGCTCCAGCGGGGTCCTCCGTCAAGGTCAACCTCAACGAAAAGTACGTTATCTCTCTTTTTTTTTTTTTGTTAGTCTGTATAAATTAAATTCCCTTTTATTATTTTTACAAGCAGCTCTTACCCTTAAATACAAAATCCTGGGCTATTAGTCAACTCCAGAGTTTCTTCATTCTGGACCATAGTTGGTGGACATAAAGCTGGTGCTTAAAGCTGGACCTTTGCTCTAAAATGTATTAAGCTTCTGGTGAATCCGTCTCGAATGAAAGTTTTGATGTGTTCTGGAGCCTGGCTGATGTCACAGGGCTGTCATCGACTCTTTGGTGCCATGTTGCACAACCAGTGTCAGGCACGAAGAATCAGGGCCATGTGTTAAGTTCCAGCTAAGCTAATTTAAGGGGCGGAATTGCCTTATAGGGGAGATGAGAAGCATAAAAACGTAATAAATAAATTTATTAGTCATGCCTATACACGAGAATCTAGTCAACTCACAGTACTAAATGGACACTTGAGAGGAGTTAACAGAGTTAGCAGTTAACAGAACCAGAGGGGGTGGACTTGGATCAATTGTGGAAACGTAACGATTCTAGGCTGCGTCCTGTCTTGACTCCACCACCTTTTCTCCTCCTACACCCAGGCCCTAATCTGAAGTTGTTAAGGCTCGGTTCCTGGCCCCTCCTCACCTTATAAGTCAGCCAGGTTGCTCAGCGCTGAGGGACAGGTGTCCGTCTAGTCCAAAAGTGCTAGGCCCGGCTTTGCCTATTTGACTTTCAACTTTTTCCTCTTCAGGTTCGCTGCTGCCGAGACTGCTGCTCCTCCTGCCAGCACCAGCCAAGGCTCTTCGGCCTTCCTCTTTCCCCCTGCTGCAAAATCGACGCCCGTGGGAGCCCTAGGCCTGGCCACGCCTCCTTCTGCCCCGATAAAGGCTTCCACCCCTGTGACTTCCGCAAGTACGGTTCGGCCTCTGCTTTCGCTTCCTTTCCTGGGGTTCTCTCTGCCCTTAGGGCGCTCGAGTGTAATAAGCCGTTGGGGCAGGCAAGTGTTCCCACCTGCTCTGTTGTGCTCAGGTGACCTATTAGCCCAGGTAGTGGTCAGCCCTCCCAATACACTAGCCAGCAAAAGAATTTCCTTTATTGTAAGGCTGTATTAAGAAGAAATCTCCTGCTGTCTTTTTTACAGCCTTTAGACAGCCCTCTCTTTATCTAATCACTCCACTAGGCCTTTAGGTTAGATGAGCGAATCTAATATGTAAATAAAACGAAGCCAATAAATCAACACCTGCCTGTAATCTCTGCTGTAAGAGACACACTCAGGCTTACCAGAGGGCCTAAGTCGTAACTGACCACCAGCACCAGTTGTGCCAGCGTGTCACCCTTTTTTGTGTCTCTTGTCTCCAGTGGTGCGTCCACCTCAAAGCGTTCCTGCAGCCAGCGGCCTTCAGAAGACTGCCAAGATATCCCCAGCTGTGACAAAATCAAGCCCTGCACAGGTAAGAAGGAATTAGATTGCTTTTCTCTGGATTACAAATTAAGAATCCGGATTTCTACTTGATGCTGGTGAAAGGCAATGTCTGTGGCGCTGCTGAACTGGCAGCGGTCATTTGTTTTGGGTTGCTGAAGGATATAAAATTCATTTACGGATTTAACCGCCTTTCCCAGACAGACAGCTCTGCTGCAACAGACAGTGTGCCTACAATTCTTTCAACCCCTTGTGGGTTTTCTTAGAGTTGCAAAACAGCCTCGGGCAGCTGCTTTCCCAGAGTGGCCGATGGATTGAAGCCATGCCCTTTGGGGGACCCTATTCCAAGCCATGCACTTGCCTTGTCAGCCCTGTGAGGTAGTCCAGGCAGGGGGAGTCTGGCAAGATGAGCTACACTAACAGAATCTTGCAAGTCTGAAGGCACAAATCTCTTTGGCAGCCTGAGAAAGAAACGGGAGAGTCTTCATGAGCTTCTTCTCCACCCATTATGCAGCTCTGGGCTACACCTTCTCTTATCCAACCGTTCCCAGGCGGCATCTCTTCCTCCCATTCCTCAAGGTCTTTCCCACATACCATTGCTGGAACAAGTGCTGGTTGTTATCTCTAAGTATATCTACACCTGTTCTGAAAGTGGGGTGTGTGTCTTAGCTCTCTTCACTTCAATCATTCGTCCCCCCGATTCTTTGTCACGGATGCTTTTCCGTTGCACCTTGTAGAGTCGGCAGCATCCAGCCGGTGTGGGCACAGAGAAGCAGCCCTGTCAGTGGAAAGAGATGGATCCTGTCATCATTGGAATAAGAGAAGAGGTAAACCTCCGTCATCTTTGCCCCTGGGGTGTCTTTCCTGCGGCTTTTGTCTCTGAGTGAGTGGTTGTAAATCGAGAACTCCCCGTAAAGGGATGTTTGCACAGTGGAGTAGGAAAGTACATTTTTAATTGGTTACACCAGAAAAAGTCCTACTGAGTGTCTACCTCCACTTCTCCTCCTCTTGAACTGAGGACATTTGTTCTCAAATGTCCATCGGCCCCGCTTGGCTCCGCAGATCGCCCATGTCCAGAAAGAGATGGAGGAACTCAAGGCTCGAACGGCGAAGGCCTCGTTTCAGGTGGGCAGCGAAGAGGAGAAGAAGATGCTACGTGTGGAAGCCAACGAGCTGCACACTTTCCTGCTGGAAATCAAAGAGACCACAGAGGTAACGAGGGGCCGGTGAAATTGCCGGTAACCAAAGGCAGCAGATTTGGAGGAAACAGATCTGTCGTTTGAATTCGATCAGTCAATCAGAATAGAGCTGGAAGGGACCTTGAAGGCCTTCTAGTCCAGCCCTCTGCTCAAGCAGGAGACTCTATGCCATTTTCAGACAGACAGCTGTCCAGTCTCTTCTTAAAAACGTCCAGTGTTGGAACATTCACGGCTTCTGGAGGCAGGTGGTTCCACTAATTAATTGTTCTCCCTGTCAGGAAGTTTCTCCTTAGTTCCAGGTTGCTTCTCTCCTGGATGAGTTTCCCTCCACTGCTTCTTGTCCACGATGCTCTGGAGAACAGGGTGACCCCCTCTTCTCTGGGGCAGTTGGTCCAATATTGGAAGCCAACTATCATGTCACCCCCTAGCCCTTCTTTTCTCTAGAATAGCCAAACCCAAATCCTGAAATAAATAAATAAATTAAATGAATAATTAACAATGAAATAAGTAATAAAATTAGGAGCAGGTTATTTGTTAGATTCAGGCATTTATTTATTTTTCTTTCCTCTTATTGTCCTTTATTATTTTTATTTTCTCTATTTTGCCGTGGGTCTCCTGCCTTTGCTACCTGTACAAAATAATTCGAGGCAGAGAACGTATTCAATGCACCTTCCTCCCCCACCTCTGTGAGGTGGGTTGGGCTGAGAGAGAAGAGCTGGCCGAAAACCTCCCAGCTGGCTTTCATGGCTAAGGCGGGACTAGACCTCCCCACCGCCTGGTCGCTAAATGCACGGTCATAAGTCAGGGGCAAGCCGTAATGAGTTGCCTCCCTGTCTCGCCTGTCTCTTGCAGTCCCTTCATGGAGACATCAGCCTTCTGAAGACCAATTTGCTGGAAGGCTTTGCAGGGGTGGAGGAAGCCCGGGAGAAGGACGAGCGAGCTCACAACTCCGAGTACCTGCACCTGCTGTACAAGAAGCCTTTGGACCCCAAGAGCGAAGCCCAGCTTCAGGTAGGAGCAAGTAAAGGAAGCTTCCAGAACGTCTGAGCAGGTGCCTTCAAGAATCTCCCCAAGAGGGTCAAGAGACCAACGGGTCCTCTTCTGCTGTAGTTGTCATCTACCGGCTGGTCTGTTGAGGGAAGCTGCCTGAGATTCAGTATCGAAAACTAGTTGCCAGCAATAGCCCCGTCTCCAGGAGCCATCGTCATTTTGTGGTGTGGGAGACACCGAGGAATGAACTGGGCAGGGGAGGAGGAGAGGAAAGGAGAGGAAAAAGAAGACGAGAGAGGAGAAGGGACAGGAGAGGAAGAAGGAGGAAAGGAAGGGAGGGGAGAGAGGAGGGAAGGGGAGAGGAGAGAGGGAAGGAAGGAAGGGAGAGAGGGAAAAAAGGAAAGGAAGGAGAGAGAGAAAGAAGAGAAGAGGCTGAATGTTAAATATTCTCTCGGGCAGGAAATTCGTCGCTTGCATCAATACGTGAAGTTTGCTGTCCAAGATGTGAACGACGTTCTGGATTTAGAGTGGGATCGGCACCTGGAACAGCAAAAGAAGCAGAAGTGAGTGATTTGGGATGGGGAATCAAAAAGAAACAACGCCCCCCCTTTTTTCCCCTGATATTTTTTACAGGTTTTTTAAGCACGTACAACTCTCTGCTTTGTCAGTTTAGCTGCTAGGTGGTTCAGATCTCAAACGCTTTGGGAGGCTGATGGTCATCTAAGTTCACTTTACAAAGGTTTTTTTTTTTAATTCAGATAATATAACATATTAACTAATATATTGTCACAACAGCCTTGTGACTCCTTCGGAATGAGTGGTCCTTGACGTATGGCCACCCTTGAGCTCGTAATTTCTGTTGCTAAGTGAGACGGTTTTGCCCCGTTTTACAATCTCCCTTGCCACAGTTCGGTGAATGACTGCAGTTGTTCAGTTAGTAACAACGGTTGTTAAGTGAATCTGGCCTTGCTTGTCAGAAGGTGGCACCAGGTGGTCACGTGACCCCTGGAGTGCTGCAATAGTCGTAAGTGTGAAAAAGGGTCTTAAGTCAGTTTTTTTCCAGTGCCATTGTAACTTCAAATGGTCACTAAACAAATGGTTGTAAATCAAGAACTACCTCAGAGGAAGCGGTCCTTTTTCTCCTGGACATTGATGAGAGATTTCCTGATGGCTTTGGGTTTAGATACGTGAGTTTGGGTGACCCAAACTCGGCAAAGAAAATGATCTCGTTTGATTGAATTCATGAAAGCAGCCAGGTCTCTTCCCTGGGTCTCCCAGCCACAGAGACAGTCCCAGAAAGCGAGGCGGCTACTTTAATGAGCTGCAAGCACAGCCACCTTTTCCTCTTTTCCCTCGGTGCCTTAGCTCGTTCTCTCTCCGTGCTTTTCACGCAGGCGTTTAGCTGTCCCCGAACGAGAGACACTCTTCAACGCCCTCACTAACAACCGGGAGATCATCAACCAGCAGAGGAAGAGGCTGAAGAAGCTGGTAGACGGCTTGTACGAACTCCGTCTTTACAACCAAGTGACGCAGTGGAGCCTGCCCGCTCCCCTTTCTTCTCACAGCGGCATCCAGAGGTGAGGGCTGCTTAAGGATCTGCCAGAAAAGCTTTCCTTTCCAGTGTCCTGTCTTCATCCCTTTGGAAGGAAGGCATTTTCCTGGATTTGTGTGGAACATCGCTTTGGTTACTTGAAAGAAATCCAACCCTATTGGTAGCTAGGGTTCCAATATCTCAGGGGCTGCCCTAAAGAAGAGGCAGTCAAGCTATTCCCCAAAGCACCAGAAAGCAGGAGAAGAAACAACAGATGGAAGCTCATCAAGGAGAGAAGCAGCCCAGAAATTAACATGAAAGTGAGAACAATTAACCAGAGGAACAGCTTAAGAAGAGACTGGACAACCACTTGTCTGCAATGGTGTAGGGTCTCCTGCTTGAGCAGGGGGTTGGACTAGAGGACCTTTTAAGGTCCCTTGCAACTCTGTTATTCTGCAGTCCAAGTAGTCCTCGACTAACGTCCACAACTGAGCCAAAATTTCTGTTGTTAAGTGAGAACTCTATGTTTTAAGTCCTTTAATTGGACTCGGATTTGAGAGCAGTGTAACCCTAACTTTAATTTAATTTTATTTTTTTGTTCTTTGGTGACAGCCTGGAGAGCGAGCTGGAGCATCTGAGCAACGCCTTGACGAAAGCCACCCTGGAATCTTGCACCAAAACCTCGTCCCCCTCAGCTGGTAACTAGTCCCTGTTGTTTTCCTTGATCAGGTTCTTCGGAAGTAGTGCGCCCTTGCCTCCTTCCTAGGGCTGAGAGGAAGTGGCTGGCTCAGTGTAGCCGCACCCGAGGACAGTGTGTCTGTGATAAATGCATGACAAACTCCATGACAAAAAGTTACCCGAATTGAAAGAGCGTCCGTGCAAAGCGAATTACAAGCCAGGAGCTATAAAATGACCTTCTTTGTTCTTCCAGCTAAGCTGTCCCTCGTGAAGCAGACTCGGCTAAGGAATTTCCTGTCCAAAAGACAGATGCCCCCCGTCCACTCCATGGCACCAGGTAAACCATTGAAAAATGTTTTCCATTTCAGGACAAAAAGTGAGCTCCTTTTCCTTTGCTTAGCCCTCTTTGGCAACTGAATTCTTATCCATGATCACTGTAGTCCTCAAATCCATGTAATTGTTTATTCTGACTCATGAGATTAGCACGGAGAGTCTTTGATTTACAGTAGTTCATTTAGCCAGATTCACATCCACCATGTTACTAACTTAACAAAAATTTATTGCAAGAAAGGTTGTAAAAATAGGGCAAAACTCGCTTAAGAAACGTTTCAGAAATTTGGGATTCAGTTGTGGCCGTAAGTTGAGGACTACCTGCATTAATAATTCCCTCCCTCCGGGGTTTTTTTTTTCAGCAACTCTGACCCAGTCTGCTTTCCTGTCTCTGAGATACGACGAAGACCTGGATGAGATTAGTTCTGCCTCTTCGGTTGCCCACTCCTTGGACAACGAGGACCCCGAAGCAGTGGATCAGGAGGAAGTGGAGGTGGTCCCGGTCCCAGCGCCTCGTCACGCCCCGGTCGTCCGGACGCCTTCGGTCCAGCCTCCCCTGTTGCCGCAGCCCCCGCCTCTTGGCAAACCCCACATCACAATGGGCACCCTGAGTGAGTCGGCTGAAGAATTGAATAAATTGTACGACATCCAGAGACCCTCCCAGAGGGAGATGGGTGGTTAAGACCTGTGAGAAATGAATGAATGAGGGGGGTCCTTGGTGCTCTCTGAGCTAGCTTGTTTTCTTGCAGACATTTCATGACCCAGCTAGGTAACGTCATCAGTGCTAGTAGGGGGTGGGGTTTCCTATCAGTTTATATTCTGGTGGCTTGCCCTGCTCAGTATTAGTGGGGTTGGTCTTAGAGACTCTTTGGTTGGGCTATTTGCTGTTGGCCTCTTCGGCAGTAAGTGTGAAAACCAGATTTAAATTCCTTTTTTCGATGCCATCATAACCTTGGTCCCTAAATGAAGTCAAGATCTCCTCACATTATCTGAAACCATCTATTCTAGCTTGCAAACGAGATCCCTGGTTTGTTTCCCCCAGTGGTCTTTCTCAGCCTTGGCCAGTTTTAAGAACTAAAATAGTCCTTTTTAGAAAAAGGTAAAAATGGATCTTTCCTAACGCCGGCAGTCTAAGGGGTTGAGGTGCGTGACTGAACGATTAGGGAGAAATTTATTTTGTCCCATAAAGATCTTCCACGAGGCGGCGTCAATTGCTTTCTGGAATGGCAGAGAAGATTCTGCTAAGCCATGGCAGCACTTCCTCCGGTTCATATATTTGGATAATTAGCGTAATTGGCCTCTGAGGAACGCTTACCTTCCATCTGGGAGTCTAGAATTGCAGTCATAAAACAGACTCAGCCTCTGAATCATGGCCTGGATCCAGCTGAAGAGAGGCTGTGTGGTCCTGGCCTCTTAAAGGACTTCTGAAGAGAGCAGAAATTCCTTCAAGGAGATTTGTCTTTGAAATTGAAAGGGCCTCGGGAGAAGAGGTTCATAACAGTGGAAAGGAAATGAATCCCCCCACATGGTTCAGAATAGACCTTACGGATAATTAAGGGAGATGGTGAGGGCTACAGATAGTCCTCGACTTAGCAACATTTTCATTTAGTGACCACTCAGTTACAACGGCACGGAAAAAGGGGACATGTGACTGTTTTCCAGAGTTACATCCTTTGCAGCATCCCCATGTTGACGTGACCAACACGGGACTAATCCGTAGTTCATTTGGCTTAGCCAGATGTTGTAAAATCAGAGTTTAAAGGATTCCCCCAATCTGAGCACAGGTCAACTCCCAGAATCCTTAGCAACAAACAAATACCAGCTGGGGAATTCTGGGAGCTGAAAAACAGAACTTGGAGAGCCTTTCAGCTCCCAACTTCTCAGCAAAGATGGAGGGCCAGTGGGAGGATTCTGGGAGTTGAAGTCCCCATAGAGCAAGTTTCTTCAACCTAGTTTAATAGTCTTGTGGCTGTTTCTTTCGCATGGTTTGGACTTTTGGGATTATCGTAAGTGAAGATCTTTTCTCTCTCTTCCTCTTCCAGTGTCTACCCCTAAACCCGTCCTCCCTGGGGCAGAGAACACCGTGTTGGCAACGAAGACCGTGAAACACAGAGCCCCCGTCCCTTCCATCACTCTCCCAGCCCCCCAAGCTGCTGCCGAAGCTGCCTTGAGGAGACAGATGGCAAACCAGAATCCAGGTGAGCTCCAGGCATAAACTTGGCCCTCAGCCTATAGGTAGTCCTACCTATTGGAGTTGGAGACTTAGCCTTGCACTAGTAACATCTCCTGCTCCGTTATTCTTATTCCACAGTGGGGAACACTTCCCTGACCGAATCGACTCTGAAGAATGTCCCTCAGGTGGTCAATGTCCAAGAGCTGAAAAGCAGTGGGTCTCCACCAACAATTTCTGCAGCCATGGGGTAGGTGACTTCTGCTTTCCTCCTGTCTCCTTTTCTAGTAATCTTCCCCCCCCCCCCTTGGATCAAGCTGTAGAAAAACTCTCTTTGTGTTGCTTGCGGGAAAAAACTCTGCTGATAGCTGGACATTTTGCCTTGGAGAAGCCGGACAATTAGAGAACAATCAGAGTAATAAGACTTTTTAACTCTTTCCCACGAGGTGGGCTGCAGTTCAGCCCCCATAATCCCCACCCAGCAGATGTGGGCTAGAAAGATGATGTGGGGTTCATCCTGCACAGCTGGATTGACCCAACCGAGCAACTTCCAGAGGAAAAAAGGGTGCACACTTCCCCAAATTAATGAGTTAGAATAATAGGACTGAAAGGGACCTTAGAGGTCTTCTAGTCCAGCCCCCTGTTCAAGGTAGAAGACTTATACCATCCCACTCAAATGGCTGTCCAGTCTCTTCTTGACAACCTCTAGGTTCTTGACAACTTCTGGAGGGAAGCCATTCCACTGATTAATTGTTCTCACTGTCAGGAAATTTCTCCTTAGTTCTAGATTGGATCTCCCTCTAACAAGCTTCCATTCAGTGCTGGAAGCAGAAAAAAAATCGTCAAATGCTGCTTCTTTGCTTTCGGAGTTGGGGAAAGAGCTGGAAGGAAGATGCTCAGCTCTCTCCAGAATTATCCCTGTCCTTTTGTAGCTAGTAAATCAGCGCCTGCAGCAAGTTTGTACAACGTGTATCTGCTAAGCTGCTGCCTGTGACAGACTATAAATCTTCCTCTTTGTACTCCCACTGCAGAGTGAATCCATTAGTCTTTTGTTTTATGCTGACCCTGAAAATTTTGGCAGGAGTTGCAAATAATGAGCCAGTGAAATTTTATATATTTTTCCCCCCAATTTCTCTGCAGAGAGTCTGGCCTGGAGCCACTTCACTGTTCTTAGCTGTACGGTAGCTGCATCAGTCGATTCTTGGCCAAAAGGCTGCAATTCTCATTGTAAATATCAGATTTTCAGTGGGGAAACCTACATTCTAGTCCCTGCTTCGTCATGGTCTTCCTCCCATGACTTTGTGCCAGCTGCTTAGTCTCAGCCCGGCCTACCTCACTGGACTGTTGTTACGGAAATATAAACTGGGCAACTCTGCCTTGGATTTTCTTTAATTTTGGTTGAGTTCTGTCATCTTTTCTCCCTTCCTCTTGCAGCTCGTCAGTTCCTCCACCTGCTGCTCCAGGTGTCCATCAGGTTTTGGCAACCGTGGCAGCCAATCAAGTCCACCAGGTAGGGCTGGTCTCTTGGCAGCTCCGTTCCTTCTCTTCAAGGAAGAACGAACGGGTCGAAAGGAAGGGAAAGCCGGAGGAGCTCAGGTTGAACGGTGCTGATAGCAACAGCACTTAGACTTAAGACCGCTTCGCAGTGCTTTGCAGCCCTCTCTAAGCGGTTTACAAAGTCAGCCTATGCCCCCCCCTCAACCATCTGGGTCCTCCTTTTGCCGACCTCGGAAGGATGGGAGGCTGAGTCAACCTTGAGCTGGTCAGGATCGAACTCCTGGCAGTCGGCAGAATTAGCCTGCAATACTGCAATCTAACCACTGCGCCGCCCCTGATAAGGGAAGGAAGGAGGGGAAAGACAAAAGGAAAGATAGACAGACATTTTCCCGAGGCTTCCCTCAAAGGAAGTTTCTCATCTCCTGCTTTCTGGAGAGATGGCGCCCTGCCTGTTTTCTAACCAACCCCTTTTGCTTAACATTTTAGGGACCCCCGTCAAGCACCCTGAAGGCGTTGACACCACCCAGCTCAGCAGGGGCGACCGTAGCCTCCACCAGCCAGACCCCAGTTGGGAAAAAGAATTCAGGTCAGTTCAAATCAACTGGAAGAGGCTCAAAGCACTAAAAGTGGAAGCAAAACCTCTGCCTTCAGCCTCTCTCCTGGTGACTTACAGGATACAGAAAAACAGAGCTTGGAAGGGACCCTGAAGGTCTTCTAGTCTAACCCCCGCTGAGGTCGTTTTCTTGCCAAAAGTGATTTTTTTTTATTTTTAAATAAAAAAAGACCTCCGCTGGGCTTTTCTGCTTAGCCACGGAAACATTGGGCTCAAAGAGTTGCAAGTTGTAAATTGAGGACTACCTGTAAGAAGATTCATTCTTTGCAGTGCCTTGCCAAGCCCTCTCCTTCCACTTTCCACCTTTGACCCCCCCCCCCAAGGGGCTTCCTTCCTGATTTCCCCACCCTCGGCAGGAAAAGAATCGCGGCAAACAGGCGAATGTTTTCTCCCGAGGCTCCAGCACAGGATCCGTCTTTGAGACTCAGAGGAGACAGAGGGAAAAGCAAATCTGACAGCAGCTTTGACCTTGCTGAGTGCAGCAACATCGGGGCGGGGGGGGGGGGGCAAGAGATGGAAAGAACAAAAGTCCCAGTGATTAAAATCCGGATTTTAAGTGATATGAAGCCAGTCTGGCTTTCCCCCATTGCCTTGTCAGAAGGTCGCCAAAAGGGATCAAGTGATCCTGGGGACACCGCGGCCGTCATAAAGACCAGCCAGTTGCTAAGCATCCCCATTTGGACCACGTAACCCTGGGGATGCTACAACAGTCGTTAAGTCTCAAAAACGGTCCTAAGTCACGATTTTCTGGGCTGTTGTTACTTCGAACGGACGCTAAATGAGTAGATTTAAGTCGAGAAGCTTCCTGTGTTTGTTTATTTCCAAGATCTGCCTGGTTTTTCGTCTTGAAACCCAGCCCTGGCCGGCTGGCAACCGCAATAAAATTCCAGAAGCTGAAATTCAAGACTTAGCACCTCCATCTTCCACCTAAGAATACCCCAACAGCCCTCCACAGGGTCTCTCCTCAATTAACCCCACTGTCTGGGTAAAGAACAAACCTTTACAGCCTGCCAGAAAGCTAAAAAGGTGGGGGCCGCCCAGATGTGGGGCATTATCCCACATTTTCAATTACACACCATTTGGATAGATTAAGCCTAATCCCTTCTGACAAATGCTGAAGCCAGGAGCTGAGTTTCCGCCAGTGCTAAAGGCACGTATACAGCCACTGGAAGCATAACTCAATTTTTGGTAGAGAGTTCGAACTCCGTAGAATAAGATCTGAAGAGGAAAGACACGGCAAGCAATGAACCCACTTAGGATAGTTATCTTCTTTTTTCAAACCCGATTAACTTTCTGTCCTTCTCTCTTTGTAAGACCTTGGGTGGCCAACGGAGCGTTGAAATGCCGCCGCTCAGAACAGGCCCAGAGACAGAGGTCTGCAAACTGGCAGAAATAATCACGCGCGTAAGCTGCCTTGAGCAGATCAGTCAACTTCCCTGTCGTGGGTCAGCTGAGCCGCCCGCTCTGAGCTTTGCAGCACACTCAGCAAAAGTGTGCAGGTGTGCCAAAGAGAGCCACACCAAGGAAGTCGAAGCTTGGGGCTCGGTGAGCTGAGCGACGCAGGAAGGTCGGAGAAGAAGAAAAATGGGACCGTGCAACGTTCATGAGTTTCGAGAACTGAAATGCTTCTGCTTTTCAGCTCTCTGTTCCCAATGTTTAGCGAGTCTCAGCTCACTGTAGAAAGTGGGGAAAATCTGTTTTTAAGGTTGATATTCCTGAACGCCTCTTGGATGCCCTGGAATCTACCGAAAATCCTTGGTACTCTGAGCTGGTTATGTTCTTGCAGACGTTTCATTATCCAGCTAGGTAACATCATCAGTGATAGGGGGTGGACTGTGGAGGTCCTTGGTGCTCACTGAACTTAATGCTTTTCATGCATTCATTATCCAGCTAGGTAACATCATCAGTGCTAGGAAGGTTTCTGGACAGAAGGAGGAAAAGAGGGGGGGGGAGAGGAAGCGGAATAGTCATCCTTCTCTACCTCATCAACTCCATCCCCTTCCAGCACTGATGATGTTACCCAGTTGGGTGATGAAACATCTGCAAAGAAACAGCCCAGCTCAGAGAGCATCAAGGACCCCACAGTTCAACCCTGAGCTACAAATACCATTTTCTATTGAAATGTTTCTCTTATATGAAATGTGCAGCTTTGGTGCCACCAAGATTTTCTCTCTGGGGAGGGGAGAATCACACCTTGCAAAGCCATCAAAATTTGTTCCTCGGAAGGAAGGTGGGACACTAAGCAGAAACAGCGCAGAGGTCCCTGGAAATGTTGCGCGAAGATGCAGGATTTTTCGATTTTGGGTGATTCTCTAACTTGGGCAACTCTTTCTCACTCTCTTACCATCCAGGCTCCACAAAGACTGTTGCGGCTGTCACCACACCGGCAGTGATGTCCATCTCGGCCGCAGCTTCCCAATTCAGCAAAGACTTCACGTTCGCCCCATCGGGGTCAGTACTGACCATCTTTTCATCCTTTCCTCTCTTTTCAAAGCTTCGTGTGGCGTTTTAAAGGTGTGGCTTCTTATGGCGGATGTAGCACCAAGCAGTGATCTAGAGACTCAGGTTTCAGCTTTGCCAGGCAGTTGGCCCTCAAAAGGAGAGTCTAGCTGTACTTGGGGGACGTTGCGAGCAGGATAAGAGCTAAGACACAACTTTTGTCCACACTTCTAGAAATTGCCACCGTTGGAAAACCTGGCATTACAAGTAGTAGTCCTTGAGTTACAATCATTGATTTAGTGACCCATTCAAAGTTACAGTTATCCGGGGTCCTGACTGGATAGAAGGTGCAGATAAACCTTGCGCCGTCCACCGAGGCCATTCTTACAAACGGGGTGCCATGTTTGTTTGTTTTGTTTTCAAACTTAGGCCTGGGTTTAACTTTGCTGCGGTCCCTGTTTCGGCTGCGACGTCGGCCTCTTCTGTTTTGGCAGGTAAGGTTTTGGTATGCGGTCTTCTCCTTGGGCAGGGGGTCAGACTAGTAGACCTCCAAGGTCCCTTCCAACTCTATAATTTTTATTCATTCTGTTCCTCTTTTGGCAGCTGCAGCCCCCCCAGCAAAAGAGCTGAACCAGCCTGAAGCCTTTTCCCTTGGAGGAGGAATAAAATTTGCCCCCGCACCGGAGGCCTCGTTTTCTTTTGGGGGGCCCAAACCCCCCACCCTTTCAGGGGCCTGTGCCCCTGGGAGCACCAGCTCTGGGGATCCAGGCCAGAGCAACGGACAAGCGGCGGAGACTTCCCTTCCCTTTGCAAACAGCCCCAAACTGGAGGGGCCCCCCCTCAAGCAGGGCGACCTGTCCATCCAGGCCTCCACGGCCGGAGAGACTCTGGGCAGCTTCTCCGGACTGAGAGTTGGCCAAGCCGAGGAGAACCCCAAGGCCGCTCCGGCCAAGGGACCCTCCCCCAGCGCCCCAGGGACGCAGCCGCCTGGACTTCCGGTTGGAAGCACCCTGTCGGCGAGCAAGCCTGCAGAGCCCAGCCCCTTGACCACAGCGGCCAGTTCGACGACCGGTGGCATCTTTGGCAACGTCCACGGGGTCCATCCTGGCCCTCCCAGCCTCTTCGGTCTCGCAGCACCGGCGGGCGGTGGGAAGACTCCGTTTGCCTTTGGGGCTCCTCAGGCCAACGCCCCCCAAGCGTCGTCTTCCTCGTCTCTGGCCCTCCCGCCGTCCACCACAGCTCTCTCCTTTGGGAGTCTGCTGAGCTCTGCGGCCACGCCGAGTAAAGGAGAGGAAGAGGTCAAAACGAGCCCTCCCGAGAAGCCGCCTCTGGCCGAGGGGGCCGCCTTGCCCACAGCACAGGATGACCCCCAGCCGTCTGTCCCGGCCCCTGAGCAGCGTCCAGCAGAAGCGGCCCCTTTAGCAGCTGCAGACAGCAAAGGAGGGCAGCCGACTGCTCCTTCGGAAGCCGCACCTGGCAAAGAGGTGACTCCCACTTCGGCGCCTAGCGAGCCCAAGACCGAGGGGCTTCTTCCTCCAGAGGGCCCTGCAGAGGAGCAGCCCCCGGCCTCCTCGCCTCCAGTGGCCGTCACTTCCCAAGTCACGGAACCCACGGCCCCCTCTGCAAACACAGCGGCGTGCATGCAAGCGCCGGCCAGCAGCCCCTCTGCCTTTACACCAGCAGTCTCCACTTCTTCTGGCTTCGCACAGCCCTCTGGACTCCCTCCTCCCCCTCCTCCTCCTCCTCCTCCTTCCTCCTCCTCCTCCTCCTCCGTCTCGGCCTTCAGCCAGCCCACCACTGCGGGCTTGACCAACCCTTCTGCTCCACCCGTCTTTGGTCAGGTCTCTGCGGAAGCCCTCCCGGTCTCCTCTCCCTTCGGCCAACCTCCGGCCACCTGTCCGTCTTCCTCAGCCGTCGCTACTGGGTTCAGTACCTCGGTCTTTGGGACCGCAGCCACCCCGGGCTTTGGCCAGTTGGCGTTCGGACAAGCCCCTGTTTTTGGCCAGTCCGGCAACACATCGAGCGGCTTTGCATTCAACCAGACGGGCTTTGGAGCTCCTCTGACTTTTGGACAGGCGGCGGCTTCCGCCACCCCGGCGTCCAGCAGCGGGAACGTCTTTGGGGCAGCGTCCAGCACCAGCACGGCCAGCTCCTTCTCCTTTGGACAGCCTTTAACCACTTCTGGACTTTACGATCCAAGCAGCGCCCCTGTGTTCGGACAGAGTTCCGGCTTTGGACAGAGCGGGGCCATCTTTGCGAGTCCAGCGTCCATGACCACCACCACCCCGACCTCTTCGGCTGGGTTCAGCTTTTGTCAAGCTTCCGGTAAGACCAACAAGGTCAGCGATGTCTGTGGGGACACTTGGCCATCCAGGTCATCGTTCTCCCAAAGACACTTTCCCACGACGCAACTGGACGTCCTTGCTTTTCTTTGAGGATCTTTCGCTTCTCATCCAAGAAGTTTCTTCAGTTCTCCCTGGATGATCTTCAAAGAAAAACAAGACAGTCCAGTTGCCTTGTGGAAAAGCATCTTTGGGATCAGGTCAGGACCCGGGGTCGCATGATCACCATCTGCAATCTTCCCATCACAAATACGAGTCAGTTGCCAGGCATCCCAGTGTTGGATCACACGACCAGGGTCGCACGTGTGAAAAATGGCCACAATCCCTTTTTTTCAGCGCCGTTGTAGCTTTGAACGGTCACTAAATGAACAGCTGTAAGTCAAGGACTTACCTGTATCATGCCTAAAATTTTCAGAGCCACCCAGAAATGAAAACGGGCCAAATTCAAATGTCCACGAATTGTAGCCAGGGAATAAATTTGCTTCTCCCCACGGAGAGATTAACAGTTAGAGAAGATGGCTTTTACGAATTTAGTTTTTATCCTGACCTCGTCCGACCCGTTTCCTGACTGGAATCCCAGCTTAGGCAGCTTTAAATGTTGAGCAAAAATTGTGTCGTTTGAATTACATTTGAAATTGGGGGTCTGTTTTGCTTAAGAGGAAAAGGCAGCCCGGAGCACATTCTTCTTTTGCAAGGACACGGGAATTACACTTTCTCTGACTCCTTGCACCCAAGGCTAGAGGATTAATCAGGTTAACCACACAAGAGGCCCGTTTTCGGAACGAGACTCTGCTTAATTACTGGGACAAAAGAATATTTTAAGAAAAGAATCCTGCTCTGTAATTATAAACTTGCGCAGAAGTGGGTTGGGAAGAGCTGGAAGATTCTTTTTAATCGGAATACTTCATTATCGGTCATGGGAAAGACGTGGGATTAACAGAGACGAGTTTCTCTCGGCTGAAAAGACCTGGGATTTTTTTAGGATTTGCTTTAAAAAAAAAAAATAACAACGGGGGGGGGGGAAGGAGCAGTAAGGGCATGCTTTGATCCTCAGCCTTGCAAGGGCCGTGTTTTCTCCCATTAACATGTAGTTCTCCGCTTACGGTCACACTTGGAAGCAAAAATGTCCATTGCTAAGTGAGCCAGGCCTTATTTTACGATCTTTATTCCCAGGGTTGAAAAGTGAATTGTTAAGGGAATCAAGGGGTCATTGAGTGAAGTGGGCTTCCTCCCCCCCCACTTTGCTGGTTGGGAAGGTCACCGATGACCATCACAGGACCGCAGGAGGCTGCGGCCACCATAACTGCCATATAAAGGGGAGGCACAGAAAATCAGGAAGAAACCAAGTTGTGTCTTCTCTTCTTCTTCCCTTCCTCTTCCTCCTTCCCTTCCCTTTCCTCCTCCTTTTCCCCTTCCTTCATCCTTCCCTTCTCTTTCTCTTTCTCCTCCCCTTCCCCCTTCCCCTTCCCTTCTATGTTGAGCTCAGACCTCATAATTCATAAGGTATTCATCAATCAATTAACCATAGTCTCTTCACTGTCCACATTACGTAGAACGTGGGTTAATGTACCAGTAGCCACATATCATATCTTCGAATGTGATGTTGCCAAAAAAAACCCCAAAATTTACGATCAGACATCTAATGACCTTTGCAACGTCTCTGTGGTCACGTGATCAACATTAGCGTCTCCGAATGGTCACTAAACAAATGGTTGTAAGTCAAGGATTATTTGTATGGGTAAAAACGCCAGTGTTTGGTTTTTGCAAGCTGTTTAACCTCCTGCCTTTGCTGGTTTTTGTTTCCTCTCTGATCCTTTTCAGCATTTGGTTCCAGCAGCCCAAGTACCGTATTTGGCCAAGCCACCAACACCAGCGGGACCCTCTTCGGCCAGGTAATTCTTCCAAACCCGCTGTCTTCCTTTCTGGGGCAAAAAAACTGCACTGGGTCAGATCAAAAGAAAATACTGTAAAGTTTGCTTATAATTGAAATCAACAACCACTTCAGTATGAGCCAGCAGTGTGCTGCTGCAGCCAAAAAGGCCAACGCAGTCCTAGAAATTTCACGACAACGAGAACAATTAGCCAGTGGAACGGTCTGCCTCCTGGAATTGTGGATGGAGATCTTTAGGAAGAGACAGGACAGACATTTGTCCAGAATGGTATAGGATCTCCTGCTTGAGCAGGGGGTTGGACTGGAAGACCTCCAGGGTCCCTTCCAAACTCTGTTATTCCGTATTCTGTATCCAAGATCAAAATCAACCCATCAGTCTGGACTGGCAGAGAAGTGCAGCTCTTTATCATCAGGTTCTTGGGGTGCAGGGGAGGTGATGGTCCTGCTCAATGTTGGCCCCATTCTTTGGGACACTTTCTCCCCCCATGTCTTACCTGCTGTCTGGCAGATCAGAAAAAAGGATGCAGTTGCTTTTCTGAAAATTTGGACCTCCCATGGCCTGTGGCAAGGGCAGATGACCGGGGTCATCTCCAGCTGAAAAATATAAAAGAGATAAAATCAATAGTCTCTGTTGTTATGCTGCAAATCTGAACAATTTGGAATCGTTAGAGGAAAACCAGCTCTGGAGACAGTCAACAAGTTTTATATCTATGTTTGAACTATCAAGATTTCCTCCCAGGCACCCCCAGAGTTGCACAAATGCTGTTTCTCTATTGCTGATTTCCTCTTGTTGTCGTTTCGATGGGCTTTCAAACGTATAAATCTGCCTCCCCTTTCATTTTGTTTGAACGTCTGAATAGCCTACATTCGACAGCAGGAGTTGGACAGCCACTCGTCTGAAATGCTATCGGCTTTCCTGCTTGAGCAAGGGGTTGGACTAGAAGACCTCCAAGGTCCCTTCCGGTTCTATTATTCTGTGACTTTTCATGCCAGAGTATCTAGCAAGGCTTTTTTTTTTTTTTTAATCGGACACAGTTGGTCTAAAATTCTTTGTTTGGTCTTTCACAGCCATCCTCTTCCGGCGGGGGTCCGTTTGGATCCGGCAGTGGTGGGAGAACGGGGGGCTTTTTCAGCGGCCTGGGAGGGAAACCGAGTCACGAGGCGGCCAACAAGAATCCCTTCAGTTTCACCAGCAGCAGTTTTGGCTCACCAGCCAATCAAAGTAAGTAGAACTGAGCGCTCAGCCAGCCCAGCCTCCCAGTTTGAATAGCAATCTCTCTGCAAGCTGCAGATCTGCAGGGCAAACCTGCACGGCCAGTCCTCATTTAGTGACTGTTCAGAGTTACAGCGGCACTGAAACAAGTGACTTATGACTGCTTCTCACACCATAGCAGCATTCCCACGGTCACCTGGTCAGAATTTGAACCCTTGGCAACAGATGGTCGTTTACGACGGTCACAGCGTCCCCGGGTCAAGTGAATCCCTGCAGTTGTTAAGCTAGCCACACGGCTATTAAGTGAGTGTTACTTATGACCGCAACTGAGCCTACAATTTATGTGTAAGTGAGACATTTGTTGAGTGGGTTTTGCCCCACTTTACGACCTTTCTTGTCACCGTCACTAAGCGAACCCCTGCCGTTGTTAAGCGCGTCTGTCTTCCTTAACTTGGCTTGTTAGAAGGTCGCCAAAGGGGATCCCATCACTCCGGGGCGCTGCTAATCGTCATAAACATGAACCGGTTGGATTTTGATCACGTGACCCTGGAGACGCTGCAAACAGTCACTAAATGAACGGTTGTAAGCCGAGAATTATCCGTAGTTTTACTCTGGCCAGAAAGGAAGAGAAACCTCTTGTTTCCCCCTTTCTTTCCCCATCGCAGATACATCGACTCTTTTTGGAAACAGCGGCGCCAAAAGTTTTGGATTTGGCTCTGCTTCCTTTGGCGAGCAAAAGCAGATGGGCACCTTCAGCTCCAGTGGGGGAAGCGTCGCCTCCCAGGGCTTTGGGTTCTCCAGCCCCACCAAAACAGGTATTGAATTTCTGCAGGATCCAACTTGGGCCGGTCAGAATTAAATTACTTAGGGTATGACCTATGCTTAATTACGAAGCCTCTGTTATTAGATCAGCACCACCTTCAAAATAGCCCCTGTCTAATTGGGGGGTGGGCAGAGTTAGAGATAGCCCTCCCCTTATAACCACAGTTGGGCCCCAAATTTTCTGTGGTCAAGTTGTCAGGTGTGTTTTTTCCCTCTCTTAAGGACCATTCTTGAACCACTGCCCTTGTTAAGGTAGTTACACGGTCCTTAATTGAATCCAACTGCCGCTGTTGACCTTGCTTGTCAGAAGCCCCCAAGAGGATGACGTGACCCCAGGACACTGCGACCATCCTAAATATGAGTGTCCCAGTGTCCCAGATTGGATCCCCTGACCGTGGGGATGCTGCCATCATCCTAATGTGAAAAAGGCTCCTAAGTCGCTTTCTTCAGCCTGGGTAACTTCGAAGAGTGTCACTAAACGAACGGTTGAAAGTCAAGGACTACGTATAATTTACAATATCCAGGACAAAGCTAGGGCTGCTTCAGAAAAGCCCACCAGATTCCCTTCCATCATCCGAGCGGCCTGCTTTTTATTTTGGCCTCTCTTTCCTCCTACCTTTATTTTTTCCCCAGATAGTTGTGCTTGCAGCCAGGGGGTATCTGTTACATTGGCCTAGACTGAAATTTCACCCGGGGGTATTAAAAGCCTCCGTAGTCCAAGAAGAGCTGTGCCTCGCTGGCACTCGGACCAGCCTGTGGCTTGGGCAAGGAAAATGAAACTCTGAAATGCTCAGAGGAGATTTTGGGAGAGGACGCGGAGGGCAAACCTGCTGCGGCTCCTTATTTTCTGTCAGGAAAGCTTTCCCTGATGGGAAAAGGAGAATCGGCAGAGGTTACAAGAAAAGCGGAGGCAATTCTTGGTCCCGGACTCCTCAACTTGCAACAGTTCATTTAGCGACCAGTCGAAGTTACAACGGCACTGGAAAAAGTCACTAATGAACGTTTTTTCACACTTCTTACCCCATCCCACTCGATCTAGCAGAAGATGGTGCTGAGGAAGGGAGGGAAGGAGATGGGAAGGGGAAAAGAAAGGAAGGGAGGAGAAGGGAGGGAGCTATAGAAAAGGGAGGGAGGGAGGGAAGGAAGGAGATGGGAAGGAAAAAAGGAAGGAAGGAAGGAAGGAGATGGGAAGGAGAAAAGGAAGGAAGGGAGGAGAAGGGAAGGAAGGGGAGGGAGGGAGGGAAGGAAGAAGATAATATGCTATAGGAAGAGAAGGAGAGGAAAGGGTGGAAGGGAGAAAGAAGGTGGAGAGAAGCAAGAGAAAGAGGAAGGAAAAGAAAAAGGAGAAATGAAGGAAGGAAGGAAGGAAGGAAGGAAGGAAGGAAGGAAGGAAGGAAGGAAGGAAGGAAAGGCAAATAAGAGAGAGGAAACGAAGGGAAGGATCAAGGTAGAAATTTGCACAGCCAATCCCCCCTCTTCTGGGCCCTGGAGAAACACAAAGCCAGGCTCAGCAAGACTCCCCCCACAATCCCCCCCCCCCAGCCGCTCTCCGCTCCTTTCAAAGGAAGAGACTGAGCGGTCTCTGAGCAGAAGCCGCTGGCCTCAAGGGACCGGCCCATCTGCACGGCAGGCTGAAAGGAAAAATAAGGTTTTCCCGGGCAGGGCTGATGCTCCAGACTCACAAAAAGAGGCCGGTGCCATTCCAGATGGTGGCATTCTTTTTGTTGGCCCGGCCGGCCCCAGAGGAAACCCCTCTTGGCTACCAGTTGTTTCCCCCCTCAATTACCAGGTCAGGCGGAGATCTCTGAGAGGCTTCCTCCTCCAGCCTCCCTCGCTGACATGGTTGCATTTTCCCAGCGCGATCAGAATTGCTACCTTAGCAACTGCTCTCGCAGGCGAGGGTGGCGGTGTTTTTTTTTTTTTTCCCCTTCCCTTCGCTCCTTCGGGCTGCAGGCCGCAGCGCCCTGCCTTTCTCCTCGCATGCGGGCTCCCCCCTTCCTGCCCTCTTCCTCCAGTCCACGTCCAAAGGCTTTCTGCTTCAGACCATGCCTGTTGAATGCCGGCCTTCCTTCGGCAGTAAGTGCGTGGCGGCGCAGGGTGTTTTGCCTGGGGCTCGGATGCCGGAGGCTTCCAGCCGGGGTTGGGCTTTGTGCTGATGTGGGAAGAGGGGGGGAACGCTTGCTTCTCGAGCCTCTGGAATGGAGGGTGGGTACCGCAGGACCCTTCCCCTGGCCTGTCCCCCAGACCCAGCTCAGGCCTGTCTCCCTTGCCCCCGGGGTGCTAAGATTTCCCACGCTCCGGCCGAGAATTAAAAATATATGTTGAGAGGAAGGCAGGCCCTTTGCTGCAGAGCCAGCCTCTGCTGGTCCTCGGGCTGAAATCCTGCGGGCAGCCCAGGTTTAGGGAATCGCCCATCAATTTGGGGGTCAAAATGATTTACTGGGAAGGTGGGGGCTGCTCGTGGTAGGAGCATGCTCCGGGCTGAGCTTCAGTGGAGCTGTAACCTTGTTTGGGGTTGACGTTGATGGGTGGTGGTGTTGATCGATGTGTATCTATATGACGTCTGTCCCTCTCTCTTTTTTTGCCTCTGTTTTGCTCAGGTGGCTTCGGAGCTGCTCCAGTGTTCGGCAGCCCTCCCACTTTTGGGGGTTCCCCTGGGTTCGGAGGGGTGCCGGCATTCGGTTCAGCCCCAGCCTTTTCAAGTCCTCTGGGCTCGGCGGGAGGCAAAGTGTTCGGTGAAGGGACCGCGGCGGCCAACACGGGCGGATTCGGGTAAGCTGGCAAAAAGGCACTCCTATGTTTCTAGACCTCATGATTTCTCTTCCATCCTTGTATGCATGTACCACTTCCGTCATCCAGCTCCCTACCTTATTTTTCAAGAGGGAGGGAAGGAAGGAAGGAAGGAAGGAAGGAAGGAAAGAAGTAGAGAGGGGAGGGGAAAGAAGGAAAAATGGAAAGAAAAGAGGGAAGGAAATACGGAGGGGAAGGGATGAATATCTCTAATCCTGATCTCTGTGGCATTCCTCTCTTCTTTTGGTCTACCGTGTTGGGCTGCCAAGAAGGGGCTTTGCACCAGCCAGCCATGTCCTCTTTGCAGCCTCCTAGCCCCTCCTAACCCCACTCTTCTCTCTCTCTCTCTCTCTCTCTCTCTCTCTCTCCCTCCCTCCCCACTCAGCTTCGGCAGCACGGCCAGCACCGTCTCCTTCGGCACATTGGCGGGTCAGAACACCCCCACCTTCGGCTCCCTCTCTCAGCAGCCTACGGGTTTTGGCACACAGGGCAGCGGCTTCACTGGCTTTGGGTCCAGCGGAGGAGGTAGGAGGGGGAGGACGGGAAGGGGAGCAATCAACGTGGTCCATGGTCTTCTCTGGGAGAGTTAGTTGGCCAGGGAGGGGGGAAAGGGGGAGGGAGGGAAGGAAGGAAGGAAGGAAGGAAGGAAGGAAGGAAGGAAGGAAGGAAGGAGAAAAAGGGATGAAAGAGGAAGGGAGGGAAGGAAGGAAAGAAAGGACGGAGGAAGGAAAATGTGAAAGGGAAAAGGAAGAAAAGAAGTAAAGAATTTGAAAGAGGGGACATTAAATTAATGTGGCCAGGAAAGGGAGGGAGGGAGGGAGGGAAGGAAGGAAGGAAGGAGAAAAAGGGATGAAAGAAGATGAGAAAGGGAGAGGAAAGGGAGGAAAGGAAGGAAGGAAGGAAAGAAAATGCGAAAGGGAAAAGGAAGAAAAGAAGTAAAGAATTTGAAAGAGCAGACATTAAATTAATGTTAAGGTGCTGATCAAGAAACCAGAAATTGGTGAATTCTAGTGCCCCTTAGACGTGAAAACCGTCTGGGTGACTTTGGGCCAATCACTGGGAGACGGTGAGTTCTAGTTCAGCCTTAGGGATGAGCTGCTTCTCTTTCAGCCCAACCCACCTCACAGGTTGTGGGGGGAAAAAGGAGGGGGAAGGAGCATTGGGTAGGTTCACCGCCTCGAGTTTCTTCTAAGATATTAAAGGTGGGATCAAATCAAATAAATTTTAGGGTTTCTTATGTGGAAAGAAAAGCGTTTTGAATCCTGCTTTGAAACCCTTGTCTTTTTTTCTTTTGGTCAATTTTTTGCAATTCCTTCTTTGCGGCTTCCCTAGTAATCCTTTTTTTCTTTTTTCTTTTTTCCTCCCGTAGGATTTGTCTTCGGGTCATCGAATGCGTAAGTCCAGATCTCTGCCTTACGTGCTTTCTAGTGGCTGCTTTCCATCCGCGAAAGCTTTCTTCTGGGGCTAAAAGATATTAAAAACGCTAATCCCGGTTGAATTTTTTTAATCAGCTGGAGGAGAGGCCGGCTTGTTGGGCCTCTTATGTCTCCTTGTAAGAGCATTAATGGAAAAGCCGAGGATCTGGCGGGTGATTCTCCGCCTGGAGTGGATCCAGCCGTGGAAATCCGCTGTTCTCCCCCCATCCCCGGCTGCTCGTCTATAAATCGAGACGGTCGTTTAGCGACCGAAACTTTCAGCTCCACTCTGGTTGTAAGTCGAGGTCCCAAACAGAGCCGGTTCAGTCTCAATCAACCAACTTAGATTCAATTTCTCGTAATTATTATTATTATTATTTTCCCCTTTTTAGATCCCCCTCGGGATTCAGCGGCTGGAGAAGCTGAACAGACAACGGCTCTTTCGCTGTTCTGGGACTCTTCTTTTTTTAAATGTCGCTTCCGCCAACTTTTTATACCAAACCACAAAAGGGGGGGGGGAGAAAGCCTCATGAAATTGCCTATTTTTTTTTTCCTGTTGTTGTTGTTAACGGAAACATTGCTTGGCCTCTCTAAATAAAGCTATTTTATCTGCTGGTCTTTGAATTCCGCCTTGGCAAAACTCAAAGCCCAGAGAGGTGTTTTGTGGGTTGTGGGTGGTTTTGTTTCATTTTCCACAGGGATCCACTGGGTTCCTTTTGACAAGGGAGCAGGGTCAGTTAGAGACCTGCCTTCCCTTTGGGGATTTGTTTACTGCAGGTTGCCCTCAGGTTATGACCTTGTCTAACTTGGGACAGCGTGTAAGGCAAGTTGTTCAGCGGACCGATACGTTTTTATTGCCTTTTTTGGTCGTTAAGCGAATGCCACGGACATTAAGTAAACCGTGGTTCGGCACAGACAAAAGTTTTCTCAGAAACTGGAAGTAAATGCTTGGGTTGTTTTTTTGCGAACCCGTCATAAAACACCGTCAAATGACTGCAAAACACTGTAAATGTGACTCAGTTACCGAATGTATGACCATGGGGACTTCATATCCATCACATAGGTACCCCCCAGGCATCTCCGTTGGAGCTTTGGACGGCCACTAAGCCACCAGACATAAGGCCAGGGCTTGTCTGTACAGTGTTCCTCAATCTTGGTCACTTTAAAGACAACTCCCAGAATTCCCCAGCCAGCCTGGGTCGAAGCAGCCAAGGTTGAGAAACACCACTGGTTTACTATAACAGCCAATCGTAGTTGTAAAGTGGCATCTTCAGCAAAGCTGGATTCCTGGTGACTTTAGGGATCATCGAAATGGTTCTCTTTGCATCGTCCCAAAATGTTCACCCCCTTCCTTCTTGTCAGCTTCCCAGTCTGGCTGCAATGCTGAGATCTCCTTGTGGTTCCCCATCCACCTCCAAACCAGCTTAGCTTAATAATAATAATAATAAATCAGCCAAGGTTGCCCAGATGTAACAATCTGTTGTCTCTTCCTGGGCCTGAATCACAGCCACAATTGGTCAAAAAGAAAAAAAAAATAGTTGGAAATCCTAATCCGTACTTTGAACGATTTTACAACACACCAGAAACTTCCTTTGAGGAAGGCTGGTACAGTGGTGGGATTCAGCCAGTTCGCACCCCTTGGGCAGAACCGGTAGCTAATTTTTTGTTGCCCAGGCCCAGAATGGCATCCACACAGAGGACCGGTTGTTCACCTATATTTGAATCCCACCACTGGGCTGGTATATTATCAGAGAATTGGGAATGAAGGAAAGTGAGAAGGAAGGATTCTGATAATATGCTTTGGAAAGGAAGGAAGGAAAAGCCTATCCAGAAGATAGATTTCTCCGATCTTCAAAACCATGAGGACTAGAAGCCTTTTTTTAAATAAGACGCTCACAGGTTTCCTTTTGTGGCGTGGAAAAGATGCTGGATTCCTTTTCCTACAAATAGCAACCTGGAGAAAAGATACCTCGCAGGCGTCTGACGTTTCCTGCCTTGGTCTTGCCTATATTTAAGGCAGCTATTCTCTTAACGGGGATTTCCCCCCCCCCTTTTCATTTTAGTTCATCGCGGAAGACAGCTGTGGCAGCTGGCCTTTTATCTTGCTAATGGCATCTATAAAGAATCTTCTGCACGTGGGCTATTTCAGTCATACTTAACCTTCAGGATCTTAAGCCCCCTAATCGGTTTTCGAGGACCCACTGAGATGGAAGCAAAAAACCCACTTTTTCTAGGAGGGATTGCATCGTGTGGCGTGGAAGAGAAAGGGGGGGGGAGGAGGAGGAGGAGGATAATAGTGGGGTCCTTGGTGCTCTTTGAGCTTGATTATTTTCTTGCAGACGTTTCATGACCCAACTAGGGAACATCATCAGTGTTGGAAGGCAGTAGGGTTAGTCTCTCCCTTCTAGCACTGATGATGAAGCATCTGCAAAAAAACCACCAAGCCTAGAGAGCACTGAGGACCTCCACAGTTCAACCATGAGCTACAGATGACTCTCCTTTCTTGTGAATATTGGCTGTGAGGTCTTAATTTCGGGCAGAGTTCCTCCTAACCATCTCCCTACATTTTTCCATCTTCCTCTCCAACAAGATCTTAGAATCACCCCTTTCCCACCTGAACATCAACACACTGAAGGCGTGGGATCTGAAGTTGCCTATTTTAATACACAACCGCATTGGCGGCTTTGTGGCTGAGCCTGGCGTCCGTTTTGTCAGTCGCTCCCAATACAGAAGCTGAAAGAGGCATTCCAGTTTGGCAGCTGGTCCCTTGTTGAGCTGGCCGGGATCCAGTTATCGGCAGAAAGTTAATCTGAGCTATAGATCCTTTGCCCCTCCTGCTGGTATCTCTGTTATGCGAGATCAAATGGGCTTTGTCCAATGGAAGAGAATAAGTTCATTTCTTTTAATTTGCGAGCCTTCTCTGGCCAGCTGTCTCCTGCAACAATTCTAGGCAGCTCACAACCATCCATACAACAGAGTTATGAATACAGATGGTCCTTGAGTTACGACTGCATTTGGGATCAGCAAAAACGTCTTCAAGGAAAAACAAAATCCAGTTGCCTCCTGAAAAAGCATCTTTGGGACAACCATGACCTGGATGACTGAGAACCTCCATAGACATCTTCCATCTGTGGGTTGATTAAACAACATCAGTCCTGTTCCATTTCTTGATCTCAATTTGTGTTGGTCAGAAGCTGCCCTCAAACGCCAGATGGAGAAGAACTCGGCTGAGGTCCACTAGTATGGCATCTGTCCCCAGGAACGAGACTCAAGCAGAAGATGGCAGCCCTGTTCTCCAAAGTTGGTCTGCCAAGCTTGAGATGTTATTGCTGTAGACCTTGAAAAACATTGACAGGTTGAATCATTGTGCTTCAACCAAAACATGATTTGACTTCTGCTGATTTTTAGGGCAGCCAGCCACCATGGAAACCATAGCTTGTTAGTGGTTTGCTGGTTGAAGTGTACCTAAAGGAAATCAACCCTGATTGTTCTTTGGAAGGACAGATCCTGAAGCCAAAGCTGAAATATTTTGGCCACCAAAGGAGAAGAGAGGACTCACTGGAGAAGACGCTCATATTGGGAAAGGGAAGGCAAGAGGGGAAGTAGACAGCAGAGGAGGAGATGGTTAGATAGGGTCATTAACGCAACAAGCGTGGATTTGGACAAACCAGGAGACAGTGGAGGACGGAGGCCTGGCATGCTGTGGTCCATGGGGTCACAAAGAGTTGGACACAACTGAGTGACTGGACAACACCCTCAAGCATTCGCTTTATTTGAAGGTCTTAATTCCTGAAGCATGGATTGAAGTCGGTTCTTCCTAAGATTAAGAACCAAGCAAAAAGATTCACAAGGAACCAGACCCAACTTAACAACTAAACAACAAAGCTGCAAGTGTGTCTAGAACCTGATGCCCGAACAAAATGGCATCTTGACTTTCAGACCCTTTGAGTGCTTCTCACTGACCCACAAAGATGGAAGGAGGACCAGAGGATAAAGCAGAAGAAACAATGCAAGCATTTGTCAACTACCTTCTCTTGGTCTATTTGGATCCTTTGTCCTAGTTTTCGATCCTTTCATCCGGGCTTCTCTGAACTCTTAACATCCCAGAGGAGCCGGTGTTATCTGGCAGTTGTCAACAGCAGCTGAGACGGGGGGGGGGGGCGGTTGTGTGATGAAACCCTGGCACCAACGTCTTGTGTGGGCCTTCGTCATGGTGTCATAAATAGACCTGTGCTCTAGCCCAGATGGTTGACTTTCCAGATGCCATGCATTGTTGGCTGAGCCTTGCAACAGGTTTCAGCTGCAGAGAAGATCCCGGTCCTCCGTGCAAATATCTCCAAGCTGAGCTCCTACAGGTGCAACATAGATAGATGTTGGCCTAAAGCCTTAATCAAGCCACATACTATCCAGACATCTTTTTCCGGGATGTCCCCTTGAACATCAAATGATGTTGACTTGAGTTGAATGTGAAAGGGGCCAGTCTTTGTTTAATAACCATGTGAAGTTACAACGGGGACTTACGACCATTTTTCACACCTACAGCCCTTGGTCACGTGATCAAATTTCAGCATTTACTTACGCTGATTGCAGTTCCTGGGCTCCTGTGATCCCCTTTTGCGATAAGCAAAGTCAACGGGGAAGCAGATTTACCGTACAAAAGTGTTGCTAACTTTACAACTGCAGGGATTCGCTTAGCAACTGTGGTGAAAATGGTCATAAAATGAGGCAAAACTCACTTAACAAATGTCTCAGCCGCAGAAGTTGGGCTCAATTGTCATAAGTTGAGAACTAGTGTTATTTGATATATTTTTTTCCACTTCCATGTCTCCCTCCCTCCTTATTTTTCGGCTTTTCATAAGAACCAAGAGCCCAAATAAATTCACGTCAGTCCATTTCTCTGTTGGAAAAAAAACCTGCTGCTTTATTTTTCTTTTCTTTTTTTTTCATTTTAAACATTCCTCTTTTTTTTTTAAATTTCCCTAAAAGCAGAAGTGTTCCTTTTTCACCTTGATCTCTTTATTAATAATAATTATTATTATTTCGACATCTCTTTTTAAGTGCCCATTCCTGGTACTTAAAAAACACACACACACACACATACAGAGTAAATTCACAGTATTTTTGCAAAAAAAAAAAAAATTCTTATTGCTGAATCAAAATCCAGGCAGAAGGTTGATTGTAGAAGTGGTTAGGGCCGGTCCCGTCCTTCCTCAAGAGATTTAATTTCTTCTTGAGGAAATAGCTCCCCCTTTTCCATAACCTCCACCTAAATTCTTTGGCCCTTGTCTCCCCTTTTTGCGTGTGTGTGTGTGAACTGGTACCTAGGGGATGCTCAACCCCAAATTGGAAACTATTCACAGTGATACAGTGAGAAAGCAAAGCATTTTGGATCACTCTTGCCCAGGAGAACAAACAAGGTTGAACCTTATCTACCAGAGTTCCTCAAAGGTGTGGACTTGACGATGTGTGGACTTCCACTCCCAGAATTCTCCAGCCATCCTGTTTTAAGAGGCGGGGGGAGGCCCATCAGACCAAGCCAACCATTTGTAATTTTCAGAGGAGAAGATCAGCCTCTGCTTCCTGAACTTTGCACTCCCCTATAGAAGTTGGAGAAGGCAACTGTTTGGATTCTGTCATGTTCTGAAGAACCAACTTTTTTTAGGAAGGAAACCATGGTGAGAAACATCTCCATCGTTTCCCTGCAGCTCCCATCAGGCTAACCGGCTGTGGCTGATGTCAGCTGGCGTCTCCCAGGAGGAACACCTCAGATGTCCTACTGCTGGTCTTCAGTGGTGGCCATCACCAACACTGTACATCAGACCCTTACAAGAAGATTTGGCTGGGTGTTGAAACTCCTTACATGAAACCAGTTATGAGCAAGACAGACCGAGCTTGGAAGAATAAACTTAGTATTCAGTGCACCTAAAGTAGACAGAAGTTTCTAAACAAGCACAGAAGTGGTCTTCAAGTATCTAAACTAGGATCCAAGGATGGAGAAGACAACGATTCGGAATTGTTTCAGAAGACAGAACAAGAAGTTGTGAGAGTTTAAGTCACAAGGGAGATGTTTGGGGCTGGACATCAGCAGGTAAGTCCTACCAGGAGATGTTCACTAATGGAACTGAGGTCTCAAGAACTGGAAAAGCAGATCCTCCAAGATCCCTCCCAAGCTTGATCTTCAAATTTAGAGTTGGAAATGGGGAGAAAATGGAAGAGCAGAGCTGCACTGGATTTTTTTAAAGTGAGTTGTGGCAACCTGGCACAGCCTTTCGTGCAATGATCTTTCAACTGTGGGATCCTTGGTGTTCTCTAAACTGGATTGTTTTTTTACAGACATTTCATTACCCAACTAGGTAACATCCTCAGGGCTAGTGAGCGTGGCTTGCTCCCTGTTTATATACAGTAACTCTGAGCTGGGTTGTTTTCTTGCAGACGTTTCATTACCAAATTAAGTAATATTATCAGTGCGAGCTGGTCTTTAAACTTCCCTGGTGTCTTTACCAAAAAAAGGGTCACTTCTGGCTGCTACAATATTGTCTCTCCTCTCTCAGGCAGGTTTTGTGCAGAAACAGCAAGGCAAAGAGCCAGCTAAATTCCTTTTTTTTTTCTTTAAAGAAGGCACCTACCCTATCTTACTCTTTTTTAAAAAAATAAATAGAAAACCCGCAAGATGGAGAACACGTTCCCTCCTTCTCTTTGAAAGCTAAAACAGAATTCAATTGCTGTTGCTAGGCTGTTCTTTCAGAATCAACTTTCTAGAACAGGAAAGGTGGATTTGGGGGGAGGGATGGGCTAAAAGTCATGCCCAGCCCAGCTCTCTTATCTAGCTAGAGATATTTACTTGCCCCCAAAGTGGACCTTCTCAAACTCCCAAGGCAAAGGAACAAGAACCCAAGCTTAAACTGATGTTTCTGCTTTATACTAATTTTTTTGTACGCTAGCTTCTGTCCCTGTGCTCTTTTCCTCGGCAAAGGAAAATATTCTGTATATTTCTGTGTTTGCAGGTTTGCATTGATCATTACCCTACTTTCTACTTGGGCACCGTGAGCGGTAAACTATCTTTTAATCTTTCTGAGTCCTGGATCTTCGTTCTCCTAACCAACATATCGTGGAGAGGCTTTCAACATTGATTCCCTCCCCTTATTTTTCTTTCTTTTTCCCTTTTTCTAATAAAAAAATAGGGCTCTTTTGCTCTGTGCATATCCAAAGAGAAGATCTTGGCTGTGCTTGACATGAAGCTGTAAAATGGGGGAATTTCTAAACAGAAATCTTTTAATTAAAGAGGAAGAAGTTCCCCTTAATCAAAATGGAAGTGTCAATGTGAAGCTGTAAAATGGGGAATTCTAAACAGGAATCTTTTAATTAAAGAGGAAGAAGTCCTCCTTAAAGAAAATGAAAGTGTCAATGTGGTTTTTAGAAAAACATCAGAGAAAAAATAAATAGGAAAAGATCACCAAAACTACTGGAATCGAACCAGCATTCGAATTGTCAGCATTCATAGGACACACTAAATCAACAATGAGATGAGCGAGTGTAGAAAGGACCTGGTTTTCTGCAGCAGGCAGAAATTCAAAAGATGCAGTTTAGGATGAAATGAGCTCAACCAGAGTTGTTTCAGCCTTTTTTCAATTCCAGAACAGAAAGAGAAATTGGGGGTGGAGGTGTCCTCTCGGACAATTCCTGTCACCCTTACAGTAAAGCTTCCGCCACACACATTAAAAACAAAAAGAGAACACAATTACTTGCTATTTCCCCCCACACACACCAGGCTCATAGGGACCTGAGTGCAGATTAAGGCAAATGTTTGGCAACGCAAAGCAAACGTCTACCTAAGGCCGCACAACTTGGCTTTTAGAAAAAAAAAAACCAAAAATGGAACAGGCACCACTCTCAACCCATCATCCATGCCCACATCCACGGAAATGCATACTCCACGTTCTTTGCAACACTAACTCAGGTGCATTCATTTACCCTTCCTTTCTTCCTTCCTTCCCTCCTTCCTTCCTTCCTTCCTTCCTCCCTCCCTCCCTCCCTCCCTCCTTTTTTTCTTTCTTCCTTCTCTCTCTTCCTCTCTTCCTTCCCCTCCTTTTTTCTTTCCTTCCTTCCTTCCAACTAATGCCCCCCACCCCTCTTTTCTCCCCCTCCTCCAAATAAAATTCCCTTTTCTTTTTCTGTAAGCGGTCCGAGTTAAGTCCACCAGACAGAACATCAGATCACCACCAAAGGGAGGAAAAAGCGAATTTTTAAAAGTAGAGCGGGCATTGGGAATTAGACAGCCCGTGCCCCTCCTCCCCCCCCCACACACACCAGGCTTGAAGGGAGTCCTTAAGTTGAGTTTGGCAAGCACAGTGAGATCCGTTCTGATGGGACAAGGCAGAATGGCTGCATTTTGTTTTTTTGATAAATGAGTTTAAAAGTGCACCTCTGTTTTTGCTGATTTTTTCTCTCTCTCTCTCTTAAATACGAAGTGTTTCTCTCTTTGTTTTCGTTCCTCTGTCCCACCCCGTTTTGCCCATTACCGATGCTTTGGGGGTATCACCACTAGGGGGCGCCCGTCTACGGGCCTCCACATGAGGACTTGGGCATCGTTGGCGTTGGGTTTTACCAGGGCACTAGGTGGTATTGGCTCGTTCTTGCTCAGGATCTGGGGCTGTTCCTGAGCAGAGGGTTCCCTCAGCCTGGCCCGGCGCCCGAGAGGTTTGCTGGGCTCCACATCAATGGCCAGTTTCATCCGCCACTTGATAGTCTGCAGGATGACCATCTCGTTGGTGGTGATGTTGGTGGCCACCAGCCACGTGGTGAAGCTCTGGTCCCGGTGGATGCACGTCAGCTTGGGCACATTGCTGTCACTCACGGGGACAGCCCAGGTGACGCTGGGGTAGAAGTTGTCATTCATGCTGATGGTGAACTTGGCTTCTTTCTTGGTAGGACCTACGATGGTGCACGTCTCCGTGGTGTTCCCGTACCAGGGGTAGTTGACGCCATCGGAGTCACTGATGGCTTGAATCTTGCCCTCCAGGAGATCCGGAAGTTCCCAGCTTGACCTGGGTGGAAATATGAGAAAGAAGGACCAGCATGAAGAAGGCAGAAGAAGACAACTAAATTGGGTTAAAGAAGACAGCATGAAGAAGACAGCTAAACTGGGTTAAAGAAGACAGCATGAAGAAGACAGAAGAAGACAACTAAACTAGGTTAAAGAAGACAGCATGAAGAAGACAGAAGAAGACAGCTAAACTGGGTTAAAGAAGACAGCATGAAGAAGACAGAAGACAACTAAACTGGATCCAACAGACCTTCATTTCTGGGAACGAAAAACAAGGTGCACATTTTTTAATCATTCTCCACAGATAGTCCTCCACTTGCCATCATTTTTAACAGCACTGCAAAAAGGACTTTTTTTTCACACTTATGCCATTGCAGCGTCCCTGTGGTCATGGGTTCAAGATTCTGACGCTTGGAAACTGACTCATATTTATGGCGGTCGCAGTGTCCCTGGGTCACGGGATCCTCTTTTATGACCTTCTGACAAGCAAAGTCAACGGGGGAAGCCAGGTTCACTTAACAACCGTATTGCTAGCTTAACAACTGCAGTGATTGCTTTAACCACTGTGGCAGGAGAGGCCACCAAATGGGGGAAAATTCATTTAAGTGACTCGCTTAGCGGCAGAAATGTTGGGCTCAATTGTGGCCATATGTGGAGAGCTACCCCTGCTACAATTTGCTTCAAAGGACAAAGTCTTTGAAACTGAAGATGAATGAGGGCTACCTTAATCAGTGTTTCTCAACCGTGGCAACTGTAAGACACATGAACTTCAACGCCCAGAATCCTCAGCCAGCAGTGGAGAATTCTGGGAGTTGAAGTCTACCTGTCTTAGATGAGAAACACTGATCTTGACCAACACTCATTGGCTAATGTCAGACGCTGTCCTAAGCGTATAGTTTATGTAGCTTTGCCTTGAGTGGACGGAGCAAAACCAGCAATTGTGGTTTATTCAGCAAACTACAGTCAAATAAACCATAGCCTGCGGTGACTGAGAGACTAATCTTCTCAGCCTCCCTAATCTTCTTTAACAGCCATCCAAATGGGTGGCGGAAAGCCAAGGGATGCGTCTTGCAAAGGAGCCATTCTTTGTTCATCATCACAACCTCAGAAATAGCTTCCTAGATGACTAAACACCAGACTTCCATTTATTTTAAAGGATAATGGTTTACAAAAGCTTTACCACATACATGCCCCTGGTTGCAAGTGACATTTGAGACTGGACTGAAAAAGTAATGTATTGGGAGCCCCCCCCCCAGTCTGGACCCCCATTTTACATTTTCAACTCACAACACAATTGGGACCAGGAAGTTTGCAATTGCCCTCATAGTTTGCTGGCAAGGTGGGGTGGGGAAAAACCTCAAGAAAAGGCTTTGCAAATTCGGAAACTCCCCTAGTGCTGCACCTCTTGAACCAAACTAAGTTTGAAATTGAGGTTCTCTTCCTGTTTCGCTTCCTGCCTGCAATCTGTGGAGATCTCTTTTTAGATTCGTAGCAGGGCTGCCCAGTTTCCTGCAAAGCGCCAACCGATCCCACGGCTCACCGTCTTTCAGTTCAGCATTTATCTATTTATTTGTCTAACCTTCTTTGCAAAGCCAACCCCACCCCATGTTTGGAAAATCATGGTTTACTGCAGCTTCGCTGACTTGTCAATCCAACCAATCAACTGAGCTTTATTGAATAAGCATTGTTTAATCAAAGCATGAAATTATAAAAAAAAAACAGGTTAGAGATAGATTGTAGAAAAATCTATCAATGCAGTTGCTAGGAATCAAAAAATGAATCTGATGGCATATAATCAATCAGCCAAACTGGGATATGATGCAGTAGGAACACCGGACCACTGTTGAATCATTATTTTTTAGAAGAGTTAAATAAAAAACAAATGTACACATTATATACACACACACTATGTTTTATAAAACTTATAAACTATACACACACAATAGACAACCCGTGAGTTGTTGAGTCATTATTTCAGAATTATTCCCTTATCTAAACAGAGAAACAGAATAATTATGACTGGGCATTAAAAAAAAAACGGACATGGGAGCAATTTCTGACTTCCCACTGTCTTCCCCATTGACTTCCCTTATAGGATGCTGGCAGGGAGCAACCTGTACATTGCTTTGAAAATCGCTCTGCTGTGATTCAGCGTTTTGCCCAACTGAAGGTTACAAACAATTAAACACACTTCAAGAAGGATAGATGAAGAACACTCTTCAAGAGGATAGATGGCACAGAGAGAGAGAGAGAGAGAGAGAGAGGTGAATGGATGGATGGATGGATGGATGGAGATAGATACTGTTCATGTTTGTGTCTGTGTGTATGTATGTGTGTGTCAAAAAGAGAGGGTTTATTTCCAAGGCAGAAGTTTTCGTGACCTACCGCAAGCAACCTGCTAAATAAATAAAAGAAATGCCGAATGAATAAGTAACTACTCTGTGCATCTAAGGTGCGGCTCACGAAGGCTGATGCCTTTCGGTCCAGCGTCTTAGTTCAGGGAAGGTGCGATGATCAACCTAACCAGCCTTCTTCCTCCTAGCATGTTCCCAATGCAAATTCTCCCCTGCAAGATGACTTTCTTGGCCTGCAATAATGCTCAATTGTTTGCCGCCAGGAAATCAAGCCAACATTAGCTGCCTCCAACCAGGAGTATCCTGGGTTTATTTCACCCCAGGCTGCAACGAAAACAGCTGGGCCTGTCCCACCAACTTTTATAAGCCCTGGCAGATCCTCCCAGCCATTTGCAAGTCCACTTCCTTTGTGCCTGCACGAACATCTGCGGAAATAAAACCCCCTTGGCTGGTCTGCTATCTTCCAAACTCATCTGTTTCTGCAAATTTAGGAAGCCTCTTTGACTCAGGAAATGGGGGTCTTCCAGGCTGAAGGCTCAGCTCCCAACCGAGCCGGTTAGGGATGTGAATGACCCTTTGGAGACCTTTGATCGAGGGGCCAGGAAGAAGATGGTGTGGACCTCCTGGATAATTATTCTGGTATTTCCCCCAGGATGTGTGCAACTCCAAACAAGAATCCATAGGCAACACACGGCCACTTCCATAGCTCCCGACGGATGGGCAGCCACAACTCCAAGGTTATTTCAAGTTATATCCTGTCTTTTTCTCCCTCGTTCACACAGGCAGTCCTCGGCTTACGACCACAACCGAGCCCAACGTTTATCTTGCAAGACATTTGTCAAATGAGCTTTGCCCCAATTCTTACGGCCTTTCCCACCACACTTGCTGAGGGAATCGCTGCTGCCGTTAATTTAGCAAGATGGTCGTTAAGCAGATTTTGGCTTCCCCCACTGACTTTGCACAAGGGACACACTCCCCCAGGACGCTGCAATGGTCATAAATACGAGTCAGCTGCCAAGTCTCTGAATTTTGATCACGTGACCCTTGGGGATGCTGCCACGGTCGTAACTGTGAAAATCGGTGACAAATCACTTTTTTCAGATGTTGTAACTTTGAACTGTCACTAAATGGTAGGTATAGGTAGTCCTCGACTTATATCCATTTTTTCTGTGGCTCCTCTCTTCGATCAGTTTCCATCCGTTGCTTCTTGTCCTGCCTTCAGGGGCTTTGGAGAATAGGTTGACCCCCTCCTCTTCATTGTAGCAGCCCCTCAAACATTGGAAGGCTGCTATCACATCCCCCCTGGTCCTTCTCTTCTTTATATGTTTTAGCCTCCCCTCATCATCTTGTTTGCTCTTCTCTGCGCTCTTTTTTTAAAGTTTCAGTCTCTCTCTTTTTTTTTTTAACAAGGCCAGAATGAAATAGAAAAAAAAGCCCTAATCTTCTTCCGCAGATGGCTGTTTCTTTCTAACGCCTGCTGTTTTTAACTTCCCTTTCTGCTCTTGCGCTGGTTCAGACTGGGCTACTCAGAGCAAGCTTCCCGTTTTACTTCCTCTGTTAACAGACAGGCAGGTGTCGGGGGTTCGAGCAGCCCTGCGCATTCCATAGTAGCTAACTATGGTTGAGCTTCAGACACTCTTGAGTTGAAAGCCTAGATAAGGCTGGAAAAGTGCCCCCCCGGGGCTCTGAGGTCAATGATAAGGCATTTCCTACATCCCAGGGCGATTTAATACCAGAGCTGGCTTTGAGTGCCATACGTTCAACCTCAGCCAAGTCCAATTCTGGTCACCATGCATACAAAAAAGATGCTGAGACCTTAGAAAGAGTGCAGAGAAGAGCAACAAAATTGATAAAGGGTCTGAGGGCTAAACCCTGTATTGAATGAAAGAGGCAGCTGATTATGGCTAGTCTAACGAAGGGAGGGGTTAGATGTGATATGATACCCAGGAGGATGACATGAGCAGGGGGTTGGACTAGAAGACCTCCAAGGTCCCTTCCAGCTCTATTCTATTCTAGCCTTTTCAAGGACTTCCAGAGACCTTGCTGCCTTTTTATTGTTGTTGTTGTTGTTGTTGTTACCCCTTTTCAGTACTTGAGGAACTGTCACAAAGAAGAGGGTGGGGTCAACCTATTCTCCAAAGGATAAGATGGCAGGACAAGAAGTAATGGATGGAAACTTATCAAAGAGGAGTAAGGAGAATTCTATTAATTCCGCAATTAACCAGTGGAACTCCTTGCCTCCAGAAGTTGTGGGTGCTCCATCACTGGAGGTTTTCAAGAAGAAATTGGATAGCTATTTGTTCAGAATGGTACAGGGTCTCCTGCTTGAGCAGGGGGTTGGACTAGAAGACCTCCAAGGTCCCTAACAGCCTTACGATTCTCTACAGAATTTATATTTATGACCAGAGGTTTCGTGTGTTAAACTGAGAGGAAGTTAACAGGACGAAATGCTGATGGGCGCAAAACTCTGTCCCCGCCCCCACTCTCTTTTCCACACACTAAGACTACGTAGTCTGGGGTTGCACAATACACCAACCCAATGTTTCTCAACAATTGGGCAACTGGAAGAGGGGTGGGCTCTTACAATTCCCCAACTAGCATGCTTTAGGATGCATAAACTTTAAGGGCCTGAATTCCTAGCATGCTAGGTGCAGATTTAAGGGAGTTGAGAGTCCATGCATCTTAAAGCATGCTAGCTCGGAAATCCTGGGAGTTGAAGTCCCCCCATCTTAAAACATGTTGGCTGGGGAATTCTGGGAGTTGAAATCCACTCATCTTAAAATTGCCCAGGTGGAGAAACACTGCACTACCCCTTAAATAAACCACAAATTATATCCTGCGAAACGCATAGAGAAGCAGCCTGGCTTGCAACGACGCTAGTCCACCCAACCGTGGACGCCCCCCCAAAATGGTCACTTACATGCCATGATCGCCATAGTAGTTATAAAACTCCATGTGACTGCAAGCCTGTATCCAGCCTACAATCCAGGTCTCCTTTTTGGGCACTGGAGGCAACAGGACTTGAGCCGAAGCGCGGAAATGTGGGGTGCGGTATCTCAACACCACGTTGGATGACTCGTCGATGTTGGTGGGGATGGGGTCAATGGACGTCTTGACCTCCAGGACGGTGATGCTTTCCCGAAATCCTTTCGCCTTGCAGCTGATGCTCTGGATGCAGCCCATGGCCCAAAGTACCAGCACAATTGCCAGGAGGCACCAACAATCTTCTTCATCGGTCAATTCAAAACTGATATCCATAGGATAGAAGACACATTCTCAGTAGTTAACCAGTTTATGGCAGGCTGAATAAATCAATTTTTTTTTTTTTTTTTTTTTGCCCTAGAGGCCTTCTAGGGCTAAAGTTCTCTGTGCCACTGAGTCAGGATCGGTTAAATCCACTGCTTTCGCTCCAAAGCAAGACGATGCAAGTCCAATCATCCACTTTTGCTTGGTTGTTTTTTTGGTTTTTTGGAAAGACCGTTTCCAGCTGACTTGGATTCCCTGATCGGTGAGTTACAATCAAAAGTCAACTGGCCTTATATTTGCTTTGATATATTTCTTTGGGTTTTCCCCCCCCCCCCTCTTCTGTTTTTAATCTTTTAAAACAAGATGAAGGCGAAGTCTATGCGAAGAATAAATGCATCTCTTTCATATGTGGGCTCTAGCTTCTTGGTGACAGCGTCAAGTTTTCACTTCCTGATGGAAATTCATTCATAACTTCCCCTTCGCGAGAGCGAGAGAGAGAGAGAAAAAAAAAACAGTTTTGTATTTGAAACAGCCAAAGGAATTTTTCAAACATTGTCCGAACAAAAGCCCAGTCTGATATATTTAACCCATAATCTCTTATTTTATCCCCTTTTTTAGCTATTTAAAAAAATAATTGCCCAGGTTTAATAGAAAAAAGCACCATTCAAAAATCGCTTAGTAAACAGTCCCAGTTTTCTGGTCTTGCAGATTTATTTATTACAAAATTTATATGCTGCCCATCTCACCAAGCGGCAACTCTAGGCAGCTTACCACACGTAAAAGGAACAGAATAGAAGCTGAAAGCATTATATGGATAAAAATTAGCATTCAAGCGAATTAAATAAAAATGAAATTGAATAAAGTTTGCTCTGTTTTGTAGCTGTAATGGAAAATCAGAGATGAGCTCCAAGTGGAAATATTAGGAAATATATATCAGCATGCAGTACCTACTTCCTGGCTTCAGAGTTGCCTGAACCATGAAATAGATGAAATAGATAGATAGATAGATAGATAGATAGATAGATAGATAGATAGATAGATAGATAGATAGATAGATAGATAGATAGATAGATAAGTAGGTAGGTAGGTAGGTAGGTAGGTAGGTAGGTAGGTCGGTAAGTAGATAGGGTGGATGGATGGATGGATGGATGGATGGATGGATGGATGGATGGATGGATGGATGGATGGATGGATGGAGAGAGAGAGAAAAGAAAGGACAAATGATGGATGATGAGAGACAGAGATTTGGGCCACAATAAAGGCTGCTAAAACTTACAAGAGTTTTAATGATCCAAAGTCCAGTTTTGTCTTTCAAAATCTGTCAGTACAATCTGCACTAGTTTTCAAGGTGGGTTACAATTTGTGGTTTTGCTGTAACAGTCCAGCTTGCAGTTACTGTTTTAGAAATAAGCCGTCTTACTGAGGCCAATCAAGAATTCCTCTTGATGCCTCCTAAGAGTTCTTAAGTTAATAGACACATCTGTCCTTCCTTCCTTCCTTCCGCTTGTAGATTTCTTTAGTCACATCCGCCAAAGGGAACGAAGGACAAAAACAAGAGAATGGAAGCAAGACGTGTCCCTGTCAGAGCTATTAATTTGGAACTGAGCTTACTTCTGACCCAGGATAGTATCTTGGCAGAGTCTGAATTCTTGGGCAGGAATATTGTTAATAATCGTATTAACCATCTCCTTCTTTCACCTTTTTCAGAGATTCTAATACATCCAGCTTTTCACTAAGTCCTAATCACGGGGGACAATTCCACCCCCACCCCCACCCCAAAAAGCATTGAAATCGCCTGTCATATAATTTTTTTCCCCAATCAGGAGCTACACACCTAATCTCCCACGCTGTTGTCCTCCAAACGCGAAGCCGGGGTGTGCTGGAAGGCCAGGCAGAAAAAGTTCGGTTTCAACTTTTCTCTCGTGGGTTTTCTTTTCTTTTCTCTCGCCCCCTTCTCTCTTCCTCTCCGGCGGGTTCTTAATTTTTTTCTCGCCCCCCCTACTGTCTCTCTCTCTTTTTCTCCCCCCGCCCAAAAACCGGGTCTGAGGCTCCTGCGCTGGGTCCCCACTGTCGGCTGCAGGGCGCCCTAGTGTGTGCCCACCGCCGGCCGCGGCTTGCGCATCAATCGCGCCTTTGGTGACCGCGCGGCGCACCTCACAATCGCCGCCCGCGAGGTTCTCCCCCCGCGGAGGGGCCCCCACCTGAAAGAGGCGCGGGGGGAGAGGGGGGGAGGCGGCCCCGGCGGCCAACAGCCGTGCAGGGGCTCCTCTTCGGCGCCCCCTCCCCGGCGGCGCTTCCTTCTCGCCCTCCGTCTCCCGGCGCGTCTCCGCGTCCTTCCCACCCGGCCGACGCCGCAGCAGGGAAGCTGCAGCCGCCGCGCTCTTCCTCGCCTCCTCTTCCTCGCCGGCTCCAGCCTCTGCCTCGCCTGCCTGGTGCTGCTGCTGCTGCCTTGCAGCGTCTGGCCAGCCCCGCCGGCGGGGGGGCCAGGTGCAAGGAAGCGAGGCGCTGGCGAGGACCCGCGCGCCGGTGCGTCTCCTGCTCCTGCTCGCCTTGCGACCGCCTCTGCCGGCCGCGGAGAGGGTCCTTGGCGGCGCGGGGCGGGCAGCTCCTTGGCTCGGCTGGCTCGTCCCTCCGCTGCCCTTCATCCAGCCGCGAAGAGCCTCCTCCTCCTCCAGCTCCGGGGATCTCCCGACAGTCTCGCTCTGGCAAGCTTGCGCATCGCCCGCGCCGCTCTCCGCTGGGTTTCAAGGCTGCTGGAGAGGAGGAAGGCGCCCGGACAGGCAGGTCCTCTGCAGGGCGGCTGCCACCTTCCGGCCACCCCCCGCGGGGGGAGGAAGCAATGCCCCCTTCCTTCCCCAAGGAGCAACCCGCGCGTCTGGCTCCGGCTGGCTTGGATCCGCGCAAAGGCGGCGGCGCTCCGTCTTCTCAGCCGCGCGCTAGGCAGGTGCGCACCACAATCCTGGCGCCCGGTTGGCCTTGCCCTCGCCTTCTGCTGCTTCGGGAACAGGGAAACGGGCCAGCACCTTGGAGTCTGGCTCTTTTGCGCCCTGCTTGCGCGCCTCGCCCGCTTCTCTGCCTTCCTCCCCTAGGCAGACAGCGGGGCAAGGGGCGAGTAGCAGAGAAAGGCAAGGAGTCCGGGGCCCCCGGCTTCATGGGCTGCGCCGGAGACCAAACTTTTGCAAAAGAAAAAATTATCTATCTATCTATCTATCTATCTATCTATCTATCTATCTATCTATCTATCTATCTATCTATCTATCTATTTCCATCCATCCATCCAGACTACTTCGGCGCCTCGCAATGAGCAGGTTGTTTTATCCTTCTCGGCAACTCGATATGTACAGTCCGTCCTGAACGCCAACCCGGCGCCCCCCTCTGGGCTGTGCGTCCTAACGTGGAATCCCGAACAGACGGACGACCACCACCACCCCTTCCCCCTCTTCCTCCCTTCCCTCTCTCTCTCTCTCTCCCTCCCCCCCCCCTCTCCAAACTGCAGCACTTTTGAAAGCGCCAGGCAGTGTCTTTCAAGTTTAAGGAACGCTGGGTATTGTAGTTTTAATTACGCCTTCGGATTTCTCCCCCCCCCGTCCCCACCGCCCTTGTAGAATAAACCTTGTTATCTTCTTCTTCTTCTTCTTGTGACTGCGGATATGTGCAATCCGAGGTGCCTCTCCGAGTGGTGCTGGTGTGGGATTAAGAGAAGGCTGGGTCCTAGTGCCCCACAGTTGGCTGCATGACCTTGGCCCAATTCCACCTCTTGATGTACTGTTGGCAGAAAGCAAAGCAAGCTAAAAGGATTTTTTTTTCTCATGATTCAGAGTGACCTGCAATGATAGCTTAAGGTCTTCTGGATCTTGGCAATAAGCTGGTGTGGAGCACAGAAGCCAGGCTGGAATGTGGTGAATGAGATAAGACTCGTTCGGGAGACCTCTGCCTCTATCAGTGCAGATGCTACAGAGCACTTGCAAAACCCTCTGCCCACTCAAATGCAGGATGTGCAGGTATCTATCTTACCCCAGTTGGGCTCAGGCCAGGGGGCTTTGCTTCCCAGTCAGAATTACAGAATAGCAGAGCTGGAAGGGACCTTGGAGGTCTTTTAGTCCAGCCCCCTGCTGGATTATCCATCCAGTTATCCATCTACCCACCCAGTTATCTATCTATTTGTCTATCTATCTGTCTGTCTGTCTATCTATCTATCTATCTATCTATCTATCTATCTATCTATCTATCTATCTATCTATCTATCATCTATCTATCATCTATCTATCTATCTATCTATCTATCTATCTATCTATCTATCTATTTATCTATCTCCATCCAGTCATCCATCCACCCACCCACCCAGTTATCCATCCGTCCGTCCGTCCATCTATCTATCTATCTCAACATATAGACTGCTTTAGCTGGAAAGAACTTGAAACAACATACGCTCTAATCCCATGTAAAGATTATTTTATTTTATTTTATTTTATTTTATTTATTTTTATTTATTTTTATTTTATTTGTAATACAGCCGCCTGGAGATTACAGCTCTAACCCAAAATATGGAATTAGAACCTGTTTTTTTACAATCCTCTCTCTTCACACACACCCCCCCCCCTCCTTATCTTCCAACTCTACCAAGTAACTTGGTTTCAGGGGGCTGAAAGAAACCAGTTGGGGACTGTCAACCGCCTGGAATTTTGTATACTGGGAATTGTCCAAGGTGCTAAAATAGACTTGAGCCAGAGATCAGATTGCAGGACCAAAATAGCCCCCGAGCTGCAGTGTTGACAGCCTATCTCCGCCACCTTGGAAATCTGAACTGACAAGTGCAACAGCCAGACAAACCCAGTTTGCGTCTGCCTGTGTGTAGAACCAAGAACAAGCAAACAATGCTAAAAGAGGAACGCAACACCTTTGTTGCCGGCAGCTTCCAGATGCAGCCCAGAGTTTCCAAACTTGCGGTATTATTATGGATAGGATTACAGAATGACTTTCGGCCTCCAAGCAAAACAGGATGGTAAAATCTCACTCTTGAATTTTCCCCGTCAGGGTAATGTCTCAGCTGGACTACTGCAGTGAGATTTCTGTGGGGCAGCCCTTGGAGGTGGTTTGGAAATGTCAACCAGAAAGCCACAGCTGGGCCTTCGACTAAATGTTCGGCATTCATTTAGTAACCATTCAGAGTTACAGCGCCACTGAAAAAAAGGGGCTTAGGACCATTTTCCACACTTACAACTGTTGCAGTATCCCAAATGGTCACGTGATCAGAATTCAGACGCTCGGCAACTGACTTGTACTTATGACGGTTGCCGTGTCCCAGGGTCACGTGATCCCCTTGTGTGACCTTCTGACAAACCAAGTCAATGGGAAAGCCGGATTCATTTAACAACCTTGTTACTAACTTAACAACTGCAGTGATTCATGTAGCCACAGTAGCAAGAAAGGTCGTAAAACGAGGCATTGTTCATTCTGGAACTATGTTTCTCTCTCAGCCCAGATTATCTCTGAGCGTCGGGATGAAATCTGGGGTGGGAACAAATGGCCTGCAGGATGGAAAGTCAACAGGCAAGTCAATAAAAGAAATACATTCTCAGCTGCATCCATCCAAGCGGTTCACCTGCGTACGGAAACAGCCCTTTTCCTGGGTCCATGCAAAGCCCCAGACCACAAAGCCAATCCAGCAGACTGGGCTTCCACAATGCAGTCTCAAAATAGAACAAAAGAAAAACAAGACACCTTTGCAATATCTGAATAAATTGTGCAGATGCAGTTTCTCGGCATTGACCTGAGCTGGTGAATTAATTGTGTGAACATAGTCCAAATGGGTCATCAGTTAATATCTGCACCTTGAAATCACAATGCTGCGTGGCAGATTCCTTCCTTCCTTCTTTTCCTTCTTTCCTTCATCCCTCCCTCCTCTTCTTCCTTTTTCCTTCCTTCCTTCCTTCCTTCCTTCCTTCCTTCCTTCCTTCCTTCCTTCCTTCCTTCCTTCCTTCCTTCCTGTCTCTCTCTCTCTCTTTCTCTCCTTTTCTTCACTGACAAAACTGCTTCTTGACAGCAAAAACCAGCAGATGAGATTTTTCCCATCAACCCTCCCCCTTTCCATTCATATTTAATTTAAAAGCTGCAATGGAAAGAACTCCCAAAAAAACCCCCCCAAAAAAACTCAAAGAGGGTAAAAAAAACCAACAACCAGCGGCTGCAAAAAACAACAACAACAAAAAAAAACAACCCTCTCTTCCCTTCTCCAGACCTTCATTCAGCTTGCTGTCAGCATAGGAAAGAATTCCCCGCCTGCCTACCCCAGCCAGCTTCTCTCCAACCCCCCTGGACTCCAGAACCCATCATCCCAGCCCTGCCAGCCTGGGAGGATGGGATCGGCAGCCCCTTGCGCCAAAAGGCACCAGGAGATGTAGGAAGTTGTGGGGGTGGGGTGGGGGGTGTTTGCATCCTTTATATCATCCCTTCCCCCCCCCAGAGAAGAAACAGCCAAAAAGTGGGAAGGGAGAGTCTAAAAGCAACCAAACCTTTGGGTTGACTGACTGCCCTCCTTCTACTCCTACCCATTGGATGCTCATGCCTTTCTCAGGTGCCAGACTGGCTAATTTGCCTGTCAATGATTCCCTACTCCTCTTATTCCCCTCCTCCTCTCTTTCCAAGCTTGGTGGGCTTGGAAAGTCAATGTTTATGGCCATCGGCGGGTTCCCCCTCCAGAGGCGTCTATATTTAGAGTTTGGGGCAGCTTCCCAGGCTTATGACTTTTGAGGAGGGGGGCGCCAAGGCTATCCCGGCCTTAAGCAGGAGAGAAGCAAGGGAGGGAGGGGGGGCTTGCTTTGCCGTCCACCTCCCCTCCACGGCTGAATTTTCAGAGACAACGTGCCACCATGCCAGCTGTTTCCAACCGAGCCAGGGCCCGGGAGAGGAACAATGTCTTGAACCGAACCGAGTTCCTCTCCCTCAACCAGCCCCTGAAAAGCGGCCAGGAGTCTCGGAGTCTCCCCCGCAGGCTGAACAGCCAAGGAGGCCCTGCCCCGGCCCAGAGCGAGGGGTCCAAGGAGCAGCGCCCGTCTCAGCCGCTGCCGGAAGAAGACTGCATGCAGCTGAACCCCACTTTCAAAGGCATCGCCTACAATTCCTTGCTGGCCATTGACATCTCCTTCTCCAAATGGCTGGGGGTCTGTGCCAGCAACGCTGCGGCCTGGGGCAATGCCCGCTCCATGGTCAACCTCATTGGCATCACTGGCCATGGCATCCCCTGGATCGGGGGCACCCTCATCTGCTTGGTCAAAAGCAACACTTTGGCTGGCCAGGAAGTTCTCCTGAACCTGCTCTTAGGTGAGTCATTTGTGCTTCTCTTCTCCTGGACCTTCCCCCCTTTTCTGCTCTGAACACCCCCCCGATTCCATAATTCTCCCTGTTTTCCTGCTACTCAATTAATCCTATAGAATGAAATTCCATAATTCTCCCTCTTTTCCCATTCTATCCCATTAATTCCACAATTCTCATTGTTTTCCCATTTATCCTACTCAATCCTATAGGTTGAAATTCCATAATCTTGTTTTCCTATCTATCCTACTCAGTTAAACAATGAGAGTCTGTGTTTTTCTCTGTTTTCCTATTTATTTTACCCAATTAGTCCTATACTATGAGATTCCATAATCTCGTTGTTTTCCTATTTATCCTATACAATTAATCTGATACAGTGAGGGTCCTTGAGTCTCACTGTCCATAGTCCTCCTTGTTTTCCTATTTTCTTACTCCCTTATTTTCTTCTTCTTAACCCCGGCTGCATTGTTATTTTCTAACTCAGTCCTCCATCTGTGAAATGGGTATACTAATCAAACCCAATCCTCGGAAGCAGAGATCCCTAGCAAAGCCAGAAGAAAGCAAAGATTCATTCTGTAGTTCAATTCTGCTAGAGATCAAGAATTTCCCAGGGAATACGATGTTTGGGGAACAAACTCGCGTTTGTCTCCCACAATCCTGTACCTTCCAAATAAATCCATTCATAGGTCTCATCCGCAAGTAGGCCTGGCTGTGGAGGATCAAGGCAAGCTCCCAAAGCAGGTGGGAAAACATTGGTTTAAATACAGTTCAGGGCCACAGAAGCCCAAAATTCATTTTGTTGAAGGGAAAGTTGGTTTTTCGACATGTATTGATAGGGATAAGTCTATAGAACCTCCATTTTCAGGGACAGCATTCCAGATTCCATCACCTGCTTATTGTGCTAAGAAAGCCCATTGGATGTTCAGGCAGGCCTTGACTTAACGACTGTAATTAAGCCCAGAATTTCCATTGCTAAGCAAGGCAGTTCTTAAATGAATCATTGAGGTCATTATGGCTTCCCAGGATGGCGTCCTCCATTGACATGGCTTGTTAGAAGCCAGCTGAGAGGGTTACAAATAGTGATCACATGATCCTGGGACAGCACAACCATCATAAATACGAGCTAGTTAGCAAGCTAGTTTAATGTCTAGTTTAGTGAAGAGAAGGACGAGGGGGGACAGGATAGCAGCGTTCCAATATCTCAGGGGCTGCCCCGAAGAAGAGGCAGTCAAGCTATTCTCCAAAGCGCCTGAAGGCAGGACAAGAAGCAATGGGTGGAAACTAACCAAAGAGAGAAGCAACCTAGAACTAAGGAGAAACTTCCTGACAGTTAGAACAATTAACCAGTGGAACAACCTGCTTCCAGAAGCGGTGAATGCTCCAACATGGGAAGTTTTTAAGAAGAGACTGGACAGCCATTTGTCTGAAATGGTATAGGGTTTCCTGCCTGAGCAGGGGGCTGGACTAGATGACTTCTAAGGTCCCTTCCAACATTATTATTATTATTATTATTATTATTATTATTATTATTTGTCCAAAATTTTATTCATGTGACTGCGAGGATGCTCTGACGGTCCGGATGAAAACCGGTCATGAATGACTTTTTTCAGTGCCGTTGTAACTTTGAATGGTCACTAAATGAATGATTGTAAGCTGAGGACTTACCTCTGTTGTATCCACTCAGCTTCTACCTTTGAGTTCCATCTAAAGTTGACTTTACATTGAGTTCACTCAAATTATATGTCATGTTTCTTAATCACCCATCTCTCTCGGGAAGGACCAATAAAATCAAACTAGAACTCACCGTCTCCTGGTGCTTAGCCTGGTGCCTTAGCCCCCAGACCAAACTGCCTCTCTTATTATCTTCCAATTCTCCGTATTTTCTCCTTTATGACCCTGGAAAGGAAAATCCTCGGGGAGGGGGGGGGAAGGAATGGATAGTATCTTGGTGGGGAAAGGGTTTTGGAAATACCAAGGGGAGAGCATTCTGTTCTTGTGACTTGCCTCCCTAATCTAAACTGACACCGACGTGGTCAGAAAGATGGAGGGGGGGGGGGGGAAACAGTTGAATATTCAAGATGTTTCTTGAAAACAACTCAAGGCCTCAAAGGATGGGGAGAGAGTTTTTTGTTGCGAGATTTGAGGCCAGGTTGCTCAAAAAATAAATATCCTTCCATAGCTGGGCGACCTCGTCTATGAATATTTCAGAACATAGCTTGTTTATGTGTGTATGTCTCTGTTGTGTGTCTTTGAGCAATGTGTAAGAAGGCCTTTGACTCACCCTTCCTATCTTTAAAAAAAAAAAAGATAAGCCAGAGATCCTTGAAGGCTAGAGGTTGCAACCATTTTTTTGCCTGGGGTGACTAATGCTTTTCTAGCCAAGCACAATGTAAGTTGAAAATTTTCCCAGTAAGAAGTGCTATGTGGTTCACATCTCACTTTAAATGAACAAAGTGTTTCCTGTTTTGCAAAGAATTCTGTTTTGGTTCCGTTTGTATTTATAACAGCCTTCTGAGAAAACACACACACACAATCAAGGCTGTTTTTATATATGATAACTGCAGCAAAATTATCTGTGCAGAACTGTTTGGCAATACCTACAACGGAGGACTGACCGCAAAGATGACAAAATTTGCTGAAATGGCTAAACTGATTTGTCTGATCAGAAACAACACACCCACATTTATCAATGACTGGGAAGCCCTTTAGAACTTTTGGGTGAAAAAGAAAAGAAATAATAACGCAATTTATGATTTGGATGACTACACAGGATAGATTATAGAAAGAAGAGAGTCAGATGTAACACCCCCCCCCCGAGAGGGAGAAGTTAAAATATCAGTCTACTTATAATTGCTCCGAAGAAAATCGGAAGCCACTTCTTTCTATCTTTTCTTATGCCTTCTCTTTTCTAGTTTTCTTGTCCTTTTAGGCAGTTTTAGCTTTTTCTTTGACTTCTTCCTTTCTCTTTCTTCTTTTTCATTGGACTTTGCTTCGTACTAGTTCTCACCATTGTTCCTAAAAGCTTCAAAATGATAGAGAGATATGTCGATACAAATTAGATCGATAGATAAACAGACAAAAAGAAGTAGGCAGGTAAGTAGGTAGATGATAGATAGATAGATAGATAGATAGATAGATAGATAGATAGATAGATAGATAGATAGATAGATAGATAGATAGATAATACATTGGAGAAAGTGGATGGATGGATGGATGGATAGATGGATGGATGGATGGATGGATGGATGGATGGATGGATGGATGGATGGATGGAGATTAGAGAATGAGAGATTAGAGACGGATGGATGGATGGAATGATAGAGAGAGAGAGATTAGAGAAAGTGATAGATGAATGGAGAGTAGATAGATGGAGATTAGAGAGAAATGGATGGATGGATGATAGAGAGATTGATAGAGATTATAGATAGTTTGACAGATAAAAAAATCATATGAAGACACACATAACCCCTTCTGAAGGTTACCAGATAATAAACAAATAAAAAAGCAAACAAACAACTCTGTGAATGTCCCAAGAATTCTGTTTGGTCTCCCTCCCTCTCCGAGGGTTGTGATGCAAAGGGAACCATATCCTGAATCTGAGGAGGCTATTCTGGGTTCCCAGTAATTTCCAAATTGGAGTTGAACTGAGATTGCTCTGCAGGAAAGCAACTTATTTGCAACGTGATCTTTTCTTGGCACAAGTTTGCCTGGGCGAATGTTCCTGAAATCTGGGCAGAAGCCACACTAAAGTAGCTGGTTCAGATATACAAACTGTGTTTTTTTGCCTCAAGGACATGGCACTCAGGAGGAAGGGACAATCCTTGGCCAGATTGTGGCGTAACGCACAACTCTCGTTTTGGGCCAAGAGAGGTTGATGCCTTCTCCTTGATTTACCCAGAAGAATATTTTCTGCAGTGTGTTCATAAATCAGCTTTCTTTTTCTCGCATTTTGCCCTCCCGACTCCCAAGTTTTTAGTCAATTTTCTTTAGCAGTATGGTCTAGTGGTTGAGGCAACAGGCTAGAAACCAGGAGATGGTGAGTTCTAGTCCCGCCTTAGGAATGAAAGCCAGCTGGGTGACTTTACCAGGAGGCGCCAAATTGTATCTTAGACATGAATAGTGGCTGAGTGACTTGGAGCCAATCCCCTCATTGCATTAGGACGAACACATATTTTATTTAATTATGAAATTTATATTCATTAAATTGTATGTAATTATTAACTTTGTGCTCATGCCCCTTTTTCTCTTTCTTGCTCTCTTTCCTTCCTTCCTTCCTTCCTTCCTTCCTTCCTTCCTTCCTTCCTTCTTCCTTCCTTCCTTCCTTTCCTTTCTCTCTCTCTCTCTCTCTCTCTCCCCTTTCTTTTTCTTTCTTTGTCTTTCTCTTTCTCTCTTTCTCTCCCATCCTCTAGCTCTGCTCCTGGACATCATCGTTGTAGCCGGGTTACAGAAAATGGCCAAGCGGAAAGGTCCTTATGATGTCAGTCCGGGCATTTTGGACTATCTGACGATGGATGTCTATGCCTTCCCTTCTGGTCACGCCAGCCGAGCTGTGATGGTGTCCAAGTTCTTCCTCAACCATCTGGTTCTAGCTGTCCCTCTCCGTATCCTTCTTGTCCTTTGGGCCTTCTTAGTGGGACTCTCTCGGGTCATGGTGGGACGCCACCATGTCACCGATGTCCTGTCCGGGTTTGCCTTTGGTTACATCCAATTCCGATTGGTGGAGATTCTCTGGATGTCTTCCAACACGTGCCAGATGCTGATTTCTATGTGGTGAAGAGGAGTGATGACCTCAGCTTTCTTTCATTTTCTATTTGAAGACACAGACGAGGCCAGAGATATCTCCGAAAGGGTTTTACAAAGGAGCCACGAAGCTTGCTCTTTTGAGAGTTCTTCAAACTTCTTCTTAGAAGTTTGTTCTTCTGAGAGGTGGAGCTGAACCTCCTCATGAAGCTTAAGAGACCGTCCTGTCTCATGTAGCAACCTCATCTGGGAATCACTGAGACCGATTTTTGATTGATTGATTGATCTTTGGCTGCTTTTTCCGTGATTCCAACCAGAAAGCAAATCCAAGGGTCAAGGACAACATTGCTTTCTCTTGCTCTCTGGCTGTTGAGATATCTCCTAGCTCTCGCTTTTTAATCTGGGGACAATCGTAGAATTTAATGGCAGCTGAGAAATACAGGATGAGCTTCTTTGCCCAAGTTGAGGTGTCCACCATTTGTGCTGAGACTCTTGTTCTTGGACATCCCAGCTTCTCTGTCTTCTTTCCCAACTTGGACATCATCCAGATGGGTGAACTTCAGTTCCCAGAATTCTTTAGTCAGTACGATCACTTGCTAAGAATTGTGGGAGGTGAACAGCATTCTTCATAGTGTGGACTTCATCTCCCGGAATTCTCCACCAGCACCTGGTCAACACTGAGAATTCTGGGAACTCAAGGGCCCCCTCCAGAAAGGTGGGTTTCAGCTTCCAAGTTGTGAATTCTAGAAGATGAAATTAATGCATTTGGACAACCTACTACTATGGAGAAAAACTTACACCATGCCTTATAAATTATTGCTAATGACACAAGAGTGTTGTGTATCTCTTAGACATTTTTCCTTGTTTTGTTGCCTGTTTCCTAGCAGAGCAAAGTTCAGGAACCGTTAAGAGAGCCAAGATAGGGTGGTGGACTAAGGTGGCAATCATAATCCAGTTCAAAGCATCATTTGCCAAGTTTACAAGTCAGCAGCCAAGTTCACACCTACCATGGACCCCCCAGTGTAAACATTGATTTGCAAAATAACATGGCTGGATTCACCTATTGTGCAGAAGAGAAATCAAATCCACTAACCTATGATTTACAGTAATGTTCCCCAATCTTGGCAACTTCAAGGTGGACTACAACTCCCAGAATTCTCAGCAATGGCTAGGCTGATGGTGAAACTCTGGGAGATGAAGTCCATATCCCTGGACATTGCCAAGGTTGAGGAACCTTGACTTAGAGAGACGACTGAACTCAGGGGAAAGTGGATCTCCCACATAATGCTTAAATGTGGTTTGTTGCCTCATTGGTGATCAAGTTCATGGTAAGCCATAAAGCAGAACAACAATGGCTGAGGTGATATAATTGAAACTAAGCTAAGCCTTAAATGGGGCGAAGGAACATTGTAAACCCTACTTTACAACCAAGAGATGTGTCAAATGAATAAGCTGTGGTTTATGTGGTAATATTGTTTGAAGGACCTCGCCTTTCGGGTTGATGAAAATGCTAAAACGGGGAAGAAAAAGACGTTCCGTGCACCACTTTTGTTTGGCCACGAGATGGCAGCTCCGCCCACTCGCTTTAGGCCCTCCCCTTCGGCTTGCATTCAACAGGGAATTCCTTCCCTAGTTGAATTTCTGCCTGCAAGTTTACTAGCCCGCTTCCTGGTCATGGTTTGGAGGGGGGGTAATGTCCCAGGGCATATTTTAAAAAGTCATTTTATCATGCAAAAGCTTAACACATAAAGCGTTTATTTTATCAGCTGATCCTGCCGAAGACGTGAGCAGGATTCGAACTCAGAGCCACGTAAAATAAGCGCCCTGGTGAGAAGAAATAACAAAATATCTATTAATAAGAGAATAATAAAATTCCTTTGCTGCACCATCCAGTATCCAGTTCAGTGCACCGTGCAAACCCCCCAAAAACGTGTGAATCAGTCACAAAGTGAGTAGGCTCGTGTGAATCCGACCTCGCCTTTCGGGTTCATGAAAATGCTAAAAAAGCGGGACGAAAAAGACGTTCCGTGCAGCACTTTCCTTTGGCCACGAGATGGCAGCATTGCTCCATGGCTGGGAAAGGAAGGCGGAAAACGCGCGTTCCCCTTTCAAAAGAGAATAAAATAAAACTTTTAACCGATTAAAAGAATATGACACACTTGTGCAAAATGATCTTTTATTTATTGCAACACAGAAACGCCCTGATGTGATTACATTGAATTCAGGGGGCGAGATGGACTTCGTGCGAATCAAGGGAGACATGCGCAGATAGGAAAAAACAAAGGGGAGGAGCCAGACCCGGAAACGGGCGGGTGTAACATACACACATACAAAAAGATTTTTTTTTAAAGTCGTGGAGCTCCGCCCATTCGCTCAGACCCTCCCTTCAGCTTGCATTCAACAGGGAATTCCAACCCTAGTTGAATGTCTGCCTGCGAGTTCACTAGCCCTCTCCATAGTCAAGGTTTTGGGGAGTTTCAAGGGGCTACATTAAAAAAAAATATTTTATTATTCATAAGTTTAACACATAGAACGTTTATTTTATGAGCTGATCCTGCCAAAAACGTGAGCAGGATTCGAACTCAGAGCCACGTAAAGCAGGAGCCCCCTTGGGAGACGATATAATCAAATATCGATTAATAAAAGAAGAATACAATTCCTTTGATGGACCGTAGCCTTCCACACAGGATAGTAGCCAGTTCAGTGCACCGTGCAAACTCCCAAACACGTGTGAATCAGTCACTAGGCAGGGAGGCTCGTGTGAATCGGACCTCTGGCCTTTCGAGTTCATGAAAAAGCTAATAAAAAGGGACGAAAAAGAAGTGACGTGCACCACTTTTGTTTGGCCACGAGATGGCAGCATTGCTCCATGGCTGGGAAAGGAAGGCGGAAAACCCGCGTTCCCCTTTCAAAAGAGAATAAAATAAAACTTTTAACTGATTAAAAGAATATGACATACTTGTGCAAAATGTTCTTTTATTTGTTGCAACCCAGGCAGGTAAACGGCATTAGAATCAAAACAAGCATGCGCAGATAGGAGAGGACCAAGGGGAGGAGCCAGACCCCCGAAATGGGCGGGTGTAATACTCGAGAGCTCCATCGGTTGTCTTTCTGGCTCCGCCCACTCGCTTAGGCCCTTCCCTTCGGCTTACATTCAACAGGGAATTCTCTCACTAATTGAATTTCTGTCTGCAAGTTCACGAGCCCACTCCCTAGTCGTTTTATTATTCATAACATCAACACGTAAAACGTGTATTTAAGACAGGAGTCTTCCAACTTGGCCCTTTTATGACTTGTGGAGTTCAACTCCCAGAATTCCTCACGTTGGCTGAGGAATTCTGGGAGTTGAAGTCCACAAGTCATAAAAGGGCCAAGTTGGAAGACCCCTGAATTAAATAAAAGTTTGAACTGATTAAAAGAATATTACACACTTGTGCAATGTAATCTTTTATTTTTTGCAACACACAAATGTCCTGATGCGTTTGCATTGAATTCAGCGGGAGATAAGAATCCATTGAGAATCAAAACAGGCATGCGCAGATAGGAGAGGACAAAGGGGAGGAGTCAGACCCCGAAATGGGCGGGTATAACACAGAGAAAAAAATATTTTTAAAAAAACTCGAGGAGTTCCATCCGCGATCGTTCTGGCTCCGCCCACTCGCTTTAGGCCCTCCCCTTCGGCTTGTATTCAACAGGGAATTCCTTCCCCAGTTGAATTTCTGCCTGCAAGTTCACTAGCCAGCTTCCTGGTCATGGTTTGGAGGGGGGGCAATGTCCCAGGGCATATTTTACAAAGTCATTTTATCATGCAAAAGCTTAACACATAAAGCGTTTATTTTATCAGCTGATCCTGCCGAAGAGGTGAGCAGGATTCGAACTCAGAGCCACATAAAACAAGCGCCCTGGTGAGAAGAAATAACAAAATATCTATTAATAAGAGAATAATAAAATTCCTTTGCTACACCCTAGCCCTCCACACGGGATAGCAGCCAGTTCAGTGCACCGTGCAAACCCGCCAAAAACGTGTGAATCAGTCACAAAGTGAGTAGGCTCGTGTGAATCCGACCTCGCCTTTCGGGTTCATGAAAATGCTAAAAAAGCGGGGCGAAAAAGACGTTCCGTGCACCACCTTCCTTTGGCCACGAGATGGCAGCATTGCTCCATGGCTGGGAAAGGAAGGCGGAAAACGCGCGTTCCCCTTTCAAAAGAGAATAAAATAAAACTTTTAACCGATTAAAAGAATATGACACACTTGTGCAAAATGATCTTTTATTTATTGCAACACAGAAACGCCCTGATGTGATTACATTGAATTCAGGGGGCGAGATGGACTTCGTGCGAATCAAGGGAGACATGCGCAGATAGGAAAAAACAAAGGGGAGGAGCCAGACCCGGAAACGGGCGGGTGTAACATACACACATACAAAAAGATTTTTTTTTAAAGTCGTGGAGCTCCGCCCATTCGCTCAGACCCTCCCTTCAGCTTGCATTCAACAGGGAATTCCAACCCTAGTTGAATGTCTGCCTGCGAGTTCACTAGCCCTCTCCATAGTCAAGGTTTTGGGGAGTTTCAAGGGGCTACATTAAAAAAAAATATTTTATTATTCATAAGTTTAACACATAGAACGTTTATTTTATGAGCTGATCCTGCCAAAAACGTGAGCAGGATTCGAACTCAGAGCCACGTAAAGCAGGAGCCCCCTTGGGAGACGATATAATCAAATATCGATTAATAAAAGAATAATATAATTCCTCTGATGGACCGTAGCCTTCCACACAGGATAGTAGCCAGTTCAGTGCACCGTGCAAACTCCCAAACACGTGTGAATCAGTCGCTAGGCAGGGAGGCTCGTGTGAATCGGACCTCTGGCCTTTCGAGTTCATGAAAAAGCTAATAAAAAGGGACGAAAAAGAAGTGACGTGCACCACTTTTGTTTGGCCACGAGATGGCAGCATTGCTCCATGGCTGGGAAAGGAAGGCGGAAAACCCGCGTTCCCCTTTCAAAAGAGAATAAAATAAAACTTTTAACTGATTAAAAGAATATGACATACTTGTGCAAAATGTTCTTTTATTTGTTGCAACCCAGGCAGGTAAACGGCATTAGAATCAAAACAAGCATGCGCAGATAGGAGAGGACCAAGGGGAGGAGCCAGACCCCCGAAATGGGCGGGTGTAATACTCGAGAGCTCCATCGGTTGTCTTTCTGGCTCCGCCCACTCGCTTAGGCCCTTCCCTTCGGCTTACATTCAACAGGGAATTCTCTCACTAATTGAATTTCTGTCTGCAAGTTCACGAGCCCACTCCCTAGTCGTTTTATTATTCATAACATCAACACGTAAAACGTGTATTTAAGACAGGAGTCTTCCAACTTGGCCCTTTTATGACTTGTGGAGTTCAACTCCCAGAATTCCTCACGTTGGCTGAGGAATTCTGGGAGTTGAAGTCCACAAGTCATAAAAGGGCCAAGTTGGAAGACCCCTGAATTAAATAAAAGTTTGAACTGATTAAAAGAATATTACACACTTGTGCAATGTAATCTTTTATTTTTTGCAACACACAAATGTCCTGATGCGTTTGCATTGAATTCAGCGGGAGATAAGAATCCATTGAGAATCAAAACAGGCATGCGCAGATAGGAGAGGACAAAGGGGAGGAGTCAGACCCCGAAATGGGCGGGTATAACACAGAGAAAAAAATATTTTTAAAAAAACTCGAGGAGTTCCATCCGCGATCGTTCTGGCTCCGCCCACTCGCTTTAGGCCCTCCCCTTCGGCTTGTATTCAACAGGGAATTCCTTCCCCAGTTGAATTTCTGCCTGCAAGTTCAC